CCACCCCCCCCCCTCAGAGGATGGCCATGCACAAAAGTGTGAATGTGCTGTTTCGGGGAAAGGGCTGCCAAATATGTCGTGGTATGCCGGATGTTTGGAGATGCTTCTAATTGTATGCATGTTGGCTATTTAGTGGCAATCAAGTTGTAAAGAAATGCCTACATTGTCAGAGCTTGCAGAAAGGAGTGTTTGTCTGTTTGACTTTGTATAATTGCGTTGCACCATGGGTTGCAGCTAGGAGTGCTGCAACGGTCTGCCAACCGGTGCAGCACCCCTGCCATTCTCCAGCCCACCCATTCTCCGCATCACAATCGATGTCCTCGGCCATTGTGCCGTATTGTATAGGGAGCTATTGAATTAATAGGGAGATAATCTACTGCATTTGATGAAGTTTTATCTAACTATTTTGTCTGTATTGCAACTCAAGGCAGCATGGTGCTATGGTCGTTGGACCCCGGTGTGCTGGTTAACTGGCAAGAGAGCTTGTGCGACACAACGAGGTGTATGTGTGAGTCAGACGTTCAATACATTACTTAATAATCGTTTAAGTAAAGTAAAGAATAAACGTAAAACTATTCTTTTTCTACAAATAAGGAGCTTAGAACCCTCCCAGTGACACCACCGTACGGGCTGCTCAGGCGTTGCCAGTGATGTGCGGAGAGCTGGACATAATTGCTTATTGCCAACAATGAGAAATGTTAAAAAGAAGAAAGAAATGAACTATCAAACACAATAAAGAATAAGAGGTATTGTCCGAGGTCCATTAGAGTTAGCGATGTGCATGCAGCGGGCTAGAGGGAGGAGGGGGCTGTGTGGGGTTGTGTGCGTTGTCTCCTTTCTTTGTTTTTGCCGTTGAAATGTTTATTTGGATTATGCAATAGCCGAAGGTTTAATTATCTGGTGGGCAAAGGCAAGGCTTCTTAGCTGCGCGGTCTCCTGTGCCGTTTCGCCATACATACAAACATACACCAGAAGGGACAGAGGGCCCCAACAGAGGAAACCTCCAGTAGTGAGGATATTTTCCTTTAATTTTTTACATTTTAATTGTAAGCCTTTGACAAAATGGAGGCAGAGAGCCTTAAAGAGGGAGCCTTGATGCCTTCATAGTTTAGCAGGGGCTGCTGCAGGCAATGCAAAGGGGCCCTCAGCATGTTCCCTTTTTTTTAGTTAAATATCTGCTAATGTGCTGCGGCAAGCCGAAGGGTTTACTCTTACAAGGGTTTTAATTATCCTGTCTTTGTTCCCTTTCTGCCTACCTCTCCTCCTTCCTTCTTTTTGTGCAGCAGCCTACTGCTGTTCCCCTTATGTTAAAGGAGCTCTTGGGGGTCTACTCTACCTTGTAAGGTTATACTTTATCTGCTGCTTTGCTTGTCTTAATAGGCTAAAGAAGATGGCTCCAAAGAAGAAGGAAGAAGTGGAGGAGAAGATCTTGTTGGGCAGGCAAGAACCCTCACATCTCCTTTGTCGAAATGCCATTCTTCTGTGCTGCATTACAGTTGTTTTGCTGTTTGTTGTTTATTTCTCCTTTTTTCTTTGGCAGAGGAGATTGTCGTTTTCTATCTAACGCGTGCTTGTGTAGCAACAAATCCCTCAATCCGTTGCTGCAGCAGCAGGAGCGGCAGCACTGCCAGCACCACCAGCAGGAGCAACAGCAGGACCAGCAGCAGCACAAGAATCAGCAGCAGCCGCTGCATGCGAAAATATGGTGTGTGTATGTGTTGCGTATGTTTGGGGTGTACAGACCGCGGAATACCCTGAAAATGGGGATGGTGGGGTTGCCAAATGTTGGTAAAAGTACAACATTTAATTTATTGTGTAAACAATCTGTTCCTGCAGAAAATTATCCTTTTTGTACAATTGATCCTCATGAAGCTCGTATGAATGGTGAGATATATGCTTCTGTTTCTCTTCTTATTGATATCCTATTCTTGCGTTTCGTTTTTTTCTGCACGTGGATGTTCATTCCTTTTCCCTGTCTCCCTCTTTCTTCCATCCATCCTTTTCTTGTCATTCTGTATCTCTCTGTCTGTTTGTCTTTTTTCTTTTCTATTCAATTGCCTGTTTGTCTGCTTATCTGCTTGATTAGCTGATTGTATGATTGTTTATCTTGTTTGCTGTGTGTGTGTTGTTGCTGCAGTTCCTGACGATCGTTTTCGTTGGTTATGCGGCCATTTTAAACCCAAGAGTGAAGTCTCTGCCACTTTATCTATTTTTGATATTGCTGGTCTTGTGCCAGGGGCACATAAGGGAGAAGGACTTGGCAATGCTTTCTTGTCTCATATTCAGGCAGTAGATGGCATATTTCATGTTGTATGTTTATATTAAATATACCAATATAAATAAATATTAATAAATATAATATGTATCCTTTTCTATTTCTTGCTCCCTTTCTTTTCCTGTTTCATTTGTTGTCGCTTTTGCTGGACGTTATTCTGTTTCTGGTGTTCTGTATTTGCTGCTGCGGATCCATATCCTGCTGGTGCTGCTGCCGCGTGTTTTTTTGTTGCTGCAGGTACGAGCATTTGCAGACGAGGAGGTTGTGCACAGTGAGGGGGAAGTTGACCCCGTTAAGGACTTAGCAACAATAGCATCTGAGTTACGTTTAAAGGATTTAGAGAGGGCTCAGCGTCTATTAGAGGATCTGCAGAAATCCTCACGGCAGCAGAAGGCAGCGGACAAAGCAAAAAAACTCCAAGAGGAGGTGCTGCAGTCTGTCATCAAGATGCTGGAGGAGGGGAAATGGGTGCAGCAGGGTAAGGGGAACAGCAGCAGCGCATGCATACGATTAACTACTTTGTTTTTCCTCCTGTGTTCTCCCCTCCTACTGCTTCATGTGGTCTCTTAGCCACTCAGCTTCATATCTAACCTGCTTGCCTCCTCGGCTATTATTCTTTCTACTGTAGTAGAAAAGAGGGGCCACAAGAGGCAGGCTCTGTACGAAAGAGAAACTGCTGCTGCTGCCGTTGCTTTGTGGCACTCTGCTGCTGCAGGAAACTGGAAGGCTGCGGAGGTGGAAGTGCTCAACGAGCATCAGTTTTTAACGGCAAAGACAGTTGTCTATTTGGTAAATATGAGCGAAAAGGACTTTATCAGACAAAAGAACAAATGGCTAGCCAAGATACATGCATGGGTACAGGAAAACGTACCGGGACCCATCATTCCTTACTCCGCAGTCTTTGAAAACAAACTTGCGGAACTACCAGACGACGAGGCAAGAGAAAACTATATCAAGGTAAGCATATCACTGCTTCTGTGATGTAGAGACATATTAATGGGGGCATTTGCAGCATAATTACAATTTTATGATAGTTTACGTCATTCTCAGTACTTGTTAGGCAGTATAACGTTGGAGGGATTTCCTGGTTTGGTTAGTGGGCACGTGGTTCTGTCCTCCGCATGTTTTACACATGCTTTTGTGTATTTGTCCTCTGACCTCCGTGATTTCCTGCTTTAGGTGATTCCTTCCTGTCTATTAGTAGGGTTGCGCTCTTGGTAGAATCTGTCTGATGCGTCGGTTCTGTTTGTCCGTTAATGTGTTGATATATGCCCGCTTGATCTTGCATTTTTTGTGGGGGTTGCTTACAGAGCAGCGGGGCATCCAAGAGCATGTTAGACAAGATAATTCAAACGGGCTATCATGCACTGCACTTAATTCATTTCTTTACTTGTGGGGAGGACGAGGTTAAATGCTGGACTATTCGCCAAGGCAAGCTTTACCACTGCATAGTGACTACAACAATTGTCTGCTTGTACTCCCCCAAATAGAATCTACCTGTCTTTACGCTTAGCTTGACAATCAATTGATGGCCCTCGTCTATTTATTCGAATCCTGAAGGAACTGCGAGTGATGGCGGCTGTTTAGTCTAGTGGTATGATTCTCGCTTAGGGTGCGAGAGGTCCCGGGTTCAATTCCCGGAACAGCCCTTTTCCTTTCGTATCTATTTCTCCTGATCCTTTTTGATGCGCAAGAGCCCATTTGCCCTCTTTTGCACGAGAGAATTTATATATGTTGTATATGATCTACATTCTATGCATAGTACGATAGAGCTGTCTCGTAAATCCGGTCTGACTTGTTAAAAGCTCAGCTGTCTTTCACATGGGGTACACTTATTGCGCTTAGTTGATATTACAGACCATATCTGTTGTGCATAAAATATATTGCATAGGGAAGTATATGTGTGGAGGTGTGCATATTGAACAGGCCATTCCATCTTGTCCATACTGCTGCATGTATTTGTTCGTTATTGCTGCTGGTTACTCATCCAGGGAGACGAATACAGTAAAACCCTATTAGGGTATAATACGAGTGTATTAAAAGGAGTGCAAGTTGATCCTCTGCTGCTATGTTCAGGTACAAAGGCCCCTCAGGCTGCTGGAGTGATTCACACAGACTTTGAGAGAGGCTTTATCTGTGCTGAGGTGTACAAGTACAACGATCTCGTCGAACTTGGCAGCGAAAATGCAGTTAAAGCAGCGGGAAAATACCTGCAAAAAGGGTGAGTTAGAACTTCCTCAAGTGTTACATTTTTTGCCTTCGATTTACTCACCTTTCTCTGCGTCCGCTCGGCTGTCTCGCACCTGCCAGCATATTGGACATTCGTTCCAGTTATAGTTGTGCACAAGTTGGAGTATTTAGTTGCCTTCCGACCTTGTACTTGCTGCTTTCCTCAACTACATTAATTTCTTCCGTCTGCACCCCTTGTTTCTTGCTGGGTTTTGGGTGGTCTGCAGGAAGGACTACGTGGTGGAGGATGGAGACATAATATTTTTCAAATTTAACGTAACGAACAGTGGAAAGAAATAAGGTTTCTTGTTGGCTGCATTGGGGTTGATTCTTCGCTTCCTCATTGCAACAATTTGCAGTTTTTCCTCTGGTGTTGTCGTGGCAGCAAAACTTGTTTCCGTCTCTTTTCCTCTTTTTATCGAACGAACCTATGGGCTACACTAGTACCACTTTTGAAACGTCTCATGTTGCTGCAGCCCCCCTGTTCTTTGCACATTGAACAACAGCAGAAGATATTCATAGCACCATTTACAGGACTTTCAACAGTACCTTCTAGGATGTTATGATGCTTTGCGAGTACTACATGTGTTAGTGCCCTTATTCAAACCTATTAAGAACCGTCAAGCCATTTTCGGAACAGTTGCAGAATACGGACACGTGACTGCAGAGACGCTTCGACCCCTTCAGGTTGCTGTTTCCTTCCCGTTTGCGGCCATCAGCATGCATTGTACACTTTTCTATGCATGCATTATCTTTCTTCTCATTGTATAACAATAATAATCATTATTTACATCGGGGTACTATCGATATGGGCATACTGGCAAAACAGCATAAAAAGGCAAACAAACCCTAAGCGTTGGCTGCATGCTCACGGGTCTGCACAGTGGGTGTAGATTAGGTGGGAGGGGGGGCAAAGGAGATTTTGGGCCTGTTGTGTATGGTTTTTGTTCGAAAGATTTTCTGGTGCGTGATCCTCAGCGCCACCAAATAGTCTTGTAAGTGGTCTTAAGCAACAGTCAACACACGTAATGCCATGACCGGAGATCCCTACATAGATAATTCTTCAAGTGGAATATTACAAGGAACCAAACTCCCGCTGATGCTTTTACTGGGAGCGCAACAGCACTATCACACCGTCGCTAGAGCACTTCGTGCAGATAAGATCCATACTCCAGAGATATTTTCGCTGCTGGCGTTGCTGCAGCAGTAACAGCATCTGCAACGCCGTCAGCAGCAAAAGCAGCGCCAAGACCAGCTAGAGCACGGGGCAGCACCAGCTTCAGCAGCAGCAACGAAGCCGGCAGCGTCACCTCATGTAGTGAGAGATCGAGGGTGTGCGAAAGCCTGCGCCAATCAATCATTTGTTTCTGTCTCATGAAAGCATATCTGCAGCTATTTAATTACAATATCCGCATGTGCACAAATAATACCTGTTATTTCAACGAATTCCATTGTGGTAGCACACTTGCGTTCACAAAAGGAACGGGGTCACCTGGAGGAACCTCCCCCAAGGGCACTGCCAGCCGTTTAATTTATCGATCACTCCCCCGTCTTCAGGATAATTTTTTTCAAACTATTGCAGTACAAAGGAACAGATAACGCTTTGGTGCCAATTTATACCCTTCGGTTGCTGGAAGGCTACAGGCCGCGCTGGGCTGCGGCACTCCATTCATCTCCACTAGGGGCAGCAATAAAGCCGAGTAGATTTGGATTGAATTTTAGTGAATTATTTAGCCCCATTTTTTAACACTAAAAAAATACAGAAGGTTCGGGTATTTCCTTTCCAGGATTCGCTTGATGGCGGTGTGTGGAGAGGCGTCAGACAGGTCGGCGGCTACGCCTAATCTGCTTGTCTGGTGTCATGATTTGGGATCTTTCTGTGCTCAAAAGGTTTTCAGTCGTCTTTTAAGATAAACGTTAACTTGAAAATTTTAAAATTGGGAAGAAGATTGGGGTTTCGGGTCGTCAAACCCTCCGGCCAGGGAAGCGCCTGGCTGCGGCCCGCTGTAGGATTGGAGTGCATGTGTTGCGCTGCAGGGTGTATGTGTAACTTATCCGGGCTTGAAACAAAGTGGATCTTTATTTCTCTCCTCTGGCTTTATTGCTACACCTTCATTAAATTTCAAAGATCAGCAACAGCACCAGTGGCAACAACAGCAGCAGCAGCAGCAGCAGCAGCGTGGAAGGCCTACCAACGGCCTTCCTCCACACAAACGCTGCGGCGGCGACTTTCTGTCTTTGCTCTGTGTTAACGGTATTTTAGCCTGTTGAAATTTAATTATTCAGTCAAAGCAGGTCACCAAATAAGCACCTGCATTGGTTACTTCTTGCAGCATTTCTTCTACTGCCTTCACGTCGGCGAAAGGCCCCGTAAACGCATCATCTCGCTGTCTGTTTTTGCTATTTTTGACTCTAATTTTCTGGTTTTTTCTTTTTTGTCCCTACCTTTGTCAATCTGAAGAAGAAGGCGCCTCGAAGAGCTGTGCGTACGGCCAGAGTGCCTTCACCATCACGGCCAACCAACTGCAAACAAACGCGCCCCAACGCAAGCTCTTCCTTCTCTGTTGCTGGGAGAGAAACAAAAACAGAACGGGAAACAAGAAGACCTAGAAGGAGGCTACAACACGCACTGGAAGGGGAAGAACACGAGACCCCCCGAATTTCCTGAACCCTTCGGCGTGATCTGCTAGCTGCATGTTTACCAGTTGATCAGCAAGCCCCTACTTATTAGAGGATCGAGAAAATGCATAAAACAGCACATCACACTCAAGTTTAATAACTTGAGTCTATACTCAACGGAAAGCAGATACACCTCGTCGCTCCTGTGCCGCCTGTCAACAATGCATATCCTCACCACAAGGGGTCCCCCACAGACTTAACTTTCTCCAACTGTGGGACCCCAGCTTTGCTGCAGGGGCCGCTGCCGAAATGCAACCCCTCATAGGGACCCCTGCGCTGCAGTCTGACGATCTGATAGCGGGGGGGCCCCATGGGGGTGGGGGGGCCCTGACCCTGCAGCAAGCGGGCAGGGCACCCGTGCCTCGGCTCCACCTCCCGGCGGTTTCCTGCTGCGCCCAAGCAGACGCTGAAAGAGGTAGCTTGGATTATTCTTCTTCTCAGGCCCCAAAGACCTCTCGAATTCAAGCCGGCGGGGTTGCATGCGGCGCTCATCGCCACCTTCAGCTTCGCTGGGACCGCGATGCTGCTGCTTCAACTACGGAGTCAGTGCTGCACCTCTGCACCTACAGAGGGGACCCCCGCCGGGCCCTGCAGATAGGTGTGGGGGTCCCCCAGGGGGGTTCCCAAGGGTCCCCCTCCGCAACGCCCTCTGCATTGTTGCATGCGTTCGCACAGGCAAAATGTGTTGACCGACTGGGGGAAGGAGAATCTCCGTTTTCTTCTCACAAAAAGAGGCAGCTCGAACAGGGTGTTCACGCCCTTAAGACAATAAGAACCCCAGATGGCGCGGGTGCGGAACTCAGGGGAATTCGGGGGGTCTCTGCAAGTGCTGGTGGCCCCCGGATTCCTCATGCTGTAGCACATGCAGCTGAGCAAGCTGAGGCCGAAGACGGTTGCTGCAGCTCTCAGCAGCAGCAACAGCAGCAGAAGCAGCAGCACCCTGTGGCTGCTCGACTTCGTCTAGATCTCGGTTCTGTTGTGGGGGCTTTAGAAACCAGCCCTCGGAGCCCAATGAGCTTAAGGGCCCCATTAGGCGCCGCCTTGGTGGGCCCCTCCTCCCCCTGCAAAGGTGCCCATATGGGGCGTATGCGGTGTCTCGACACTGCAGAGGCGGTAGCAGCACGATGCTACACGGCTCGGTTGCAGCAGCACAACGAGTGGCACGCCGAGCGTTTTTCCCCGCTGCAGCTGCAGGCTCGGCGTCAGCAGCAACAGCAGCAGCAGCACCGCCGGGGTCATCTGACAGCTCGTGCATGTACGCTGGGAGCCCAAGGTTGGCCTTCCGGCAACAGTCACCTGCAGGGGGTTTTGCTTTGTAGTGAAAGGGCCCCCCGGAGCAACGTGCAGAGCTTGGTGCAGCAGCTTGAGGCCCGTCGTCTCCGCAGCAAAGGCGGAGGGGCCCTCCGTAGTTTGGGGAGCCCCCTTGCGTGCAGCACTGAGCGGGATGCTGTGCGTTTCAGAGGGTCTCTAGGGAAAGACGCAGCAGCCACGGGAGCCGCTGATGCCCTTCCTACAACTGCAGCAGCTGGAGGACTTGAATCAGCACCAAGGGATGCAGCGATGCCAAGAGAGGGAGCAGGAGCTGCGGAGACAGCCCAGCAAACAACGGCCACCTGCGGGGCTGGTGGTGCAGGACAGATGCCATTGGACGAGAGTTGGGGGGCTGGGGGACCACAGGGCTGCCCCCTAGGGAGTCCCCTGCTGCAGGCAGCGTTGGCCCGGGGGGCCCCGGAGAAGGTAGTTGGATCCTACCTATTAGGAAGGACCATTGGGGAGGGCACCTTTGGCAAAGTGCGAGTAGCAACGCATGCACTGACAGGCGAATGCGTGGCGGTGAAGGTCCTGGAGAAGGAAAAACTGAAAGCAGCAGAAGACGCAGAACGGGTCTTAAGGGAAATACACATCTTGAGGGCTGTGCGGCATCCCCACATTATTCATCTGCTAGAGGTGGGCTGATCAGAAAAACAATTAACCCGCATTGCAAAGCGTAAACCCTAAACCCTGCCGTAGGCCTGCCCATACACCCGACGCACTTGAGCAACGGCCTTGAGCCTTTCTAAGAGCTGCTGGCAGCCTTCTGGAAATAGCAGCGACGATGCAGAACAAATAGAAAAAAAACGAGGCATCCATTTTGACGTAGTGGCCTGTCTCCGTAGGCCTGGAAGCTCTTGTGACTGTGGTTAAGGGCAGCCCTGTCTGTAGTCGTGCTTCTTGCGTTGCTCCACAGCCGCATGGTGGGTTTGTTATTACCCTTGTTGCTCTTCTTGTTAATTTTGTTGCGGTGTTTATTGCTTGTGTTTGCTACTAGATCCTCGAGACGGCATCACGTTTGTACCTCGTCATGGAGCTGGCAAGCGGGGGAGAGTTGTTTGACTTTATTGTGAAGAGGCAAAAAGTAGACGAGCAAACAGCCCGCCGTCTCTTTAGACAAATCCTTTCGGGAGTGGAGGCCCTGCACTCCCTGTGCATCTGCCACAGGTGAGCAGCAGACAGACATGCTACCCGTAGACCCCGTGAACTTTCAAAGCCCCTTATGCGGTGTTTCCTTCTGACGTTCTTCCCCCCCACTCTCTCCTTGAAGCCTTGCGTTTTGCCCCCACACCATCAACACTAATTCCTGAACCGTGTGACTGCGCTGTCGTGAAGACAGCACCAGAAAGAGCAAAACAATTACATTCATTGTGCGAGGGCACAAAGAGTGTGTGGAAACTAATTCTTTGCTCTTGCTGCTTCCCCTTTTGACGCCGCATGCACCTGCTGATTTTCCCTCCAGCAGCAGTAGGCGGTTCTGTGGTGCTATGTATGCTGATTTATGCGCTAAGTGTTCCTGTTGCTTGTTGTGGGTTTGGTTGAGGCTGTCCCTGCGGTGTATTCACTTCTCGTGCTACCCTAAAGGAATGTGTAAAAAAGTACCTACTAAATATCCTGAAGGATTTAATTCCGACTTAAGAAAATTGTGCCCGCCCCCTCTTTGTCTTCCACCTGTGCCGCTTTGTTGTGTGAGTGTCCCGGTTCCTGGTGATGTCCTGTGCAGTTTTCCTCTCTGTACACTCGATGTCTGGGCAGAGATTGTGCTGAATGCTTTTTAGGGACTTAAAGCCGGAAAACCTGCTGCTGGACTCTGCCATGAACATCAAAATTGTTGACTTCGGCCTCTCTAACATATACAGCCATAAACCCATGCTCAAAACTGCATGCGGCTCGCCCTCTTACGCAGCCCCAGAGATTGTGCAGGGCAAGCTCTACTCTCCTTTGGCTGTTGACATCTGGAGCTGCGGGTAAACCCCACCAGCGGCCTGAAATATCCCGCCGAACAGCAAGCAGCTGTTAGCCTTGCTAGTTGTGGTTTTTTTACCTACACTCGGGAGCTCCAGCAGCACGGGTTACCTTTTTCGCTGTATTTTGCCTTCTCCCTTTGGGGAGGTGGAGTTCAGCTGTGGTGCACTCCCTTGTTTGTACTCTTTGCTGGTGCCTTCGTCTTAGATGCAATACAAAGTAGAAGGGAGCCAAAGTTAGCAGAGAGACACACCTCAGGGTAGCAGCAGATATCAGAGGACAGACAGAGACAACAGACAACAGAAGGCGACACCAGGCAACAGCTGTGCCCACATCTTCACCGCCTGCGCCTGTCTCTGTACCGCCGACACGTAGATACGTGTCGGCGATGTCCTTGTCTGCTTGAGTGTCTTTGTTGTTTTTCGTTTCCTGCTTTTCTTAAAAGCATCTTCTGCCTTTGTCTCTATTGTTTCTGCTCCCTTCTCACTACCAGTATCGGTGACAGAGCATAATTCCTTGCCTGGGTGGCTGCTTCTCTATGTTGCTGCTGCTGCAGGGTGATTCTGTATGCGTTGTTGGTGGGCCGTCTGCCTTTTGAGGAGAACACCACGGAGGGCCTTTACCGCAGCATTGTCAGCGGGAAGTTCTGCTGTCCTGACCATTTGAGTCCCGAAGCATGTAGTCTCTTAAAAGGCATTCTAAATACTTGTCCTCTCAAGCGCCTTGGGCCCCTGCAGATCAAGCAACATCCCTGGTATTCCGCACTGCCGCTACTCTTCCTGTCTCTTTCCCCTCGCTCGTCCTGTTGTTTGCTGTCTCCTTATTCTATGTGTCTCTTTCTGCTAGCGTATGGCTCCTTATGCCATATGGTGTCCCCTTCGGTTGTCCAGTGTCTCTCTCTTTCTCTGCCACATTCCGTTTATTTCTGACGTCTAGTGCCTCTGCATGTTGCCTTTTGCTTCTCTGTATTGCCTCTTCTAAAGTCCAGTGCCTCTTTCTGGTTGTTGCTGTCCCTCTTTACGTTCGCAGTTGGGGGCTTTTACCTAAGCATGTATCGTTTACGGTTTTTGATTTAGGCTTCAGCGTTTGATTTGTTTTCAACACTGTGCCCTGTAGGTTGAGTGTTGGAAGGGCTCAGCACATTCCTCATAGCCTCTGTTCCTCGCGTTGGCCCTCTGGGCCCCCTGTATGCTCCCTTAAGGACTGTCGCGCTTGCGCTGAGTGGCTCGCGCCTCCGTCAGCCCAGGTGCGTCAGATGTCACTAAAGTTTATGGTTAAGGGGCTAGCCGAATCACGAGCTTCGAATATCTGCTGTGTGCTTGCCACGGAATATAGCGGAGGTGAATAACGTGTTAAGTGTTTATGGTTTAGCGTTAAGGCGGGAGGTGCTTGTGCTGTTGCAGTTGAGGCGAGACGTCCTAGAACAAATGCCACCCAGTAACTACTCTCTTGAGGCCCTCGAGTGTCACATCCGCTGCCATCCCGTCGGTGCCCACGCTGCCACGTATGTTCCAGCTGCAGTATGATCTGATGCAGCAGTTGCAGCGAAGTGTGGTTGGGTTTCACGCTAATAGGGTTCTCGGTGCATGCAGTCATCATGCCCTTTGCTGTACTTGCCTATGGCTGGGTGCTCAGATATTATTTGCTGTGTCTCAAAAAAAGGCGGGAAGAAGAGGCAGCAGCTGCTGCAGCAGGTGCCGGGAAAGCAGTAGCAGTATCTCGGCAGCAGCATACGCCTCGTTCTGTGCCTTCTTCCAAGGGCCCCCCGTCGGCGACAGACACAGTGGCACCGCCGGCCGCCAGAAACGAGCCCACCAAAGACAACCTTTCTTCAATTACACATAAGCAGGAGCCCACTGCTGGTCCTCCCCTCGCCGCTGCGTCTCGAGTTTTGGATCCTAGGGGGACCCGGATGCCGCTGTCCAGGTCTGGAGGGGCCCCCAGGGAGGTCCCCAAGGCAGCCCCCAGCAAGGTTGTGACCTCCTTGGCTCAAAAGCGCATGAAAGGTTCCTGCAGCTCCGATGCCTCCTTGCAGCAGCGGCTGGAGCAACGACTTCAGCAGCAGCGGCAGCAGCACAAGCTGCAGCTCGCAGAGCAACTACTGCAGCCACTAGTCTGCCGCTCCACCAAATCGCGCCCTGGTCCCAGCACCAGCAGCAACCCGACAGGTCTCATACTCTCCTCTTCAGCGGACATGTCTCCTCAGGCAAAGTGTGTTCAACTCTCACAAAGCGAGAGTGCAAGGGAGCCCGAGGGTTTAGAGACCCTCCAGCAACCCCAGGAAAAGCCCCCACCTGCAACACCAAGGCGTAATCTACAGCCAAAGGAGGAGGGGACTGTGGAGCCCCCCATAAGACAAAGCGCAGTGAAGCACACACAGGCCCCTAGGGAGGTAGGGCCCGACCTGCTGCAACAGCAGGAGCAGGGACTGTCTCCGACACAGAAACAATTTGAGCCCGTTGTGCAGCAGCAGCAGCAGAATCAGCAGGAGCAACGGCACAGCAGCCAACACCAAAGCCTCCCACAGCAGCACCCACCACAGAGAGTTGCAGTGGAGACAGATCAGACTCTTCCACAGCAAAAGACGAGCTGTACAGCTCTGCAGCTCACGCAGCTAATGATGCGCACCATGTATGTGACGCACCATCAGCAGCTTCGTTTGCAGCAGACTGCGGATCTAGAGGGGACACCTGTAACAGACAACTACCCCCTCAGGGGCCTGCTCACCGCTCGCGGACATCAACCGCACAGTGCGACACTGAGCTGTCTCCTAGGCCCGCCCCCTGCCAGCCCTGGCCGTGCGCTCCAATCTCTGTTGTCTCCACGCTGCCTTCTTTCTGGTGGTGAGCTTCGCTGCAAAGCCAGCACGCAGCAGCGGCAGCAGGTGGGCAATGCGTCTGCATCAGTAGGTTCCGCCGCTCCTTGCAGCAGCCCTTCGATGCACCAAGACGCGTCGGCGCATGCAGACACACCGCAGAGCCAGCAGGCAGACGCCCAAACATCTACTGCTCCAAGACCCACAGCTATAAAGTCGACGTTTTCACGGAGAGAAGGGGCGGCACTGCCAGGCACGATGCCTTGCGCTTATAAAGGTGTTGCCAACACTCCTTTACTAAAGGAAGACAAATGCAAACGCATGCAAGCGGAAGATCAGCAGCAAATTCAGGGGGCTGCAGACGCAACAGCAGCTGCAAGTTCAACACCCGGAATTCCTAATGCGTACTCCAGAAGCCCTACCTGCATCAAAAAGGGCACCAGCAGTTACAGCAGCAGCAGCAGCAATTCGTGCGCACCTACGGGCAAGCCAACACGGGCCGCCAGCTTAACATCATCTTCAGAGGGAGCAGGCATGCGGAATCGGAAGCCCCCGGGTCCCATTGGCTGCGTCTCGCTGCAAAAGCAGCAACGACAAAACCCACTACAGCGCGGGCAGCAACCCCCTTTTCTGCACTCCAGTACATGGCAAACAAAGCGAGGCTCCATACGGGGGGAGCAGCAGCGGCTGATAGCAGCAGCTACAGGACGCAGCGCGACAGCAACAAACACCCCCAGGGCCCCTTCCCGAGGAGAGGCCACCACCGTGGGCCTCCCTGTGGCAAAGGCCCAGGGGAAGGCTGGGGTCTCAAAGGGACCTCCCAAGAGAGTAGCCCCTTTGCGTTTGTCTCTTAGCACAGGCTGCGCCTTACCAGCTATAGCGGCGGCAGCAACAGCAGCTTCTTCTAGCATGGTAGAACGAAGGCCAGTTGGTGTTTGTCTAGATGATGGACTGAGGAGGCGATCGTTGGAGGGGCCGCCGCACAGGGGCTCCCTAACTGCCAGAACTTCTATTAGGTCCGGGGTCCCTGCAGGTGGAAAAGCAGCAACAACACCCAGCAAAGACACGAGGAGGCTGGGGAGCAGATTTGGAGAGGGGAATGGGAAGGCACAAGACTCGGAAAAACCCTTTGGTATTAGAGCCAACTCCAGCGCCTTTAGCAGCAGGGCCCTTCAGCCTCCTCTGTCCGCTCGAAAACCCAGTTCGAGCTCCAAACAGCTGCCTCAGAATGCAGCAGCAACTGGTGTGACCCGCGTCCCTCCGCGATCAGTGGTGCCTGCGGGAGCCCCAGCTGCTGCAGCAAAGGCAACAACAGCAACAACAACAGGAACTCTTCTGCTGCAGAGTCGGCACCGCTCTTTGACAGCTGAAGGCCTGCCAAGCGATCGCTCACAGGCCCCTGTGAGTACCTGTGGTATTTTCACAGGGACTACAGCTGCCCAGAAAGCAACTACAGCCTTCAAGGGCTACCAAGATGACAGTCGCATGCAGAGGATCTGCCGAACAGGATCAACCACCACCAGTCTAACGAGGAGATCCGCAGCCGGAGGAGGGCTTCCCCAAGGAGCAGGAGCAGCCGCCTTTACTTCGGGGTCCGGAGAGGGGCTTAGGCCTGCAGCTGCTCCAGCAAGCAACAGAACATTGGAGGGGCGTGCAAAAGTCAGTGCAAGGAGCACAACGTCCAGCACTAAACGCTCCAACAGCGGGGTCCCGGGACTGTTAGCCCCTCCAAAGGCTACCATTGTGTCTAGAGGGGGCCTCCATCCAATGTCACTGCTGTCTACAAGAGCCTCTGTGCAGCTGACTCATTCAAACAGGAAGCAGCAGTTGCAACAGCAACAATCCCAGCAGCAACAGCAGCCTAAGCGAGGGTCTCTGCTTCGTTGCAGGACAGCGGGGACTGCTGACGAAAACCGAAAGAACGGTCGGAAACCGTTCCAAGGGATACCCAGCAACCGCAGCAGCCTCCCGAAGGGAGCATGCTGAGGTTAATTTCAGGTTTACATCTAAGTTGTCATCTGCCTCAAGTAGATTATCTGTTTGGTGTTGTCGTAACCGGGGAGTACGTTACAGCGCCAAACCAGCAAATAGTTAGGAACGCGTGGTTAGAGGTCGGGATATCCCCCTGGAGAGGCATTGCAAACTGAGCCACCTACAGCATCGTTAGTCTCAACTACCAACCACATGTCTGTGCAGAAGCGCATGCAGTGGTTGTTCAGAAATTACATAGGCACACATGCACAGACTGGCCTACAGACAAAAATTCATTAAACTTTGCAAGCTCGATAGGCTGATAAAACACATAGTTCTCGAAGGACGCCCCGTCCTTTTAAACTGCCCATTCAAAGTATACACTTTGACTCATGCATCATTCCATGCCTAAAATTTGTGTAGGTACATAGGTACCATTCATGAGGCCTCTCGCACTTAGAAAGCAAAGAGGTAAGAAACCTCCCTCTTCTTTGAAGGGTTCCATGTTCGCTTAAAGTGGAATTCAAGCATTCTCTGCACTCTCGTAGTGGCGGCGTCTCTTCTGAGCTTTTAAACTACACCTCAGAGATAACGACGGCAAACGCCCATTTCATCATCCCACTGAACACACAGGCCCAGTCATACTGAAGCACGTGCGACTGGACCGGTGCTTCCTTTTCCGACGTTGGTCATTTTCTTTCCTCCATTCTTGCTCTTTGGAAAAATCTGGAATTCAGGAAGAGAGAGGGTGGTCGTGGGCCAAGTGTTGCTGCAGAGCTCTAGAGTTAAGCTATTAGCTGCCCTTCATATATCTGTCGTGTCATACGCACTGCCGAGTATATCCAACGAGCTGCTCTCGGCCCCACTCCCGTGGGGTGAAGAGTTGCAGCGGAGAAACTGTATGGGTTTAGCTTCTTTTTCAAGGGAGTCGGTGACGTCAGAAGGCCTAGAAGGACTGCTTTCGTCTGCTGAATATACAAATGTCGGGTCACCGTGGCGACAGTTATCTGTCCACTTCTGGCTCAACGGGTTCAACCGGCGATGTCGAGAACGCCCACGACGGTTTTCGTTAGTTCCCCATGGTATGTGGGTTCCTGGAAAATGTGAAACCGCAAGTTGCTTCTGATACGAAGCAGCGAAGGCAGCATGGGCGCTAGCGGAAAGCTGCGACGCGGGGGCAAGCTCCTTCCCGTTGCCTTCGGTAAGCAGAGTGATTAACTGCTTCTTTTGCTCGCTTTTATTTTCTGAAACTGCTTCGTCGAGGCCTCCATGGCGTGCTACATCCATGACATGTTTCGCTTCTTCAGCTCCATTTTCAACCTCATTTGTATTGTGTACGTTCCTGTTTTCGGATGTCTTGCAAGAAGCAGAGATCATTTGGTCCGGCGAGCATACTTCAAAATCGAGTTCGCCGTGTTCTTGTGCTAGTTGTTTCGTGTTTTCTTCCTCGTCCACCACGATGTCCTCGATGGTCTGCAAACTCGAGAAAACTTCGGCTATGTCATCTTTGATTTCGTCAATGACTGACTTCCCCTTGGGGAGTGGTTCCGTACACTCTGCTGTGTGTAGCATGAGTCGGTCTCCCACATATGTAGAATACTTCTGGAACTCTTCCTGTTCTTCCTGAAGAATAAACTTGTAAGTCATCGTTCGTTCGCGATCAGCGCGTCGGCACTGGTGCGTACGAGACAACAGACTGAGAGCCGAAGTATCCACACAAGGGCTCAGTTCCAAGTCAGCCATACCCGTAGAGTAGTATGTTATTTCCTCCTGCTCAGCAAGAGGAACTGTGCCCAGCTCTCGTTCTTCATCGTTAGTAGACATGTAGGCCACAGACGGCACACCGGACAGGCTCTGAGGGTCCAGCGGGCCCAATCCAGAGCTTTGGACTTCTGGCAAACCGCTTCCGCCGCCGCACGCCATCTCTTGCACACTTCGAAAAAAAAAAAGCGATGAAAAACCAGCACTCGTCTGCCGTTCCAGTGGGCGCTCAGCATGGAGTTGGTAAAGGTAGTGTATGGGTGAATCAAAGATGCAAGCAGAACCAAGCAGCTTTATCCTCTGAAGAAAGACGACCACAAACACTCTAACTAGCCATACGGTTGGTGATCGTGTTGAGTGCACTGTTGGGCCCTCTCAACAGCTACATGTGCCAAACCAACCGTCCTGAATTCAGCGTATTTCCAATTCAGCAGGCCAAACCATAGAAGTGCTCAGAGAAAAGGCGAGTTCGGTGGAACGGAAGAAGCTCAACTAGCCCAATTTGTTTACATTCCCACAACTCTGACAGCTCACTACGATAGCTTGCTCTGTTTAGAGGGGGCTGGAGAACGGCGCCAACGCGAACACAGCCATGGATTATTATAGTTTCAAAGGCACAGTTAGGCACTGAAAATTAGTAGAATCCCTAAAATATCTGGAGAAGGACAAATAAGTCAAGCGTATTTATCACCGTAGTCGGCACTGGCGCGCTTCGCTGGCTCCGACGAGTTGGCTGAACCGCCACTGAGTGGTCACAAACAACGGCTGCCCATGGTGCGTGAGGTTGTGGGAGTTGGAGAATGAAGTGGAGCCTGAAGAAAGAAAAATTAACAACAAATCTAGTAAAAATGCACCCACATCTTGTTCTGAGTATGTCTTGGAAGGAACCAGAAAGAGTACGTCAGAAAGATTGGTTTGGGAGGTAAGGGCAAATCGACTGGCTAACTGTCCCAGAAAATGTCGGCAACAAAAGGAACAGGTTACTTTACATAGTATTTTGCCTGGTATTTCGAAGCCAAGATTGACAAATCTGAAGTGGTCTGTACTTCGAATCCCTTCGCTATTTTGCGCCTCACGTCCCGTTAAAGGCGAGCCTCCGGCAGACCAACGGGCACGCACACAAAAGGTTGTGCTTGTTAGAGTCGAAATATTTTAAGAAATATTTGTCCATTAGATTGCTTAAGTACATTTGTAGCATTCTCGAATAGGCACGCTTGTTTATTCGACTTTTTCCGTAGGAGCAGCTGCTCCCATGATTTCGCATGTTTCGAGTACCTCAATATTGGCATCGGCGTTGATTCATATTTTCGTTTCTCTACTGAAAGCGTTAAAACATAAGTAACAAGACAGCCTTCCTCTTCGTCCCTCTATGTCTTCTCATCCTTACATTGTAAATTATACATATATCACCCACATTTTACAATGCAATTATATATTTGTTGCTTGTACCTTTCCCCCGACTTCGACCGTCTCCTAGCTGGCTTCTCAGTCCGGGATTATTAGTGCCTTCTTCTACCTCATTCTCTCTATTATCTGTGAAAATGTTTACGTGGTCTGATTCTCGGAGTGTTGGTTGCGTTCGTCAGTGTTGATAGGTCGAGCAGGTTCGGCCACTATGAAACTCATTCTTTAGCTGTTCATGCATATTCTGCATTCGGCTAGGGCTTGCAAATTAAGCATTAGTTCGCCTTGTTTGCTGCATTGTAATAGTCGCCTGCACTTTTTCCGTGCACACAACTCGCTTGCTGTTTTTGTTCCTTAGCCCGATTCTTCTGCGGTGAAAATGAGTTCTGTGCACGGAAAAGGTGCAGGCGAACATTACAGTGTTTATCTTCGGCGAGAATTCACATCACTACTAAAGCGAACAATCTCAGCTGATTCTATCTTGCAGCCCAAAACTCTACACTGCAGCGGCAGAAGGCGACGCGCAATGAACCTCCTTTCGGCCCCCTTTTGACCCTGACATTTCACGTTGGCAATCGGCCACTTCTGAAACATGAAGAGAGTGCTGGGTTGATACAATCTCTTTTGGGAATCAAGTAGAACAACTCAAGGAATGTTTCGATGCAAAGGTACTCGTTTCCTCTTTCTTACCAAGTCCTGGCACATATTTGCCCATAAAAGATTCGCTGTCATGGCGGCTGTCAGCTGCCAGCGCCGGATAGACACCTATCAATTATGACTAAATAGCCTCTTTGCGTGCCTTGCTTTCGCAGCCACCGGCATGCGTTCGCCAAGTCGTCAAATGCATCGCTTGTTAATCATGGACAGCACGATCCCGTTGCTCGGTGAGTGAGTATTATTGTTCACTTCTGAAGTGCAGAAAAAGCGGCCGAAAATCGCCAAGGGCAACGCCACCAGCCAATACAGTACAGCTCATAGTCAAGTGGAATTAGGCTGCTGTGGCTTGTTTCTCAAGAAACACAGCGCTGACCTAGCAGTCTGCTATTCGAACCAAAAAATGTAAGGAATCGAAACCATCTACAGTGAGTTGAGCAACTGCTACAAGCTTATTCGCCGCAGGCGAGTACCATTTAAATGTTGTAGCTAAGCGTTTGAGGGGGTCATAAGCCCTACAACTACCCCGTTTTTTCGGGTTTCCAAAGACAAAGCAGCCCGCGGTCAGTCTTTGGAAGATACGGCAGAGATAATTTGCTCTCTTCGACGAAGCAGTTGACGTAGTAGTACACAAGAGCTGCCACTTCACCTCTTGAAGTGTTGCAGTGTAACAAGTGAAGATTCAAGATCTTGTCAATCGTAGCGACGGCCAACGAAGGTTCTACGACAACCCAGAAAGGTCCGTTTCGAAGCGGGTTTTCGGCTGAAGTGGGTTGAGCCTCTGGTGCCTTCCGGCTGGTTTCCCAACCAAACGGGCCTGGAATCAGCTGATCCATTATGTAGTCCGCAATATCCTCCAGCGATACTCCCGCCCCATAGCGACACACTTGCAACCACATGCCTTCGACGCGTTTTGGTGGTTGAATCGGGCCTAAGATTGTGTCGAAGTTCCTGCTTCCACAAGGCGGCAGCCTGCCGCAGTAAACTGGGTCGTGGATAGGATCCAGCGCCTCAATACCCACAGGACGAATTGTAGGAAGGTAGAGGAATGAGAAATCCTTGCTGGAACCCTGTCCATCTGAACGACAGCGTTAGGTAGTGCATGCAGTTAATCCTTCAGGAGTAAATATCGCTGCTAGTGTACCTGGTCTTATCAATACAGAGTCATGCCTGTCATGTCTACACAGGTGCTGTCTGAGGGGGTTGAAAAACAAAAGATTCTCGTCCGCTGTCTGGCCCGACTCCATTGCTCCGATGAAGTTTTCACATGAGATACGGAAGAATTTAACCTCCAGACCATGCCGCAGTACGTGTCTTAAAGAGACAAGAACAACAACTTCAAGAGGCTCCCAACAGTGCCTGATCGTGTCGTGCCGTCAGGGTCCCTGCAGCTGGCTGGCTGCTCCTTCTCGTGTGCAACAACTCGCAGGGAATCCTTTATTTCAGGCAGATATTTCTGCCTATACTCGATGATCATATATAGAGGAAAAAGTCCCGTTAAAGCAAAATTTCAAAGTATAGGGTATGTAAGAGAAGTAATATGCAATAGAATGCCACGCTTCCGCTCAGTTCAGAGCATTGCAGAATCTGCACCCCAGTGGTCCTTCAAACAGTCCACTCCAACATGAGAGGGTGCACAATGGCAACAGTTGCCACACAGGAGCTTAAAATGAGCGTTGGCAAAAAGATGTTTACAAGGATGCTTTTTCGAACGGCTTATGAGAGCAGCCTACATACAAACACTTTGTCGTCGACGGGTATTTGTTTCGATGGCGTACAGACACAAGAGGGCAAGTGACCCAAGATAAGAGGTAATTATTGGCTACTCTCGCAAAGGTGCATAACTCAAAAGGAAGATATTTGGTTTAAGGTAGCTTCGTAGCCCAGTTGAGCCCAATGATTGGGCCAATCAGTCGTGTGTTTCGTTCCTGTCCCCGTGTGCCAGGGGCAAGAACCCGCTCAAAAACTCCGCAGAGTCACTGAAGAGTTCAGAGAAACTCATGAAATTCGAGGGGACATTTTGATCCAATTTCTTAACATATTAGATGTATTTGTGGAATATTAACCGAAGGCTCACGATTAATCCAGAATCCGCCTAGACTGTGCTGCTTCACTGTTGTGGTCGACGCAACGGCCGTCGTGATCCCAAAATAAAACGCCTGCATTACCTTGTGGGTGGCATCCAATTATAAATTCCCAATTGGTCAAGAGGGTTTCTCTACCTGGAGGGTGCCTGTGAAACTGCAGTAATCCAAGAACGGCTGGATCTGCACACACATTATGCGGCACCAGCAGCAGTCGAACGGGGAATAGGAAGATTGAAGGCTACACTATTGATTGTGCTGGATAAACAATATTAAAATGCGCCAAAAAAAATACATACGGGCTCTGAGAGACCCGAGGCTGTCCACCGTTCAACATGTGTGCTGGCTCCACCCACAGCGTTGACCCCCCAACACAATTAATGCGTCTCATAAGCTTAGGAATTTGTTTAGCGACTCGATGGAATTGGCCATATCTGCTAGCAGGCTTAGTGAAATCTTCGTATACGCCCTACGTTTTAGAGATATCGGGCAAGGCGTGCCTTGAAACCAACCTCCCGACGTTCACTGGGCGAACCATCCCCATGTCATTTTCACAGCATCATGAGGCAATTTCCGAGGCGCAAACAACATGAACGAAATTTGCACGGCCATTTAAAAGGTGGTTCACACTAAATCGGGGGAATCCTGATTAGATGAATTACAAGCCAGCAGAGCTTTCCATTAGTCGGACTTGAGTTTCTTTGTGGATTTAGGGTTTTATTCGAGTGCAAGTAAGTGGTATCGGTGGTACAAGAGGTACAAATAGAAGATCAAAGTGCGAATGAGCATGCAGTTCTGTTCTCTCCGTCCATTTCTGCACTGAATCGAGGTTCCTGTAGTATTCCTGATGCTATGAACCGCGGTTGCCCCAAACTAGTTAGAAGTACTAATCATGGAAAATTTAATCTTAACTAAAACTTCGCTTAATCAGGATATGACCCTTTCTTCGACGAGGACACGAAGGCTAAAACCAAGCAATTCTGGGTCCCATGAGTGGTGTGTATCCTCCCACAAGGTAATACATATCTCCTGATCATATCTGGGCTTGCAAGATCATCACGGTTATAGGATCCGAACCTTTACCGGTTTAAAATTGCGACTGTTCGGCTGGGCTGGTGCCGATCTCTGTATTGAAGAAATGCCATAATCAGTAGCAACTGGAGGGTCATTCACTTCGTATTTTGATCAGCATTTGAAGCAGCCGCTTCTGAAACAGCCATTTCAGACGTCCCCTAGAGCGCTAACCTCTTGACTATCGGAACCAGTTCATAGATAGTTCCAGCATTATGCCGCTGAACTGCTTCAAAACGGAGTTGTTGTGCGCCTAAGCTGAAACACCACTGCGCCCCCTGCCGGCTATGCACGAGGAAATAATCATTCATTAAAAAACTCTTGCAGCTGTGCACGTCGGTATCAGCTAAATGCGCCGCACTGCTTCTCTGCCATTCCAAACTAGTGGCAAGCAGGACCTCCACGGAGTTTCAGCGTTCACTGCCTCCACGGCAAGCTACACGTGGCTACAGGTTTTGTCCTTGGCGATGTGGAGACGCATATAGCACCAGATGTATGACACTGACCACGAATTTGGCACACAAAAAAGTTGGCCTCTTGCTGATGAATGCGTCTGACTAGCAAGTCTAAATTCTCCTCGGCTGCGTGCAGCATTTGGCTCTCGCGCCATATAAAGCCGATTTCGACAACCTTTCACTTTGCTTATTCATCATCTGCTTTTACTTTGATTAAGTTCCCCGGCCACTGCTATCCCTCTAAAGGATATGTTCCCCCATTCTCCACAGCAAGTTAGAGTTCCTGCGGATCCAGCAGCTGCTTTGCAATATGCTGCATCTTGCCCTGTCGCCCTTGTAGCCGCATGAGGGATGCTTGTAGCCGTCCTGCTACATCCTGTCGGAGTGCCAGCTTATGACCGCCAGTACGGGACCGTCGAGGCACAGAGGAGCAGGAGGAGTCGTTACCAGCCTCCATGGGATGTTGCATACCTGGCTGTGGAACAGAGAAGGAAATGCGCTGGTATTGTGGTGTGGGTATTGCGCACCTCGTTGAGTGAGAACGACGACGGCCTGCCACAGGCTCAGATGCAGCGCTGCTACTACTGGTACTGACTGACCACCGAGAGACAGACCGATGCAGACGAGTGTTTCCATTCCGCATTGTTTCCCGCCTGCGTCGCCGTCGTTCAAGCTTGTTTCTGCTGCTCATGCTGTTGTTGCTGCTTGTAGATTCGTCCGTCCGAAAGGCACTGCTACCGGACGAACGGTTGCGGTTTTTCTGGTAGCGCGCACTGCACATCGTATGCCAGCATTTGGACTTGCACCTGCCACCCATGTGATGAGGTAGCGCATCTGGCTGGGAGGGACAGGGATGCGCTCGATCTTGCAGCTGTTGACCGTCTGCGCCACCTTGCGTATTAGCGCTGTCTGCTTCACGAGCATGTGTTTCGTTGCAGGGGAGCGGTGCGGTCGCTGAGCAGCCAGCAGGGGGTAGTCGCACCTCCACATCTACAAGCGCTTGACGCCCTCCAGCCTCTGTCGAGCGTTTGCAAGCACCCGTAGTCTTCCCAGGCTTCCTTAAACAAGATAGACAGCCTCCACGCGCCTCCTTGGCAGGTAATACTGCAGGGAGCACCACTGCTGTGAGAGAAGCTGTTTCTCCGGGGCACTGTTGAGTGGTGCAGCGGCTTCCGGGCTGACATCCAACAGAATGGTGACGCATCCTGCTTGAAGAAGGCTCTGGCGCACTTAATTGCTTGTTACTAACTGATCCCCGAGACTGGAGTAGCGGTGCACGCAGTGCTGCCCGGAGTTGTCGGTTTTCTTGCTGCAGCACCTCCACGCGGGCTTCGAGATCAACACCTGAATTTCTCGCCGCATGCAAACAAGCACAACAGAGTCGTTGGATTGAACAAGAGTCCCTAGAGCGAAAATTGCCACGCCTGCCATACAGCCGCTGCACTGGCACACTTTGCTCGTGATGCTTCCTAAAGAACAACTGGGAGAAAGAATGTACGCACAGCGACGGCGCTCGGCATCCAGCGCTTCAGAGACTGTTCTTAGCTTAAGCTCTTGTTCAACCCCCTGCCGCCTCCGTAACTGCTCCATCATGCTCCTCTGGGCACACAAGGAATGCCACAACGTATCATGCGTCCGACAATGCTACCACAATACGTGCATAGCGGAAATAAGGAGGTAATAAGGGCAGTCGAACACAAAGTAAAACGCGTCGGCTGAAAGCTGCCAGAGGGGATCTTCTAAGATGTGAAATACCTCGTGGCGCAAGGCACATCGAGCCTCCGTGGCCCTACGGAGGATGTCAGCGGCCTTCTCAGCCGTTGCTTCTGTCCTCTTCTGCTGCTGTGTCGCTAGCCTGCAGCCCAACACAAGAAGTAACTGATTGCGTCTGCTCACCCTCTCTCCACTGTGGCGTCCGCCTGTGCTGGCACCTCACTCAAAAATTGCAAAGCATGCATTCACCTATGAATAGGGAAACGTAAGGTACGCCACTAGTTAGCACGGCCTCCCGAAACATCCTACACATAGTCATGCCACCAGATGAAAACGGGCTGATAAGTCATGCAGTAGTGAGTTACGAACCTCGCGAGTTTGTCTGCAGCCTGGTTTAACAGCTGCTGGGCATATTGGCGAAGTGCATTGGTCGCCCGTGCAGCAGCAGCTGACGTTTCTTCTTCCTGGAAAGATAGCCAAACAAACGGAAAACTTGTGGATTTATCCACCTATAACTTTTCCTGAATGTAGGTACCAAAGTAGAGTCAGCCAATAACGCCCGTTTCGGTGGAAACAGACCTGTCGTCTCAGTCGAAGTGCCCTGAATTGGATCATCTGATGAATCTGTTGACGGAACGCAAGAAGAAATAAACGGAATGCACGTGATAGCTGATCGTATGCGCCAATCAGGCCGAGGATATCACGGAGGTGGAGGGACTAAGCGCCAGGGGAACGCAAGAAGCAACAACGAATTGTTAATCCTCAAACAGATCAGGTGGGAGGTGGTGGAAGCCAAAACAGTAATGGAGAAGCGCAGGAGCTCTACAGAAGAAGGCCCACGCACACGTAGAAACTAAGAAGGAAAGCAACAGTGTAATGAATTGCCGACCTCATGCAACTCCTGCGCCACGAATCTATGAGCATCAGCATTGCTTAGACGGGTGAGGCACGCCTCTACAGATTTAGACATAGACGGGACATCTACAGGCTTGCTATCTCCGCCGTTGCACAATTGGTTGGGGAGAGCGCAGTCGCAGTCCTGTGGAGTGGCGGCTTCTTCTCCATTCGCTCCTGCCACAGCTGAGCTTTGCTCTCCTTGCTCTTTCGGAAATGTGGAGATGGCATCGGTTCTGGGGTCCTGGTAGTGAGTACAGGCAGAATTAGATGCGGCACGGGCAATAAGGCTAGCGCCCATCCTGTTGGCAATAGCAGATCCTGGTGTCTGGAGATTCAAAGGCTCAATGCCTGGCGAGACAGTAAGCTTCTGAAACCGTTCACGGGCTGAAGAGGAGGGGGATCTCTCATTTGCAGGTGGGGGCACAGCCGGACGGGCCAGCTCGATAGAGGCAAATAGGGAGATGTGGCGGTGACGGCGGGTGGTTCGTTGCTGCAGATTGCTCTGTTGTAGCGGCGCAACGCTTTCTACTGCTCTGTCGATAGCTGCGGAGCTGCTGCACTGGAGAGTTAGGCACGCCTGTGGCTGGTTCACAGGGAAGGGCTGAGCATAGGTAGCAAGCGGTGCAACATCTTTAGTAGCAGCATTCGGTTCTGATGACGTCTGGCTACTGACCGAGCCAAAGAGAAGGGTGTCCCTGTCATCTCCTCTGCACATCTTTCACCAAAGAGCCAATATACAGAGGACCCTGGTGCTCTTCGTGTGCAGGCCAAGTGCACAGTAGCTTCAATAGTCGAGCCTGGCAGCCAGTGCGGTACAAGAAGCAGTGAGTCCGCAGAAAAGTTGCAGTATGGCTAAATATGAGCCATTCCGCAGAGGGAAAGATCCTGCTGAATGGCGTGGTATAATTGGGCAAGAATGTCATCGGCTTGGCCATGCTTCGGGCGGCCTTGGGAGATATTACACATGCACAGGGCCTTTAGAAAACACTAAAAATGTATCTTGTAGGGTGGTATACTGATTTGCTTGCACATCAGAAAGATGTTGCCTTCCATGGATCGGGCAGTCGAGGTATAGAAATACACAGAATGTACTACGTCCAGCATAGCGTGGTAACAGTTACAACGGCAGTGCTGTTGGCATAACAATTCACATGGCACATGCAGTTCATCTTGTAAGTAAAATTAAATGCTCCTATGATGCGAATGCCAGGCATAAAGGAGCCGTGTCCCGTATTGCCGGGGGATGCAGGCGTCGCCAAGGCACTGCCGACTTCTTGGCAATGGGTCCAGTCCATGCACTTGAACCTATGAAAGACCTACGCTGGGTCTAATTTCGAGACTGAGTTAAAATGCAAATGCTGTTTTCTAGTTGACAGTCCCCAAGGAATCTCACAGCTGTTTGTTTGGTTTTCAGGCTACGCCCCACCTGAGGCCACTTGGAACCATTATGTGGCATTGCTGCTGTGTTGCCGGTAGCCTGTTCACTTTAAATCATTCATACGAGTAAAACTCGAAATACCATATTCATGAGCTCCACATCCTCCCACAGTTGCTCAATCGCTGAATACAGTTCCCAGCTCTCTCACCCTCACCAATGTCACGACGAGCGTTACGTACAAGCGAACCTGTTGGACCCAAAGGAACACAAAAATCGAGGAGAAACAAGACAGAAAAGCCCCTATAGTCAGCTTAGAGCAGGAATAATCACTTGGTCCAGTCTGGATGGGACCAGTTTGAACCACATGATTTTTCCAGCGTTTGCCAAGCTGGTGAATCCCTTCACCCCAATTTGCTTTTCTGCTTCTATCGTGAAAAACGGCAAGGTTCGTCAGTGCCTAACTACGAGGTTCCAAGCAACTAAAGCGTCACTTTAATGACAAATAGTTGAGAGGCTCACGATGCCCTCTATATAGCATATCATTTTTCATGGTTAAAATGCATTCTGCTTTCAGTGTACCATATCCTATTCAAGAAAACCTCAGCTGTGGATCTAGGTGTACGAGCAGTCCGTCAATGCCAACACCAGCAAATGCAACACTGGAGAAAGCTCCTTGGCGTATGGAAGCTTGTTTAGCTTCTTTTCGTTAATTTCCTCTATTTTTAATCATGCTCGTCATCTCTGCCGTATGATCCTGATGAATATCGAATGCGGTAGCGATTCGCACGCAGCACTCGCAGCTGCAGCATGAGCGGCTCTTCCTTTACTTGTGTTTCCTGGCGTGGCTAATGCTTGAAGACACTTTTTCGGAAGCAAGGCTGATAGCTTTGAAAGACTGGGAAGCGCCACAGTACAGCAAATTACTTTTATCCCCCTTGCGCATGTACGAAGCTCCCCGAACCTCGCTACATGCCTGAGGGCGAAGACAGGTGCATCTTTTGTAGAGGCAGACGGCGCAGCTCAACCCAGCTGCCTGGAAATGCTTATCTCAGCACCGAACGCATTGAAGTCTCTGACGCTGGCTCTCTACTGGGTTGGCGTGGCGCCAATTCATTTCGATCAGTCGAGGAAAATGTTGGCGACCGCCAGAGAACTAGAAAACCCTCCACAGGCAGACAACGATACCCCCGCTGAAACGGGGGACCCCCAATATGAGGGATTGTTTGCACTTCCGGCGGACGGTGCTGATCCATTTGCCGGAGTTTCTATCCTCCGTGCGAATGCATTAGCACTGAAGAAGTCACATATCAGCGATGAGGTGCTGCAGAGCATGACGCAGTTGGTCCAAGAATTAATTCAGGAGGAGGCGCACAACATACAGCATCAAACGGATCTGTGGCTAATTTCACAAACCAAAAGTGCAGTAGATACATTGCATACAAATCCAGTGGAGTTCCCCGTCACTGGATATTCACTCCAAGAGGGTGCCAACGGAGCTTTGTATGTAAAGGTAAGGAAGCGTATATTCTGAAGACTCATGTTTCAATGCACGGATTTGTTGAGTAGACAGATGTTCCGTATTGGATGGTAGATGCAGAAACAGCTCTCACAGTCATACTACAGGATGTAATGAATGACGTAATGGGAATGAGATTACCGTTGTTACCCAGAACCCTCCCTCCTGAGGAGCGAAAAGGAGATGGCCCCATTGAGTTCGGTTACGATACGACCAACCGCCGCACAGTGAAGTTTGCCTTTGGCGATTCGGTGGTAACTGTGGTTTGTGGCAAAACTCTGCATTCTGGAGCGGCTGTTGGAGTGTCACACGGGTCATATGCGGTTAAGGTGGGTGCATTAGCTACAGCTCTTATCGCGTTGGTTTTGCATAAGTTCACAGATAAGCGGTGGCACCAACAGTGCCGAAGGCACAATTGCCGCAGGGCCGGTAATGGTAGACAGCTCCGTTTCTCCCCCTGGCGTCCAGAACAATGCCACAGTGGGAACGGTGCCGTTGATTCAAGCAAAAATTAGCACATCTGCCGGGCCAGGATCAATCGTAGCATCCTATCAAAACACGAAAATAAAATTTGATACTCACCCTGAAGGGAAACGCCACGGCGCCGAATTTGGGAATAAAGACTTTGTCCTTGGGGTCACTCGCGACTTTGACGACAGGATCAACATTGTTAAGCGTGAGCTAGATGGTCTCTGTTGTGAGCTCCCCAATTGGGTACAAGCAAGCACGCGTTGCCTCAGATGAAGTCGGACCGTACTCAATTCAGTTAGAAACTGACCTGGCCGATGATAAGAATCACGCATATTCGGGGAAGCTGACAGCCAAAACGCCACAAACAGGAAGGATGGTCTTTGGTGGAGGATTCGACGAAACAAACTTCCCGACTACGGATCTTGCCCTTGAAGCAAGAGATATGAGTATCACATTCAACGGCAAAAGGGGGGATCCTGGGTATAATGTACGCATTGGCCCCTTCGTTTTCGATGTGGTACTGTCAAATGGGCTGCCCGAGTTCATCCTCCAGGAAGTCAAATCTTGACCTGTCTTAAATAACCCTTCCCTCAAAGCCAATATGACCATTTAATATAAACGGCAGAATGAATAGAGAATTCCAATCAAAAGTTTCCAATCAGTTAGCTTTTATACCTCTAGACTAATCCGATGAGTGCAATGTCCCCTAGGGACATATGCAGAGGAAACAAGAAACGTAGCATTAAAATGACTCTGAGAGTCGGAATCTCATATCTCCTGTACTTAACCGTTCCACGGCTCGTCACTGCACTTGGAAGCAGCTGGGTGAGTCTACAAACCACAACAGTACTTCTTTCTTGTCCACTGTAAATATGCCAGAGGAAGTGGCATCATAATCTACAAGTCGACTGGCGTGCTGCAACTCAATCTTGGCTTGGCGAGAACTGGTAGCAACGAGATCAACGCAACCCAACACAGCAAGGTGATTTAGGTACAATAGGCAAAAGCAGAAGCTTCTGGCTATCAGGCAAGAACATGTGTTCCTTTCTCAAAAAATGAACTGTAGAGACATGAGCGGTTGGATTCGCAAGCGAGCGAAACAGTAGCAAATACACAGAAGCCGTTTTGCAGTGGTGGCCTGCCCACTAGAGCAGAATTCTCAATCTTATAAAATAACGTCATGCTTGAATAGCAATGTCGGGTAGCTAATGTAAGTGCCGATCCCTTCCTGTCATAAAAAGCATGCTATTGCACTGGCCGTAGTTCTTTAGCTTGCCCTCAGCACTTGATGCGCCATCTCACTTTTATGCCTCCCACCGGAGTTGTGGCCACGAGCAAGCCGGCAGTTCTTCGTGAGCAAGGACAAGCATAACACGCAAAACGAGAATGCGTTTCGTGAAAATCCGGCGACTCTCCTGGCAGCTACTTCATAGGAACGCAACGCCGATTGAAATCTGCCTCCGCTGACGAGGTGGCAACTCACTGGATGGCAGCAAGAGAAACATCGTAGCTCCCCGTTGGGTGCGTTTGCTGCTTCTTGCATCTGAACAGCCACACGTATCCACGCGTGAGCACAAACAACAAGATGTTGACTCTGCAGTGAAACCCATGATGCCTGCGCCTAAGCTGCCAGTTGTCGAAGCATGCCGGCTAACGATATACCACTCTCTCTGGGGGTAGAGGTGCACTGTAGATCCTAGAAAACTTACTGGAGGCCTCAGAAAACAAAATGGGCACACGTTATGTGACTTTCGAGTCTGCATGTTTTCTACGTTGATAACCTGTGGGAAAGCACGGTAAGCATGCTCAGTCGTTGGAACCAATAATAAAGAACACTTACCTAAGTAGAATTACGAATATATTCGCTACGATGCCAGTAGTCGGCCACGCACCTTGAATCCGCAATAAGGGCAAACATGTTGAGTTAAAGACAAAACCCCGCGGCTTGGCATCCTCAGGACGATTTTGCACGTAGATCGGTTGGAGCAAGCCTGATGTGCATGATAAACACAGTATTTCTACTTCTTCATGCAGAGTTGGAGGCGCTAGCCTACAGCGGGAAGCGGGCATAAACATGTGAGCTCCACGCCACCTTCCGTTGCTTAATGCACGATACTCACAAGGAAACGGCTTGCTCCTGTACCCACAGACACAAAACAGTGCATCAGGGGGGAGCGAATCTCAGGTTAGAAGTTCAGCTCTAGCCGGAGCAAGCGATAACCTGGGGACTAGCGCACCTCCGATCGTGTCAGGATTTCCTCGACTGCCAGCACTCCTCCCTCGCCTGAAGCAAGACTAGCACTTTACGGGGGTCATTCACTTCCATAGTATGAACGTGCCAACGATACATTTCCTGAGGAGACAAGCTTTGTATCTATGCGCTTGCCGGCAGGAGGACTTTAAGAGAGGCTTACCTCGAGCCAATGTTCTGTTCTTCGCGTCCGGTATCCTGTGTGGAATAATGCAGCTCTCACTCAAGATACTTTATTTCCTCACACCATATGGGTAACATGCGAAGCATCTGTAGTGCGCATGCGTTAGCGCTTTTCAATAACATGCCAACTGCTACCGCTGAATCACTTTAAATTTCGTGTGCAACGCGAGAGCCAATCAAGCAGAGTCGTCGTTTTATGGCTTCTCACCATAAGGTCCATAGGACTACCACACTTCGCGCAAGTGCAAAAGCTGCGCTGCAGCAGGCGACAGTCTGCATCTGAAGCAGCCAATGGTGAGAAAATGCGCTGGAGTTGCTCGTCTAGCAACGCTATATGCATACGCAGCAACCGAAAAACTTCCCCCACTGTGCCCACGTGCTTCTGGATAACATCCTCCTGTTGCCACAACGAGATGCCGCATGTGCAACCACAAATACAAGCAATTACTACACAGGATTCGTTAGTTATGCACACATTGCACGCCAACTATAGCACCGGAACTGAGTCCAGTCTCACCTTCCTCTCCACCCCTCGTGCAATTAGCGTCATATCTCGTTCCATGCTGGCTCGTAAGTCAGGCTAAAGAAAGAAATACCGCAGTCAACGCATGAATGTGTACGTGAACTTGGATGTGGAGGGAGTCGTTCCTTAGGCTGCTCTGTTCTTGCATATGCAGCATTGGCTACAGAGGTAGAAAATGTCTCACCCTCGATAGATCTGCATTGCAGATACGACCAACAAGTTTATATCCCTGAAGTGAAATGCACACTGGCCTAGAAAAGCCACTGTTTGTATAAACCCGCAATATGAGACTCTGCCTCCCTCTCACGAGTACCGTAATCCATCAATGTGTAAAGTCGTTGTCACCGCAGCAGCACCTCGACAGTCGACTACACATTGTCCGTACCTCGACCAAGGCGACACCGAGGTCGGTAGGCTTAAAATGCTGAGAGTCCGTTTTAATAGCATAGTTCCGTTCCTGGAGCATTGCACTCAGCATATGGAATGAGGACTTTGTGCCTGCACCTCTACGGTTCATAACCCAGAGCAGCTTCAAGCTTCATACGCTCAATGTACCTGAATGGTCCGTATATGCTCGTGCATTGTCGCGTCCGTACCAATCCCGTGCTGCAGAGCAACGTTTCACAACTGCATGCAAAAGCCTTTCCACAAATGCCACTCATAAAGAACGTATAGTACAAATACAAAAGGTCAAACTGCGTGGGATGCTAACTTTGTCCATCTTGTCGATAAGTTCAGCTTCGGTAAGGAGAGTAGGAGGCTGCGTGCTTCCTGCCTGGATTGTCACATCCTGTGGGGTAAACCGTTCATGCAATAAGAATCGTGGCAACCGGCGTGATGCCCTGTAACACGAAGCCACCCAGTCCACGATGCCAAAAACTAAACGGCAAGCGGAACAGCAGTACCCTAGAGGCTGTGTGGGTTGTTGTTTACGGCTCTGTGCTTGCTCTCAAGCACAGACAGCCTGACAAGGAATCTACTACTACGAGAGCTGGAGGGACTGGCTTCTAGTAAAGTTAGCTTTTGGTGAATTGGGTACTCCAAATTACCACGAGTCGTAGGGGTATACCTCCAGGTAGTTCTTCTCCAGCACGACGAGTCCCGTTGCTGAAAACGTCTCCCCTACATGACCACGAACGCACCAGACGCACCACCAATTGGCCAAAGTCCAGACTGTTCCAAGCAATTTTCACTTGCCATATCACGGGAATAGAGGGATCTGGCAGGGGTAAATAGTGTGGCAAGTAAGGTAGTTTGCAGCTAACCAGCAATATCCAATTCTATTTTAGTCTCGAAGCCAATGGCATCAGAGCTGCACGATCCACAAACAGGGCAACCGGTAAACATCAGCCCGCACTATAAGACAGCCTTAGCGTTGCACAGCAAAAACCCAAATTGCACAACTTTTTATCTCAGCTCACATATGAGTACTACTACATTAGGTACATTGTATTCAGGATGCATCAATAAACATCTAGAAGCTGCTATAGAATTTTTGGTAGGGTTAAAATTAATTAATTTTCGTAATAAGCGTTTTTCCATATTAAAAGGATTAAGACCTTTAGAGAACAACATAATAGCTCATCTCAATTACACTTCAACGCGAAAGAAGGCAAGGCGGAACGCAGTGTAGTTCAGAATGAGCCTAGAAATTAGCAATACCTGCAACAAGCAAGGAAGTGCCTGGTGATTGCCTCGTAAAGCTGAGCGGAAAAACACATATATGCAGTTCATATTGGTGATCTCCTTCCAGCTGCTTCTCCAAAACTGCTTGTCATGAAGTTGCCACCTTCTGACCTTCCACTCATCATCATTTTCGCATTCTTCTCTGCGCACATACAACAGACACCAACAATCTTCATGAAACCAAATAGGCAGCCGTAACATCGGCTGTCGCACGCCAGTCCTGGTAGGGAATAACTCCTTGTGAAACTCTAAAAGTGTGTCATGCATGCTTACCTGCTCAGTGCCTTTACTGGGTGTATCGGTGGATGAGACTGCGCAGCAACACAGCATCAGCACTCCCTATGGACCAGCAACATGCATTAATATTTGAACACCAGTTTCCACCTGTCCAATGAATGTACAATAGTAGTCATCTGCACTTCATATGTTGCAAGTCTCCAGTAAGCAATGGTGTGCACAGTGGAGCGCTAATGGGATGCCCGACTGTATAAAGGAGGCTACGATGCCACCGAAAGTCTACGTAAAACTCACAGCATCGTCATTTGGTCCATCGCGAGGCCATTCAAAACCACCTGGCACACAAAAATCAGTGCTATCAAAATGGCATGGCTTTTATCATAAGAAGCAACGCAAGCATTTCTGAGGCGAATCTGTCAAGGCCACCCAAAAAGACAGACAAATTTACGCACCCGCGAGCAAACCAGCAGCAAATTGCCCCCACAGCGGACTGTCCCGCTGCTGCTCAATCAGCCCCAACAAATCATGCGAGCGCGTAAAACGTTCCGTCTCCGTTCGCGGGTAGCTGAGCACAAGCCGATGCATGCGAGCCTTGATATGCGTATCAGTGCCCCGAAAAGCGGTACCTTGGCTACACTAACTATAACTCCATGTCCACAGGGCATTACCTGATATAGCCGCGATTGTATAGGGCCTCCGCTATCTGCATGCACCTGTATACGGAACAAAAATTGAAAGACAGTATGATGACCGTCGCAGCAGCCAAGCCTTCACCACCCATTTTTCTGTTGATGATTCAGGGCCAATGATTCTTTGCACCGTACTTGTGCGAGTCAATCCGGAGCTTGCGGGAACAGAGTTTAGTCATTTCAACTGTGTCTGAGACAAACAATCCCTCCGGAAAATAGTAGCCCTCATATCGAGGTGCCCATGCAAATCGCTACGAAGGAACAGTTTGCAGCTCCTAACGCGGTGCTGTGAACAAACCACCAAGGTAAGCTCCAGCGTATTTGTTGCAATGTGTGGGCACCAAATAGTCAGCAATCAACTCAGTGAGCTTCGCGCTTAGCAACGGCCCACTTAGAGGCACAGGTCTTTGTCTAGTAACTTCGCGGCTGTCGACAGCAGTGATGAGCGCTTCGGGGTTTTCACAGCACAGCTCAAGGAAAGCGATTACGACGGCTCTGCGGAAGGCAAAATGGCATGAATTCTGTGGATCTACTGAGGCAAAGAAGCAGAAAAGTCTACAAAGTTGTTCTGGTGGAATTTTACATGCGTGCACGTTCTCATCTAAGTACATGGTTCCTCAATGACAACTAGCACCCTTTTGTGGACTTTACCGGTCAAAAAGGCGTTGTCGCCCCCACTGGAAGTCAACAAGGAGACGGTGACCTGGTCTTTCTTCGTCTTCCCTGTAGATGGAATCAACGTAGCAATCATACACCACGTACGTTGAGAAATCCTGCTGGGAAGCCTCGAGGGGAAACCTTGTTAATTTCACGCTGAGCGACAATGCGTCGGACCAACCTCTCAACAGTGACTCGGAGGGTCCAGAACCGTTCAGCCACAAATTTTTCCACTTCCAAGAATCTGCAGGCCGCAATGAAATCGCTTCGACTACAATTACCGCCCAGCTAATTATCAGATCGCTGTTGTAACAAATTCAGCGTCAACAATGAGGTGGCGCCGAGGGTCGACACGATGCAAAACTACATACCGTTCAACAACAAACCCCAAGGTAGGGAACTGGCAGGGACCATAACTGCATGGGAAAGAAAACCGCAAGGAGCTCAATTTGATTATAGAAAACACGAACGTCTTCAGGAACGGCCTAAGCACGAGAGCTGTGCGATGCCAGCTATGCTCCATGGCAAGTAAAACATGAACAGTGCACCTACCTTATTAGTCCCTTCTGGAGTGACAGCTTATTTTGGTACCGTTTCGTAAGAAACCGCGTGAAGGCAGCGCCTGCACAGCGCTCCAACCCAGCAACAAACAGTGTTCATGAAGCGGAACCAAGTGTAGAAGAGAATAGCTTAAAAACTGCCCAAAACTTGTTCTTACCAATGCGTAAGTCCACTTCGGACCGGGCGTCCGCCGCCTGCACAGGAAGCAAGTGAAACAAGAAGGCAACAGATGCAGACTGGATCCGTGTGACACCAATGCGCCAGTGCCATGTCTCTCCTTCACGCAAACCGAGTGAAATATTTATATGTCAAAAAGTAGCTTCCGCCATAAACGCTCTGCATGACAGAAACACCGCCCCCTAGATAACCTGTATTGAATCTAAACACTAACTGGAGGACGAACAGTAGGCTGTCCAGTACCTGTGCAAGCGCTTCATTTGGTTGCTGCAGATGCTGGCATGCCCTTTCTACGTCTTGCCCTGAACAGAACTCATATTCAGTGAGGGCGACTTTGGAGCACAACGCAAACCAACGAGGCGCTGCAGTCAGTGTAACGGCAGAAAGGGAAAAAAAGCCCTCCTACTTGTTACGGCAGAGAAAATTGCACGGAACGACTGAATATGCCGATTTGCTTCTCTGCATACTTGCAACACCTGCGAGGCACACGGCGCATTTCACTGCTGCACACAACAACCACTATTACACACGAGCAATGTAGCAACATGATGCACGATTAATGGTACTTGCAAGGAACACCGTCCCTATCATTCTGCATACACGCGTTTATCGCCTCCAGTGCCTTACCTCAAAAGCAATGTTTTCTCCCTCACGGTCGCAGTCCAACCACAACACTAGCCACTGGCACCTGCACCACAAACCCTAGATATGTTCGGTTGAAGCATTATTCCTCGCAATAAATCCCTATGATGAGGGTTCAGAGCGGATTGCCACCCACAGAAAGGAGGCAAGCAACGTACGCTGTTGTTGCTGTGCTTACTTTTTTGCATAGGTTTTGAGGTTTTCTACAATATCTTTCGCTGAATCGCTGACGCGTTTCAGCACAGGGGCTGCGGTAAGGCATTAGAACACACAATGAAATTCCAAACGGCGAACAGCAACAAAATACGGACGAAATCTAAGTTAAAGGGTGCGGAGGATATGAGAACAACGCGGCACTGATCAAGAGCCTTGAACGGTGAAAATATGTCAAACTTTCACCGTCCAAGAGGGAGACGACATGAATCTGTGTTATGCGCAGAACGGATGCATTCCGCCCGTTCGCACCATATACAGCAGAGCCACCGTGGATATGACTAAAACGAATACGTATTCACCGGTAAACAGCGCTTCAGGAAAAACGGCGTTCCACGATGAGAAGGGTGCAGGAAAATCGAGAGACATCAGATGCCTGTACAGTAACACACAGCCTCTGGCAGTGAGCTCGGTTGGGCGACTCCAAATGTGCGCCAGGAACTCCTTTTTCATCCAACAAAAAGAAGGACCGACAGAAGAGGATTGTTATTTAAGCTTAGTACGCGCTTTAATGAATGATAGTAAATACTTGCCCTCGCACAGAGGTAAAGATCATCTCGCATTCTTGGCCTTGAAGTGCATAAGGAAAGGAGCTGACCGCGTTAAAGGTGCTTGAGCTCTGTAACTGATGGGGAAGGGAAAAAATTTCAGCAAAAATGAGGACAATGGAATACAAGACGGTGACCCGCCAGATATGAAGCCCTCGGCGCATTAAGCGCCACGAAGACTCGTTGCACTAGTGGCCAAGTAGGTTTGAGCATTTGCTGAGGCTTACCCTACGCACACTATTGCCTCCGAGTAAGCGTGTAATTTCCTTTGCCACCGACGGCTTTTCCGCCACATTTAATACCTTCAAGGTGGGGGGAGGCATCGCGGCCGACGAGGATCGATGCTGCCTGGTGGCATCACAACTATGCCAATTACTAGTGTAGCGTGGGTAGGGCTGAAACTTCTCGAATTATTTCCGTTCGGAAACTTCTAGACACAACCAAATATGCGCACGCGGCAAAGCGTGTTTACGCATGAAGAATCACCACACCGCTCGGCGACCCAACCCCGCAGCAACAAAGCCTGTACCGCGCTCTAAGAAAATCCACTCTTGCTCTCAGCGCAAAGAGAATGAATAACAACAGTGCAAGCTGAACATAATTTGGCATGTATTCGCCTAGGTACTGAAAGGGCTTAGCCATAAACTCTGTTGGGGCTTATCGGGTCGTTGTAGACTGTGCGGCGCGTGGAACAGCATGAATAATGTCCGCAGCAGTGCATTAGCATCCAGACGAGACGCAATGATAAAAGGGATCTAAGGATAAGAATGGTATCAAAAACCAGGCCACTAGTATTTCCCTGCCATATTGGTAGTGTACAAAGTCCCGACTAGCCTAGCTCCCCGATACCGACTCTAGAGTACCACATACTCAGTGTGTCAATTTTGACACTGCCGTCTTCCCAAGAGGAACACCCATTAAAATAAATGCGCTCCAATTTAGAGACTCGGGAACTATCGAGATATGTGGAAATTAACGTCTTGCTCATGCATGTTGTTACGTTGGAGCCAGGCCTGTCTTGCCCCGGTGACTTCCATCGATGATTTGTATTGCGTAGATAGTAAAACCAGTATATACCATTGCTGATTTCGGCAATTTCTATCTTTTCTCAGTTCCATACATGCCTGGGTCCATAGCTTTTCCAAATGTCCAACCCTTACAGCAGTGTTATCGCCAGTAGTTTAACCCCACTGCCGGTTTCCCCCGCAACACTTAGCACCAATATTCGCTGTGAAGCTCACGAGACCCAGTCTGCTGCCTCGACCCTTTTCAAAGAGTACTACTAGGCGGCTACGGGGATGCAACATGACCTGTCTCAAGCTGGCAGGTGCCATCCTACTTCCAAACAGGCTGTCTACCGAGGGTCAAGAAAAGGTTCACCAATTCTCCTCAGTGCTAGTTATGCATCAAATTTGGGTTTCGCATGCTTGCACCAAGCAGTCCTGAAAGCGACAGCCCGGACGGCTGAGCTGCGGAATAGAACGCGGAGCAAAAGTGCCAGTATTCTTGGTTGCAACTGCTGTTGCAAGGCAGCCCCACATACCAACACGACCAACGTTTCTTCTGTGCATGAAGTGTCACCGCGGATAAGTGTTGAGCAATTGCACTTTCAAGTACGCTGCCCATTTCAGTCCAAGGTAACCACGAAGGGCATGCAAGTGCTCCTTGGGATATTGGGACAGGTTTGTTGCACTAGGACGGTCCTCCTCCGCAGATCAGACGCTGTCGTAACAGGTGGTAGAAATGGACGACTAGGAAACACAAGACTAGGCTGGGGATTCTACGGCGTGGTGTACTTCACAGATTATCCGCGAAGATGCTTTGCCTGAAAAGGGTACAAAACCGTGCATACACTACAATCTTCCGTCGAAGTGAAATCGATATCTTGCTTCCACACGGCAGATAGCACAGAAGCACCAACAAATTATGGGCGTAGAAAGCTCACCCAACTGAAAAGTAGATCGAAGTGCCATGAAACGGGATCTCTAGTTCGAAACAGGGCATTGTTATCAAGCAGTGGAAAGTCCAGTATAGAGAGCGCACGCGGCACCATTGACCTCCATACGCCAGAAAACACGATGAGTATGCACCGCTCAACATTCGCATCCTCCACGGTGGGACGAGTGGAATGAGTCTTCCAAGAAGGCCACGAAGGCTCCAACGAGACCACAGGCGCTGCTGGAAACGACAGGCACGTAAACGCAGACCATCATGAAGATGTTACGAAAACCACCGCTTGAGGAGATTCGAATCGATGAACACCCGAGGAACGGGGGGAGTTTGTACGACCAAAGTGTGCCTGACTTGCTGTACACGCTACACCTCTTTTTCTACACAAAGTCCCTAACCGTTCCACTGACAAATAATTAACTCCTCCATACATGTTCGAGTCCGTATTATTCGGGGAAACCCTAGAATAATCGAACTCCCTGACTCCTCCCCGAACAGAGTCTGAGCCAAGGCAACTGCGTCAGCCTCATGGTCAGCCCTAGGCCTCGTGTAGGCGGAAGAGCACTCCTGAGTCGTTTGACCACTTTTCCCTCTAGGGAGTTCCAATATAAGTGTGTTTATATTTCTAATTGTTCCCTTTCGTGAAACTAGACCTTTTAGGCTACCACATGCGCTCGAGTTTAGTGCGCGTGCATACAAATAAGGTGTAAATGTGGTGGGGCTTGTAACAGAAAGGTATTTGCGGTGGGAGCTTTCTCCTATTAGCATCCTTCGTTCATAATTTTTCGAAGTGATTCAATAAATGCATGCTCTTCAGGACACGGAAGGTACACATAGTTTTTACGCTAACAAAGTAGTGGTAGAGCAGCAGCTCCAGCAATCATGCATGCGAGCCGGGCCGCAGCAGCTAGCCGCATGGAGATAGCCTTCCCAATCTGCTGCAAAGTTCAGTAACAGACGTATGGATTATGGATTTGTCTTCATTGAAAGGTGTCTAATTATAAGTGTACTACTTCCGCCTACAGCGCCTAGACCAGTGGGTATTGAGGGGCGGTCCGGGTGTCCGCCCGATCTTTTTCTCTTGCATTCAACCTTATATCTAGCTTTGGATTCAAAGGTATTCAAATACATACCCACGGATGCTGTGTCCGAATGTTCCCCCTTCTTCCTCCGTTGGCGCCCAAGCCCCACCAGTACAGGTAAGCGTGCTGCTCGATGTTTGAGCATATTGCGCATATTGCGGGTTATTTACTCCTTTTGCCATGTACTATGTCCAAGAGTTGCTGCATGGTAGTTGGCTCGCCTCAATGGAGGATTGTGATGCAGACGGGATTCTCGCGTGTCATGCGCTGGAGAGCAGGTTCCCATAGTATATAGCAAAAGGCCGTGTACAGAGGATCTCTGCATTCTAGGGGTTTCTTCCTAGAAATGCTAAATGGGGGCCGGACAGTCTTTGCACCAATTGCGGAGTCGCGAAGCCCCCGCTGCTGGGCTATCCCGAATCAGAGGGACGCAAGCAGACGCAAGGACATCGCACAGCCAGACAACCATTCTCAGTGATGTCGCCCAGCAACCACAGAACATCGTCCGGGTATGTGGTATCAGATCTTCCAGAACCTGTCTTCCTTTCCGCCATGGAGAATCACAATAGAGGGGTTTCCCAGGTGTACATATTCGTTTCCGATCCGTCAAGGTTGCAGTATTTCAGACCGTTCCTTCACAATTCTGGGGACGCATCTACTTGAATATGTTTCCATGCCTTGGCCAGTTGGGCGCATGTATTGGATGCAGCAAGATATTCCGTCTAAGTACACCTTTAAAGAATCGCGAAATTCTTATGGTCATGCTTAAATACTGTTTGTTCCGTCGCTGAGAATGAATTTATGGCTGCACCTTTTATGCGTTGTGCTCAGTATACAAGCCGCCTGATGCGCGATTTCATTGGGAATGCGTACTCTTTTGATTTTTGTGTTCTGCGGCGAGAAGATGCGGGCAAAGTCTGCAGAGTGACTTGTAAGCGCAGCGGACGCAAGGCGGAAGCTCTAGTAGTGCGGAAACACCTCGAAGACCCTCTGCAATTGGAAACATTGAAGAAGGAGATAGAGGTTTGGCTTTCGTTGGACCATCCGTATATTGCAAGGCACGTCAAAACAGCAGAACGCGTGCGATAAAGGGTATCTGCTCCGAGCTGGCGCTGTGCGCTCCCCACGCATGACCAAGCAGTGCCCTACCCTGAGCATCGTAGAAGCATCACGTTTGTAATTCTGATGCCCTTCTACAATTTTGAAGGCGTTTTCTTCCAGTAGGAGAGTTCACTCTTCTGTGTGGGGGGCGTGCAGATTGCTCGAGGTGTTTGAGGACGATAGAGCAGTTTACTTGGTGTCCGAGTACTGTCCAGGTCAGATTTCTTCTCCGGCTTTAGGGGTCTGTGGGCTCACGTTTCATGCCATTTTATTGGGGAATATTTATACTGGGTAGATTTGTATGCTTTTCTAAGAAACGCCGCAAACCCTCTGAATTCTACTTCTGTTACTCTTGCTATGCTGCGAGCAATGGCATGGCATCCACGTCAACGGCGCGTCTTTTACTGCAGGCGGCTCATTGTATGATTTTCTGGCATCATTGCAGAAGTGCCCAGAGGAGGTGGCAAGGACTTGGACCCTACAAGTAAGGACCCGTTCCCGCCGAAAAGCTCATAGTGACGTTGCATCGATCGAAGGGAATTCTGAACTGCCAATAGGACTGTTTTATGCGGATAATAACCATAGGAAGGTAGTATGGTGTCACAGAGCGTGGTAGGGTGGGTCTGTACACTCCAGACAGACGAAGGACTCTGTATTTTGTTCGCTGCAGATGGTAAGAGCTGTCGGGTTCCTTCAAGGCTGTGGGGTAGTTCATCGTAACCTAAGACTCGAGAGCTGGCAGCTGACAAAGCAAGGCTGCTTCCCTCCTCTGAAGCTTTATGGCTTGAGCCATTCCACTCGGTGGCACAAGAGGGAAGGTCGTCTCAATGCTGCTTGTGGCTTACTTGAATACACGAGCCCAGGTTCGCAACTCTATCAACCTTAGGCTAATATTCTGTGGTTGGAGTCCCTATGGGTAGTATGATTAGACAAGGGTTGTTGAGAGCGAGAATAGAGGTCTAGTCGATTTTTTTCTGTGTGGTCACGATGCTTCGGTGTCCTGTCAAATGAATCGGCATGCAGTAAGCATGAGGCAAGCAGTCTAGGGTGAATGCAGTCTTATGCGTATTTCTGCTAAATGCAGCGCAATGCGCCACAGCTTAGATATGTGCTTGCGTGGTAGACGTGTTTGTGTGTGATCTCTACTGCAGATGTTCTCCTTGGGCGTTACACCGACGCCTGCGACATGTGGTCTTTAGGGGTTATTGGTAAGTCTTTGGCTACCGAGTATGGATCGCTGTCATTCAGGATCATTACCATGCTGCGGCGTTCCACCGGCGCTTCGTGTGTCTTACTTGTTTAGCCTTTTCTGGGGGGAGGATGGTCATTCATATATTGCCCTCGAGACTGTTGGAACAGCTCTTCCCCCAGACATGCCATACAGTGTAGCTTCAGAAGCAAGCCTCTGAGCAGCTTGCTATCGAATATCTGTAGTGCAGCTGGCTCATAGTTTTGTGCCCCTGCGTAACTGTTATCCTTGCAGTGTACCAGCTACTGTGCGGGCGCCCTCCATTTGTGGGTACGCAACAGGAAAAGATTCGTCAGATCCTCGCCGGGGATGTTAACATGCTCCACCTAGAGTGAGCTTAAAACGCGGGTTTAGTAGATGTGTCAGAAACAAATCTTGGGCTTGGTTCCATTACAAACCTAACGGGGACACACATGGCGTTTCTCTGTTTTCTTCAGGAAGGCAGGCGTGTCTGAAGAGGCCAAGTCCTTTGTCGCGCAGCTGCTTACAATCAGTCCGCAGTAAGGAACCAATCGTTCACAGCGTCACTTGTGTAGATGGTGCCCAGATACAACTTTATGTTGGTCCTGGTGCGTCTACTTGTCTTTGCAGTAATCGTCTTACCCCACAACAAGCACTGGAGCACGTAAGCTCATTGATGGTGTCCTTTTCAGTGCATTGGTTCTCAGCGTAGACGATGCACGGACTTTCAGTGAATAGAGATCCTCTTGACAAAATCAAAATGCGCGTTCCATATTTCATATGATGGTGCCTAACGAGGGGACGGAGCTTGCGGGTCTCAGATGCCTTGCCATTTGCACTCAGCCCTGGCTTTTTGGACAGATGCTCGCGCACCAGCCATTTCCTCCGTCCTGCACAATGGGGTGCGTGGGCACACCATAAATCTTCGTGTTTTGGCTCGCCCATTGTTAAGGAGAGATAGGGAACCAGCACCTGACACCGTATTGTGAAGGTTAGGAATCTCAGCTTCTCACAGACATCTTTGTGGAATATGGATTTGAATAGTTGTCATTGCTGGTTGCGGTGATCTTGATTTTGCGTCTTCTGCAGACTTCGCTGGTTTGCAAATAGTACCACACTACGACGCGCGGCGGTCCTCATGTGTGCATACTGCCTTAACTCTGACCAGTGCGAACGTAAGGTGGAGGAGGATCCAATGACTACCGAGCCAATGACTACCTGCTGCCCTCCATATGAGAATCACAATCCCTTGTAAAGGCGAATTGGCCACGTCACGTTTTGGTCCAACCGTTTTATAGCTGGACGAGGCGTTATTCAGCAGAAGGAGAGCACGTTCTGTGCAAAATTCATTTCCGTGAATTGCGCCATTATCTGTTTGTATGCGAGATAGCTTTGATTGGTCTGGAACTGGTTTTTATAATCCGCCGTTTAAGGTGCCCTTGCCTGATTTTATATGGGGGATCCCTAGAATTTATTCTGCTTTTCCGCTGTGAATTCAGGGGTTGGCTCCTTGTTCGCTGATGCATCGCATTCCAGTGTTGGACGCCTGACGGTGGAAGACCTTAAAAGGACACTGCAGAGGGAACAGCCGGAGCCCCTTACCAACGAAGAGGTAAAGCGGTTCCCCCATTTATAGATCTCGCGTTTTCCGTTGGTCTCCGTGTGGCTCTACAAGGAAGCCGCTGGCTTTCTCTGTTTATCCGCTGTAGCGTGGGGCGCAGACAAACAGCTGCACACAGCAGAGCCCCCGTTTACAGAGAGCAACGGCTCCAGTTCGATTGTTGAAGTGCCGAGTGTTGCCAGTCTGGAGTCAACTATGGCATGATGAATCCGCATGAGCAAAGAGCCTGTCCTTATGTGCTCTTGCTCTTTTGGTAAACTAGCCGGCTCTCGTGTCTGACTACTGGCCTACGACCCGCGCGCTAACCGTAGGGTCGAAGCAATGATTGCCCCTCCGCCTTCATATGCACGGCACCCATATATTGTGTGCCTTACGACGATATTGATCACAGGTGGAAGATGTCTTTGATGCACTTGACATCAACAAAGATGGAGAAATAATATTTACTGGTACGTGGCCATGTAGATGCAACACGGGCGGATATAGAAAGAGATAAGATTAGGAACTTGGGAGATCGGAATAGACGTGTAAAGGTGCATAAATGATCTCCCGAAGTGCCCGGATGGTGTGCGAAAGCTTAGATACCCTTCCTCTCTCGGTGCTGTTGCCGACGCATGTGATTGCGCTGGAGCCCCTCGAGCTTAGAGGCTCATATATTATTCTCTAATAGGCAATGAAGTGACGCTTGGCTGGGTTGTGGTGTGCTGGAATATGTCTTGACAACGTAGTGTTTGCTGCTGCAATGGTCGGCACCGTAGTGGAGGCAGAGGATTCATTATTACAGAAGGCATTTAGTAAACTGGACGTCGATTGCGACGGTGAGGCATGGTAGTGGCTGAAGAAGGCACTGAGATATTTTGCGCCGAACTCCTCGTCTGCGTGATTGTCACCTTATTTCTTGGTTGTAATCCAGAAACACCTGTGGAGTACGTAGGCGAAGACCGCTTGTTTTTTGTGCACAGGACGACTTTCTCTCGATGACCTCCGGTGGGCATTCGGTGGCACACTGTTTGGGCAGAGTCTGTCTGCAGCTCTGCAACACGAAGAAAATGAAGATGGGCCTTTGGGTAGGAAGACAGACGGATAGAACGGAAGAATGTCTGGGCAGGGCTCATGCGGCTGCAGCTTGAGTGCATTGACCTCACTGTGTTGCTCATTGTATATTCGAACTAGGTGGATCACCAAAGTGTAACGTCGGTATGGGCGGGTGGTGCACGCAGATTATGACCATTTCTGCACAATGGTTCGAGACAAAGGAAAACCAATAAGTCGTCGGGTATATAAGGCACGGTGAGCTAGTGCCCAACTTCGTCAGTGCTGAGCCCTGCACAGCACAGTTTGGCGAGCTTTGGAGGCATGCCCGAACTATTCCAGTCGAGCAGCGCCAAATGGAGAGACCAGAATGCATACGCATGAAGGTTGGCTCCCTCGTTGAAGGGAGAATTTCACCTCAACTTCTGCAGTCGGAGTGGGATCATCCGTTGTCTGTTGCAGTTTTTAAACTGTTCATTTTACTGCAGCCTTGCCGTCGAAAGGTCTCCTAGTGAGGAACACTCCGATGGCCGCCCTGTGAACCATCAGTGTACATTCATGTACACGAATAGTCCAGAACGGCCACATACGGCAGCTGAACCGGATGGCACAGGCGTGCAAAGAGAGAAGAATGAGCATCAGCCCGACTCAGCGGAGACTTAGGCAGCGCGGCGGCACCAAAGAGCAGGTACGGGTCGTGAGACATCATTAGCTGCTGCTGGTACTGCTCCATTGACCTGTTTTTCCTTTATGTCGAAGCTGAAGTCTTCCATAGCTTCGCTGAATTGAGTGTCCCCGCAGACTAGGATGTTGCCAGAGCTCTTTATTATTAAGGGATGGTCGGCGCTGTTTGCTCCTGCCGAAACGTACTTCCCTTTATCATCATGAACATGAATTTGATTTCACAATCCCGCTCAGGACTACATCACTAGTTGGAGGAGAGACAGGGATATTTCCCGCTCATTCCTCTAAATTCTCTGGAAAGAGAGTTTGACAGCGAGTGGTCAGTAGCCCTCGTTGGTGGGCCCTCAGGCGAACCCCGTCAGCGGCATGGGGGCAAACACCTGCATCACGTGCGGGTCAGCACATGCAAACGCAACTGTTGTAGAGCACATGCAAGCTTTGACCAACCCAAAGGAGAAGGCCCAGACGAAAGTACAGTTATAATACTTTTTCAAGTAGCCCGTTACTTATAGTTATGGAAGTTAGTATATACCTCTTACACGAATAGGCTTGCTTTCGTCTAGGCCGGGGATGAATTTCTTGTTGGGGCGAGTGGGGTGCTGGGCTTACCGGCACACGCTGTGCAGATATTTGTAGGGCATACTGAAGAGGTCAGGGGGACGGTTTGAACGTCTTTAGTATGAGGTTCCCATGGCATGTACAAATTCCTCGCATTTAAGTTCATGATAATAAATAGTTGGGAATATAGCGCTCGGTCCTTCAATCGGCTTTCCACCATTTTGAACGATGGCTCACTGCACTTGGCCTGCAGCGGTCAGGTCACTCATCACGCAAGCGCCGTTGGCGGTCATATATGCCACACACACTGTGATTGATTTCAAATTTACCATCCAATCGCAGAATATAGAGGCACTTGCTCCTTCATAGCCCTGTTAATAGTGACCGCAGGCTTGTCAAGTTGCTGCAGACAGCCGCCGGCAACCAAACCACACTCGAGAGGCAGCAGCCACCTGAGGTATGGAGGTTCCAGCGAGCCGTTTCAGTAGTGCCTTCCCCTCCCTCCCACATTATTATTTGATTGCATAGATTCATTCGTCAAAGTCAAACCCAAATTTTATCTCGCTACATTGCTCGGTTGGTATTTGCTTGAGACTATTTGTTGAAGGTCATCAGGACTCCAGAGAAGGCAGCATGGAACAGCAATAATACGCACCACATTACTAGCCACCTACGTGGAAGTCATTTCCCGCACTTTCCAAGGGCCAAAGGGTATATTTAGACTCTACGTGTTCACCGAACAGGGAGTTGAAGGGCCACCTCCTAGCGCCACGTGCTCTATTTTCTTGCGCACGAGTCGAGCTCCAGCTATCGTTGGAGACAAGCATTGTTTGTCGCTGCCACCCCGTCTTGGTCGCCTGGAGATTAGATTCATAAAACCAAGGTAGGCTCTTTTCAGATTTTACTCCACATTGTCACACTTCGGTTGCACAGCTTGTGGCTTGTCCGTAGGAAATTCTAGTGGCATGCAACTTATTTAAAATACAAAGGATAGCACACTTTAAAGTTACATACTGACAGGGTCTCAATTTTCTTCCCTGCCGAGGTCCCCTCGTGGTTCCGTGAAGCGATTTACGTTGTCTTGTTATGTTTTCCACTAAAGTCTGTGTCTCTGCTGCGCCAGCTGGTAGGAAGACCGTGGCGAAGGCAACGCAGCTTGAACCCGGGACTGCCCTCCTTCGTGAATAGGTAGGTAGTGCTGTTTTTCATATCGAAATCTACAATAGGTGATACCTATTGTGGATTTCGTGGGCAATCAAGGACGCAAAAACACTCTTTGCCTTTCTCTGTAATTCTATCTATGAAATCCTTACCAGCATTTTTTTTTTGCAGGGCATGTGCTTCATCCAGGATTTTTCAGTTTTCATGCACAATACTATGCTACTTCATAGGTTGACGACACAACTGATCAGCTCATTCATGGTGGGAGCCACTACAGACCGGATGCCCTGATTAGCCGACGGGAACAAGCATGGATAATCTCCCCGACTCCGGCGTGCAGCGCCCTGTTGGTGGCGTCAGCCGAGCAGCTCTACTAAGATGTGCAGCTGCACGGAATGAGTGCATAAAGGCCGAGCTTTTAGAGCGGCTTCGAGTTTGCGCAGCCCTAGATAGAAGATTCTTCAAGGCCTGGTTTGACGAGCTGGACATGGAACGCTGCTGCAACTTCAGCAGTGTCGTAGGAGTAAGCAGCGACATGTATATCGACACAGAGTGGAACATGGGCATTTACGCCCACGGCAATACACCTCAGGAGTCTAAAGCTGCGTTTCACAGGATTGCCTTCGAACTGCAAGATCTTGAAGACAGAGAAAAAAGACTTACCGATTACGCACAAACTCTGAATCGTCAATACGGAGGCCTAATGGCTAAACTAACGGAGCCAGCATACAACGGCACTGGTCGTACTAGCAGGATTCCTGTCCCACCCAACACCTGTATGCAAACAGAGAGGGCAATAGATGGGCTTTCTCGCATTGCAACTGTCATATCTGCAAAGGAAGAAGAGCAAAAAAGCCAATTGTATCACTTGCGCCACTGGAATGTCAATATAAGTGGGGTAAATATTCCGAGGCTTCCTGGTCTCCTGTATAAGCGTGCAAACGAAGATTCGTGACGTCTCCCAACACTAGATCTTGGCTGTGTGGATTTCTTTTTGTGAACGCTGAACGTGGCTGCAATACGGCGTTGCACACTCGGTGAATCGTTTTTTTAAAATACACAAGCTTTATAAATGCTGTCTAACATTTGCAGAGAAAGTAAGAGTTCAGGATGCGTAGAATAGAATGCACCAGATGAGCATGCAGATAAACGAAGCAACGTAGTTAGTTATTGACGACCAACTAACGTATACCAGACAAGTAGAATGCCGCACATATACACATTACACTGAGCAAACGCATGACATAGAAGGGCCAGCACTTTGCCCTATAGTATGCTGTTCGTTTGCTCAGCTGTTTCTATGTAGTGCCGGCATTCGCGGCTAAAATTTGCTGCCGAGCAGTACTCCAACTTTTTGAGCATTCACACTGTAATCCGCTGTTTTAAGTATTAGTAACATCATGATCTAGATAGGCAAGTGATTAGCATGATTCAGTGACAGGAGATTGGGCAAAGGCGCAATCCTAGAGACACAAAATGAGCCATATATCTGCCGCGTCTGTCAACTGACCACGAAGCAGTGAAAAGGGGTTAGCGTGGGCACTGACGAGTTAGTCTCAGCAAACCGTCAGCCGTTCAACCGCTACTCCTTCACGAAGGAGAGCAGGAAGCCTTGGAAGATACACCCCATCTGTCTCGAAGTTGTGATGGTGAATTTCCTTCAGCTGGATTGCTTGCTCCTCTTCTTTTGCAGAGATCACCATCTCGATGCAGCATAGACTGCTCAAGCCCTGCGCAGCTGGTATGTGTAAGGTAGACGAAGCAGGGTAGGGCGAAACAACATCGCTGGATACTAACTGTGAAAGCTCGGCTTCTAAAGACCTGTACTGGCGATTAAGCGATTCTTCGCGGTCAATGGCGGTTCTTTCTCGTTCGTCAAAATTATGCAAATAGGTAAGCATATTACGTAGTGTATCTTCCGGAGAGTCCTGGCATGTGTTGCAAGCAGCATCCGTCGCACCACCCGAGATGTTGTCGAGATTCCCTTCACTGACCGTTCCCAGTCCACTGAGTCCCTTGCTAGAGCGTTCTGTGTAGAGAGCGTGGAAACACGCGAGAAACAATTGCCTGTCTAGATCTGCGCATATTCGAAGGCGCTCTAAAAGCTGTGACCTCCTCGAGCCCGACAGAACACTGGCGAGGCTTGACTGAAGTTTGCTTTGGTTTGCATTCGAGTCTTGCACTGCAGAATCAGGAAAACGATCCATTGGACAACTCTGTGCTTGTTCAAATTTATACTTTAGCAACCTTATAACGCCCACGGGTTGACTTTGGGTGGCGGCGGGATGAATAGCTCCAAGCTGTTCTTGCACCTGAGCAGCCAGCCTCACGCGGGTCGACAAATGTTGAGCTGACCACGGCCACATGCACAAACAAAAACGCCCTACACAAATAAATATATACACGTTTCAGGAATATGCTTAAGAAAGAAAGGTTTTTGCAGGACTGCGATCCAAGTTTCTGGCTTCGCATACTCCGACAACCAAATATCCTCGAGCAACCGCAAGACACATGATAAACGCTGATGCTGTCCTCTAGGCCGTATTGGACTGCAAAGAAGAGGCATGTACAGAAGGAAGGAAAGCATCAGTTAGGCATGCCTTTTTACAACTTGACGGCGGCAAGTAGCCTCACAGCACCCCATTGTTGCCGCAAGAAATGAGGAAAGCCGGCTTACGTTTTGATGCAACCCGGACGAGGGAAATGGCGTTTGTCCCTCCCTTTTAAGGAACAAATGCTACAAATGTTAGTAGAAGTATTTGTTCTCCTAGTGATACTGCTTATTGCTGACGGAAAATGCCATAAAAGACAATGTTGTGGGCGCCGCGGCGGCATTGAATGTCGATCAAACAAGAGGGAGGGAGCTCTGTGGGACCCAATGAGTTCACTGTAATATATATAGTTAAATAGTACAGTAGAGAAACAAATGTGTATTTGATTTTCGTGATAATCTTCAGCATAATGGAACGATGTTTGAGCCGAGGTTGATAGCGCGCCAGACAGGCCTTGGTGGTTTCTTCGTGGGCTCCGCTGGGCAATCGATTGGGTTTTGGTTGACAGCGGCACTTCTCTATTCGGTTGCCAGGCCGGTTCCATTTTGTCTTTTGCCATTTGAAGTAGATTATTAACTGGTGAATAAATTTGGATAATATGTCTTCTTGCGCGTTTAGTTTAATGGTACTGGGTCTTTACCCCATGGTGGCGGGAAGGCCACCTGTTCAAGTGACCTAAAGAGATTTTTACCTTACTGTTACGCCCGGAAGGGATTGAAAAAATTCACTGAAGCAAAAAACATAAGGTTTCTCTGGCTAATCGCTCCCTACTGCACACTGCAGAGAGTACATTCCCACGGATATGAGGTGCTGGGCATCCGGTTGCTGCTGCTTGTATTGCTCCCAAGCAGCTTACATTGAATCAGTTAGTGCCTCTACTAAGAACGGCACTCCATATATTTACTCTTTATGAAGCGTTTTGCCTACAGTAAAGGGCGCTAACACTTCCTCCAACCATTGTAAACCCCTCAACTTTCGTACGCCGTTGCGCAGCCGCCGCCATGTGACCTGGGGGTCGCTTGCGCATACGGGCACATCCCCGCAGCCAGGAACGCACCTGTGGACAGCTAAGAAACACCGGTTTAAAAGAACTTTCGCTGCACGGAATGACCAGTTGACTTATGTGGTCTAATCGTATCATCTTCCCCAAGCATTATGCGGTGGCAAAAGAAGAATGCCAACTAAAGCAGGGACACAGAGGCAGGACTCGTGAAAGGCGATTTGCAGTTTCGCACATTCAGGCGACCTCAGCCTCGGCGTCCTGTGCCTCCTTGTGTGTGCGCAGTGTTTACCCTGTACATCGCTTTCAGCTGAGCAACAGCATCTGCACGGACAGGCAATGCCAACAGCAGGCATCAGATTCGTACAGCTTTCTACAAGTGGCAGCGAAGTATTCCTACCCCTCCGCTGTTTGAACACGAGTGTGTGTGCACAGCATGTATGACAAGCTACCGTCCATTACTGCAGCAGGAAACCTAACCGCACATTCCTCTGAAGTGTCAACAACAGCCTGGAGTGCAGGAGACGCTAAGATAGTCTCTATTCAACTCCACACGGTCCTCTAGACAAGGGACAACGGCAAGAGCACTTATGCCAAAGAGCAACACCTGAGCTGCCTTCAGTCATGTGGCAGGGAGCTTCCGGGTGGTCAGTGCACATGTCTTAGCGGGCAGACAGCAGCCTCATTACCACGCAGCGTGGCTAGAGCTACTCTTCCAATGTCACCAACCCGCAGTTCGCGCTCGTCTACGCTAACCCTTTGCCGCTTTAACTTGCTGTCCCGATGACGCCAAGAGAGTGCTTCGTCGTTGGCTTCTGCTTCATTTCCGTTGAACAGGCAACGCCCACGGCTTTCTTTCTTCGCACGGCCGCCAGATAACTGCTGCTGCTGCGGCTGCTGTTCATGCAGTGGCGGGCCAACAGCATCCACGTCCAGAAGTGCGGCACGGAGGTCGACAAACTCACGCCTGAAGCCTTCTATCTTCTCCCGCCGCCTTGCTGCTGAAGACTTCTCAGTCTCACCAGATGCTGCTTCACATTCTGCCTGCTGCAGTCTCAAGGCTGCGGATGCAAGACAAGCCACCAGCATGTCCCTGCGCCTCTTTCGCTGAAAGTTGCCCCTGCGTAGACCAACGGCTTGCTCTCCAGTATCCCATTCAGCCATCGCAACTTCTGCATGGGCTGCTGCTGCATGCAACAGCACCTCCCCGGCAGTAGCCAGGCTTCCCGTTGGCGCTGTCCTGCGCCCTGCAGATGGCGCTCCACGCTCTCCTGGTGCAAGACTGCAGGCGGCTTTGACCCCACCTGTATCCACCGTTTCTGTAAACACCAGCTTGGCGATGCTTGGTAGGGAGTCTTGCTGATGCAGCTGTAGCTGTGGCTCCCTTTCCAATGAAGGGCCGCCTGACGGTGGCTCTGTCAATACTGCTACTGCACCTTGTTGCTGCCGTATTAACAACGAGCCAAGGTGGCAGCAGCACATTGCCTTTATGTAAGACAATTCAGCCACGACCTCCGGAGACCTGCATTGAGCCAAGTGATGTTGATGCATCAGCTGCTGTAGCAATGGCAGCAACTGTATGGTCCTGTAGACACGGCGCAGCAGCAACTCTACCATCGCGACACGGAGCTGGAGGTACATGTACAGGACAGGTTTCTGCAACAGCAAAGCAGCTGCAGCTTCCCGCTGCAGGTGCTGTAACAGTTCCAATCCAGCAGGACTGATGTTTCTGCTGCTCGCCCCCATCGCCGCAACTGCATCCAGCTGTATGTCCAACTGCAAAAGCAACGTGAACTCCCTGTGGGGCGTCCGCTGAAAGCAGGCACAGCTTGGCGAGTCTGCTCCGGTTGCTGCAACAGCAAGCGCCAACGGCTGTTGCAAGGGTCCCTCGGTACAGCAACAGCAGCGAAGCAGTTGCTGCATGTGGAGCAACGGCAACTGCTGACCGGCAGAGGCAGCCAGTAACATGGAATGTTGCAGCAGCAACGCCCTTGCAGCTGCCGGTGTCGTGGCAGCACCAGAAAGCACATGTGTAAGCCCCCAAGACGCAGAGGACAAGACACATCCTCGGCTTTCACTCGCCGCAGCAGCGGCGGCAGCCAGAGTCAGGACTAGCTCTCCATCTGCTGCAGCTTTGTGCAGCCGCAAAAGCTGCCTATATAGCTTGTCTGTTGCTGCTTCGGCACCTCGAGCCGCTTTATCAACGAGCTGCATTGGAGGCCCCCGCTTCCTCCAGCGGTAAGCTGCTGCTGCCGCTGCTGCTGCAGCGTGCGCTGCAGCGAGAAAGGGACAGAAGCTGCGCCAGTTGCTCTCAGGAGCATACAGAGACTGCGCAGAACGCAGCGTCCCAACAGGTAGCACGCGTGGGCAGCTGTGGGCTACCTGGAGCAGCAGAAGAAGAGCTGCAGCAGTTGTGTCGGCATTTGTCGCTGTATGTGTTGCATCCCCGAGCGTGGCCGGATCGGTGAGTAGCGTCATAAGAGCGCTCCTGCTGCAGCTGCTGCAGTAGGAGCAGCTTCTGCCACAGGTCGATATCCTACTGTCTGTTCTCCAGCTAGCTCGCCGGTCGCCATGGGAAGAGATCTGCCAGCCAAACAGGCTCACTGTGCGGCGCAGCAACTGCAGCAGCAGCAGCCTCAGTTGCACTTCTGCTGCTGCAGGAGGCTGCTGCTGCATTCCCCAACAGCTTCCGACCATCACATAGCACCGCAGCAGCAACACCTTGTTTCGAAGCTCAGCACAGAGCTGATGCTGTTGCTGCCGGCCCCCGCAGGTGTATTTTAGAGGGTCACCAGGTATATTGTTGATGCTGTCGCTTCTGCTGCTTCTGCTTCTTAAGGAGTTGAAGGAAGAGCACAGAGCACCCATAAGGCGGGCGCACACATCTCCAATTTCAAAAAAGCATGAGACAGCCTCTTCTGCAGCAGCTGCAGCCGCTGCTTCTGGTGTTGCTGCAGTCGCCCTCGACAGACGGCGCTGCAGAAGCTTCTGCTGGACAGCAGAGACGTCTGCATGCGGCACTTCAAGGCGAAAGGTCCTTCCATCTGTTTGTTCGGCTCCTGCTGCTGCAGAGGAAGCACCCTCCGCTGCTGCAGAGTTGACCCCAAAAACCAACGGTGTGGTGTGAAGGCGGCGTCGTTGGTGCTGCTGTTGCTGAAACAAGGCCCCTGCTGCCCTGTAGCTGTCCATACAGTCCAAAGGCCACTGATTACTCGTTAGACGGAAAGGCTCCCCCACTCCTGAGCCCGCTAGCAGCAAACCAGCAGCTGCTGCCGCAGCAGCAGAATCAGCTGCCTGAGCCGCTGCAGCGGCAACAGCTGCCGGCTGGTTTCGGCATGTTTCCACAGGAGGCCGTGAAGGCCAACTGCTACGAAAGTTGCTGATGTTGCTACTGCTGGTGCGGCGTGCTGCATTGTCGGCGGGGGCGCAGTTGTCTGGGACGGCTGTCCCACTTTCCGGTGGTGATGCTGCTGCTGACGATGGCTGAGCCCCTGCAGAGATATTAGACGTGTCCCCATGGCGCTGATACTGCTGTTGGTGCTGGTGGGGAGCATTTAAGCAGTGCTGAGGACGCCCCCCAGTGTCCTCCATCTGTCTGACGGATTCTGGCATTCCCTGCTGAGAGGGAGTTTCCTGCTCTTGCTGCTGCAGCATTGGCTGCGTTGCCCATTCCTGTTGCCGCTGCTGTTCCCGTTGCTGCCGTCGTTCCTGTTGCTGCTGTCTCTCCTGTTGCTGCTGCAACGGCTGTGCAGTAGCGAAGAAGTGCACGCGGCGTATAGCTGACCTCAGTGCGTGCAGCAAATGGGTGGGGTCAGCAGCTAGCTGGCCTACGAGCTGAGGCTGGCTGTGTAGTAGCAGAGCTAGGTGCAAAGAGATTGTCCCCACAGCATTCAGAGACAGCAGCGCAGGCCAGCTGGAGCTGCCCGAGAGCAGCGGAAACCTTCCTCCAGAGGCTCCCGCTGATACGCTCGCTGCTGTCGCTTCTGTTAGGGCTACCGCTGGAGGCACCCACCCACCCGCAGCAGCAACTGCCGCAGCAGCTCTTTGGCTCGTCGTAGCTGACACAGCAGAATAAAACCCTGAAGCACCTGCTGTTGGGTTTGCTACTGCTGTATTTGTTGCAGCTGCTGCCTCTTCCGGGGCAAGTGTGTACTGCAGCAGCTGCGCTGCATGCCTCAAGGCGATCAACAGCAGCTGCAGTGCAGCAACGTAGTTGTGCTTGCCCAGCTGCAGGAGTGCTGCGGCCAATGCATGCGAGCTTGCAGCACCGCTGCTGCCGCTCCCTTGAACCATATTCCTAAAAACAAAATATGCAGCACAGCCCTACTTATTCAACAAACCATTATAGCCCACACCCAACGTCCCCCATGTGGGGATATCAAAGAATGCCTGCTCATGCCTCTGCTCCTCTTGCAGTTCCCGCGGCCTATCTATATCCTATGACAGCTGCAGTTGTTGTAGAGGTTGCTGCTTCCTTACCCTGCAGCAACGGCAGCCTCGTCCAAGCGGCCTAGGTGCAGCAACACGTTGAATACATTCATGTTGATTTGCTGCAGCAGCGAAAGCGCCTTCTGCTTCTCGAGTACCGCGACTCCGCTGCAGCTGCCGCTGTCGTTGTCGTTGCCTCTGCCGGGTAACAGCTGCAGGCTGTGGGTCGCTACAGGCAGCAGACCTGCTGCAGCAGCAGACGCGACGCCCTGCAGCCCGAGGGAGAGCCAAGCAGGCACTGTGGCCCGCGTTGCTGCCTTCATCAGTTCTGACGAGCCGCACGGCCCGGCAGTAGACGCAGCGGCAGCTGCCGCTGCTGCTGCTGTTAGCTCCACTTCGGTCGCAAGCGCAAGGGCCTCCTCGCCAGCCCCATGCTGCAGCAGAAGCCGCTGTTGCATCAACGCGGAAGGGCAGCATTGCAGAGATGCTCTTTTGTCCACGTTGTGCTGCGGCTGGCGTAGCTGCTGCAACTGTTGCTGTTGCTGCAGGTGCTGCTGCTTGTGCAGTTGCTGGAGCAGCTCGAGGCCTTCGTGCAGCGGAAGGCAGTGCGAGAGCCAACCCGAAAGGGTATTTGCCGCCCCCCGCTGAAGCAGCAGCAGCAAACATACAACGCAGTAATGGCAGGGGCGCATGAAACCATGAATGGTGTAGGCAGTCAGCAGCAGTCTGCAGCACCTAAGGAAATCTTACCTGAGCCACCGCCTCGCTGCACGCCTCTGCCAATGCATGCATGTCCGTGGGGCCCACATCCAGGTAGCAACAGCTGCAGCAGCCTCCTTCCATATCCTGCCGCAGCTCTTGCCGCTGCCTCCCGTAGGTGCTGCTGCGAGATACGTCATGACCAAGACACCCGGGTCCTGTTTCTGCACCTCCTGAACGACAGCCCATGAGCTCCTGCTGCTGCTGCTGCTTACTACATTCTTGCTGCTGTTGCTGCATTGCCACTGTCGCTGGAGCAGCAGCTGTTGCCGCTTCAGCTGCGCCTTGTTCCCCAACAAGGCGCCTCGTTGCAGCAGTTGTTGCATGCACGCACACCCCCTGCAGGCCTGCTGCTGTGTCTGCACCTTGTGCTGCTGCTGCAACTCAGCAAGCCAGTTTGTACCGTCGCCCGCAAGATCTGCTTCTGACGCCACGACATTGGGGCGCTGCTGTTCTCCTGCTGCTGCTACTCCTGCTGTGCCTGCCGGCGCTGCCGCGGCGGTGCTGGAAAGCCCAATTAAACCCTAAAACATAGCTCTCACTGCCCATTCCGACTCTCCTTCTGCGGATGCTTCCTCCGTTGGTATTAATGCTGCCGGTGCTCCAGCTACCGCAGAATATGTTGCCGTGACCACAGCGGCAGCTGGCCACCAACCTGTTGCTGCTGCAGCTGCTTTTCTGTTGGATCTCCGACACCTGCAGTCAAAAGGCTTGTTGCTTCCGTTTTCAGTATATCTGGGAGACCCTTATGGGCGTCCTGCCCTCGTGGTTATGACGCTGCCGCTGCCGTAGCAGAAGCACTTACAAACAGCAATAGAAGCAGCAGTAGTGCTTCAACGGCAGACCTCAATAGCAGCACACTCGACAGAGTAGCAGGTGCAGCACATCTACTGGATAAGAAGCTCTTGCTGCAGTGGTGGTTGCTGTTGTTTCTGCCGCTACTGAAAGCCTGGCTGTCTGCTGCAGTTACTGCAGCAATATATACTCATTTAAGAGCTGCCGCTTTTCGCAGCTGCAGCCAAAACGAAAGTGGATCCAGGAGTCTGTGTATGAGGAGCCTGTGTAGCAAGGCTCACGGCCTCTGTCCTGCTGCAGTCTTGGGGGCTGATGCTGCGGATGCTGCTGTTCCTGCTGCGACAGCAGCTCTGCCCTCTACACTCTCTGTCCTACTGGGCACATACAACTGGAAGAAAACAATTTTGAAATGGCATGCATGTCGTCTAACAGGCTACCTAGAGAGCCGCCTAAGCTGCGGAACAACAAACCCCACCCCGGACCGCCTAGTTGGGGCTGCTACCGTTCCTGCGGAGGCAGCGGGGTCGGCGGCGGCGGCTAATGCTGCTTCGTGTAGCAAGTTGCTTTGTCTGCTTGAAGACAACATATCTGAGTCCTTATTGAAGGGCAGGTGCCGCAGAGGGGTGGGCGGCGGCTGTCCGGCCTTCTGTCCTTCCTGGAGCTCTCGACCGCCGCAAAGAGCAGCAGCAGACGTCTTCGCAGCAGCAGCAGTTGCTGCTGCTGCAGTAAGGCCCTTCATGCCTCATAATCCATTGGGGGTCACAGGGCCCCCCCCCGCCGTTTCGTGTGAAGGCGCCCCTGGGAAGGCAAGAGCGAATCCAGAGTTGTGTGTTCCGGCAGTCGAAGCGTCTATACAAGCAGCCGTAGTAACAACAACAGAAATAGCAGCAACAAAAGCAACAGCCATTCTGTGGGAGGATGAGCTCAGCGATGACAATGGCCTTTGCTTGATAGACCTTCAGGTGAGGTAGTCCAGATTTCTCTCGTAGACGTGTTGCTATTGTTAGTTGGGCTGCGGCTGCTGCTTCCTGCTCTCTTGCTCTTAACGTGTGTCTGCTACTGGGGTATTTCACTCCGGTTGGTGTCCCGCCATTATTGTGCATGCGCTGCAAGACACCGTGGCAGCGGGGACGTCCGGCAGACCAGGGTACCTGCTTACGGTTGTTGCTGCTGCCGCCTACGTGTTGTGTTGTAGGGTGAGGCCCTTATGGCCGTTCAAGACTCACCGGATGCCGCAGCAAAGTTGGTGCCGCTGCAGGATTCTCCGGAGACAGCAGGGGAACAGCAGCAGCAGCAGGTTGAGGGCTCCGAATTATGGGGCATAGTGCGGTGGCCGTCTGCTGCTGCCGCTGCTGCTGGCGACAGCGGATGCTGCTGCTTGCATGTGGGAGGAGACAGCCTGGAAGGGAAAGTTGGACCTTTTGTCTCTGCTGGAGGTGCAGGGCCCCTGGCAGTGCTGCGGCGTGTGCTGCGGCCGTTGCGGTTAGACGTGTCGGAGTGTACGTACACCTCAGCTGCAGTAGCAGAGACAGAAGCATGGGAGTTTCAAGGAGTTGTCGAGAAGACTGTATCCTTCTGCGACCCACCAGTGCTGAACCCTTTTAAGGAAGTCTTCGTTGCTCAGGCAGCAGGCACCGGTCCGCAGCCGCAGCAGCAGCACGGTGCAGTGGCAGGACCTGCTGCTGCTGCTTCTATGGCCGAAGCAGCAGCACCAGATGCACCCAACAGCGACGCGGTGTGGCTCATTGCTGCCTCACCACTGCTGCAGCAGATGCAAGGTTCGTGGCAGTTGCTGCACCTCGACCGTGTGCTGCGCGACGAGCTGCAGAAGCAACAGCGGCAGCAGCGGCTACTGCTAGTAAAGGGGCGGCCTGCTGCACTACCCCCCTCTCCAACTGCTGCTCAGATGCGTGCAGAGAGCGAAGCCATCATTTGCTGCCGCAGCAGTACCTTCCGGCTGTCGCAGAACACCATAGACGGCGAGGTGCTGGTTTGCTACAGGAGCGCTCCAGGAGCAACAGCTGCAGCAGTACCAACGGACGACGAAGTCATCGTAGTAGACGATGACAACGGCAATAGCAACAAAAACAAGAGCACCAACAACGGAAGAAGCAACAGCAGCAGGGGAGGCAGCCACGGGGTTGCAATTATGGGCGTCTGCAGGTCGGTGCTGCAGCTGCAGAAGTCACGTGGACGGTTCCACCAGGTGCAGCAGCTGCTGCAACTGCCGGTGCAGCAGCTGCTATCTGTGCACACGGACGCAATACCAGCAGCAGCTGCCGCTGCAGGCCGCACGGTGCTGCCGTCTGCTTTGCTACTGCAGCAGGTGCAGGCCTCTCCTGAAGAGATCGCAGCAGTCCTCCTTGGTGATGCTGGCCTGGCGTTTGAAGACACTTGCAGCTCACAAGCAGCAACAACAGCGCCTGCAGCGGCTGTGGAGCAGAAGCAGTTACAGGAGGGAAACCTCCGGCAGCAACGCTTGGCTCAGCTGATGCAGGAGCTCCCCCCCATGTGGGGAGCGCTCCCTTCGCCCGCATCAGATGTTATTCTCTTCGATCCGGACTTAGGCGGGTATTTCGCAGTCTCTCCTGCTGTGCTGCGCAAATGGGTGCTCCGCATAGCAGATTGTCTCGCCCTAAGCAGGAGCGGCAGCAGCGGTGTCTACGGTAGCGAGTGGCGTAGCGTTGGCTGGGCGTTGGATGCAATCGAGGAGTCCGTGCAGCAGATTGGCCATGTCGTTCCGGGGCTGCGGATACATCCTGAACGAGCAGGAGGACCCGCAGCAGACGTAACCGCAAAAGGCGGCGAGAAGTGCCCTCGACTGACTGCAGGTTTGCTGCTGCAGCTGCTGCGGCATTTCTGTGACGTGCGGATTCCCCAGCTCTGCTGTAGCAGTCATCCGACGGCCTTGGGGGACAGCTGCCCCCCTCTTCCGACGGAGGCAGGTGCTGCAGCAGGAACGACAGCAACAGCAGCACATGTGGTTGAGGACCTGGTGGATCTCGTGTGCAGCCTAGAACGGGTCCTGAGTGATCCAGAAGCAGCGCGGAAAGCTGAGGTGGCAGTGAACCTGCTGAAGTTACGTGCCTTGCTGGCAGCAGAGACCGCAGCAAGCGTGGGGCTACAGTTGCAGTTGCAATTCGGTGTACTGTTTCCGTTATCTGCTGCAGTGTCTGCAGCCGACATCAAGAAGTTTTGCATCGCCTTGGGGAAACGGTGGGAGCAGCTACCCTGCAGGGTATTGCACTGGGGAAAGTCACATATGGAGGCACGCGTAGCAGCACTGAAAACTGCAGCTGCTGCTGTTGTCACTACTCAAGGCCAACAACAGCAGCTGAAACAGCAGGAAGCGGTGCATGAATTGTTAGTGGCAGCATCCGACCATATCCCGCTGCTGGCTGCGTGGTTTCACATGGAGCAGCTGCAGGGAAAGGTAGACCAGTATCTCTCTGCAACCCAGCTGCTTCGCTGCTGCTCCTACGGCTTCCCCGATCTACGCACCGATTTCAGTCAACAGCAAGCGCCTCCCAGGTGTCTCCTCTACCCTAACCGCCAGCCGGAGGGAGCCGTTGCTGGCCTCGAAGCAGCAGCAGCAACCGCTCGCCTGTTTCAAGCTGCAGCAGCTGCAGCAGCCCACGGCAGGAGTGGCAGCAGCATCCGGGAATTTGCTGCTCTGTTGCCAGATGCAGACGATCAGAATGCCTTCTTGCAGGGTATGCTGCTGTCTCCTCTGCGATGCTCGTTCGTTGCTGTTGAAGGTCAGCTGCTGCAGCTACCTGCAGCAGCGCTGCCCCTAACCCCGAGGGAGCGCCTCGTTGCTGCATACGCTGTGAAGTCCGTGTGGAGAGAAGAAGAGCTGGAGCTGCTGCTGCGTCCTTGCCTATTCATCAGCGGACACGACCAGGTACGTGGCTAGCGACTGCAGCAACTGCAGCTGCATGTGCTACTGCTTGCGATACTTTTGTTCCTACCCCTGTAATGCTTCCGAGATTTTGTCGTGGACGCGAGAATGTATGCCAGGTTCTGCCTTTGCAGAGGAGCTGCATCTTCACATCTGTTCTTGGCCTTTGTTTCTGCTACTGCTGTTGGTCCTGCTGGCTCAGGATTTAGCTGTAAAATTGGGCGCTCCGCCGGCGAGCTACTGCTTCGTCTTTCAGACGGAGTTGTCTGCAGTAACGAAAGAACAGGTCACTTCGTTCAAAGCCAGAAACGTCCCACTCCCCTACTGGGAACTTGACTGATGCTGCGTTTCACCGCAGCCGCCACCTCAGCAGCAGCAGCCGCAGCAGCAATGCAAAGGCTAGCATGCTCAGCTTGGTTAAGAGTCCCACGGCTTTCCTGTTTGCTGCATGCACCCCTGCAGTTGAGGATATAGAAAGCAGCTTCATACCTCTTCCCTCCTTGCACGCCTGGCTAGTTAACTAGTTAGCGGGATACTTAGCTGGCTGTGTTGTGAAGTGGCTAGTGAGTCCTCTAGTCACCTCTGCGTGCAGCAACTGAACTGCCGTTGACAGCGAGGTTGTTTACGCGGGGCAGTAACATGCACAGGCGATGCTTGCAGGCTATCTATTACTATCGCTTCTAGCAAACTGTGGCTACCTCGCTGCAGCAGCTGCTGCTGCTGCTTCGGTGGTGGTTCAGCACTTGCGCGCTACAGCCGCAGGGCGGTGCCACTTGCTTGTCGGGGTTGGTTCTCAGTTACGTAGTCAGGATCGAAAATCCATTTAGTCCGCAGGCTAGTTGCTAGTTGCAGAGCTAGCTAGCCAGGGAGGTAGCTAAAAACGCAGATGGCTAGAAGGGGAATACTCTAAGGGCCAACTAGAGAGATGTGCTGGGTGTCGGTGGCAACAGAGTGTAGTCAATGGGACATAGTAGGAAGCACGTCTAGTTGACGTGGCAACTGCAGCAGAAGCAGTAGCTGTTGCTGCAGAAAAGAAAACGTAATGCCGACGGACCAATTATGCACTCTTGATGCTTCTGGTCCCCCCACTGTTCATCGGGCCCTGAACCAGCGGTCCTGGGTCTCGTCGCCTTGAGTGCTGCAGATGCTTGCTGCTGCATATCAGGGTTTTTTACAAATAATTACTCATATTTGAACATACGAAGTGGGATTTGCATATAGTCGTCGAGAACTAATGCGGTGATAGCCCTAGCGCTTGCAACCGATGCAAGTGGCCCCGTGCTCTGTGCTGTTGCTGCTGTTCAGCGGGCAGGCCTGTTGTGCTTGTCTGCCTGTCTCGATTTCTTGATTGCACACGGCTTTTTGTTTTCGTAAAAGGTGTTTTATCTAGGTAAAAGTGTAGTTCGGCAGCGCGCTTCAACTCCACTGCAACCGTCCGGGCCCTCAGCAGCAACAGCCGCAGCGGCAGCGGCACAACTTAAGCGTTCATCAGGTATCTCAAGCCTTGCGGAGTTCTCTACAAAGCCTCAGCCTGAAGGATCAAACTACATAAAATAGTAGAAGAAGCAGAAACGGAGTGAGCTCAGTAGATGCGCCCCGGCCGTACTGACCGAGCAGCAGACGGGCTCTCGAGCCACCAAGAAGATCAGCAGCAAGCTGCAGCAGCAACACCAGCAGCAGTAAAAGCAGCGACTATCAGAGCTGCAGCTGGAAGAGTGCAACTGCATGCGCTTCATGGGCTGATGAGGTGCACACTAAACACCGGCCAGAGCACCTGCAACAGGAGTACTCACAGGAGCGCGAGTTGCACCAAAGGGAAGAGCAACAACAGTAGCAAATAAGTCAGACACTGCCCATTCAGAGAAAATCTCAACAGCAGCCAGTGGGCGCTGCAGCAGCACCTGCTGCTGGGGCAGTTATCTACAGTCTCTTTGTCAAGTGGTGCAGAAAATTTCAACTGCAGAAGCAACAGCAGAAACAGCAACGACAGTGGACACCCTAGAGGCAGAAGACACAGCATCAACAGCAGTACCAGCAGCTTCAATTGCAGCAGGAACAGAAGCAGCAGCAACAACAGCAACAACAGTGTTCGCGGGACTCGCAAGTTTTCGCTCACCGTACTGCTGGCTGGGCGGGGCGCCGCGGTAGCTGCTTCTAGGTGACTACAACAGAAGCAGAAGCAGCAGTTGCAACAGCAACGAATACTGCAATAGCCGCATTGACGGGGAGCAGCATAGAAAATGAGCACTCCAAGTTCGTCCTTCAGTCTGCCTCGCAATGTAGCAGAAGCACAGCGGACACAGCGGCAGCAGCATCACAACCAGCAGGGACAGCAGCAGCTGACGTATGGTAGCACCCCGCAAGCATCAATTCCTCCAATTGGATGCAGTGGCTTGCCTTCGAATAGCAGCTTCTGCAGCTGCAGCTGCAGCAGCAACGGCAGCCTGCCTGCTTACACGGACGTCGTAATAGTGGGGGCAGGCCCTGCAGGGCTCACCCTTGCGCTCTCTCTCGCTCTCCAGAATGTCTCCTTTGTGCTGTTGGACGCAGCTCCACAGCCGCAACAGGAGAGTCGTGCGTTGGCTGTGCACGCCAGGACGTTAGAGATTTTAGAAGTAGGTTTTTACCCCCACGCTTATTCTGATGCTTCTTTCAGACTTTGGATGTTGCTGTTCGTGTGGCTGCTGCTGCTGCCGTTTGTGCTACTGTTGGCTGCTTACATTATAGGGAGGGATGCTCCTTAGTATTTTGTCGAGTTACAGGGGTTTTTTCTTGTATTGAGACATGGCTTTTTATGTGTCGGACTGGTTAGTCGTCTTTCTACTTTAGCAAGGTATCTACGTAAAGAGCCAGGGAGCTGACTAGTTAGCAAGGTGGACGTATGCTGCTTGGGAAGTGCTGGCGGATGTTGTGTGATTAGGACTTGGGAGTTGCATGCAGCTTCTTAACTCTGGGTCTTCGATGCCAGTCTTTCGAGCTGTGGGTGAGCGGCAAGAAGAGCCTGTCTGTCCCCTTCAGAGACACAGAGACAGCAGCAGCACCCCGCAGGGTGCCGCCTCTGAAGGCTCTTCTCTCTCTAGCCAGCAGTATCTCCTCAGCAGCAGATGCTCCAGAGCAGCATGCAGCCTGCAGCAGCTGCACGCCTTTTCCTTTCGCGCTCATCTTGCCCCAAGCCACCACCTGCCAAATCCTTGAACGCAGACTCAACCAACTCGGACACAAGGTCACCTGCTGTTGTTGTTGTGCTGCTGCTGTTGTTTATGCCGTTGCTGCAACTCAGCCGATGTTGCAAAGATAATGCTGATATGGTTATTGCTGCTCTTTCCGTTTCAACAGCCAGGGCTACTGTTGTTGCTGCCCGACATCCAGCAGCAGTTGGCCGGTCTAGCTGCCATTGCTTCTCGCACGCCTGTTTGCTGTGTTTTCCTTTGCACAATGCTTTTCTGCTGCTGGTGTTGCTGCTTTTATTAGACAACTATTGTTGTGTTATTATGTGCATTCGGATCTCTTTTGCGTCATTCTCTTATCGTGCTCCGCAGGTTCACCGTCCTGTCGCCGTTTGGCAGGTGCAGGGCTTTGAAACAGACGACCCCAGCTGCTTTCCGCTGAAGAAGCAGCAACAGAATCAACGGCAACAGGATCAAGGGCAGCAACAGCAAAGACAACAACAGCAACAACAGCACCAGGAAGAGATGAATGGAGGGGATTTTGATTCACAGGATGATTCGGACGGTAGCTCCTTCAGGTCTCCTCACGAGGTCGCTGATGACGAAGAGGAAATAGCGTGTGAGGAGGATCAGCAGGAGCAGCAGGACCATCAGCAGAAGCAGCAGCAGCAGCAACAGCAGCAGCCTGATGAACGCCAGGATGTCGTTTTCCCTCCTTTTGCAGCCGATGGGCAAACCCCCTTGCAAGAGGGTGCGAACGGTGTGCTGGGTTACCCAGTGTCTGTACAGTTCTGTCGTTACTTGCCTCGTGGTTCATCTATATCGTGTTCATCTGCCTCGTGTGGCTGCTCGTTTCCAGCAGCAGCAGCAGCAGCAGCAGCAGCAGGCGAAGGCCCTCCAGTGCGGTTTGGGGTGATTTTCTGCCGCTACGTTGTGGGATGCGATGGCGCGGGTTCGGTTGTGAGGAAGGCCGGAGGCATTTCTTTTGAGGGGCGAGGGGATCCTCAATCCTTCATTGTGGCTGATTTGCAACTGTCTCCTTCTCTGTCTGCTGCCAGCAGCTGCACTGTCTCTCCAGCGCAATCGCCTGTCCTGGGGGCAGCCGCTCCACTTAACAGCAGCTCGCCACCTCAAACCCCACCGTCGGAAGAAAAAAAACCTAGAGTCACCCACTCAAGCCTCCTAGCTGGGGCAGCTGCAGCCCACCGCTCCTTCGCCTTGGCTGAGCAGCAACAGCAACAGCAACAGCAGCAGCAGGTGAGCGTGGACGAGCGCCTGCTACAGCTGCCTTCCTGGCAGTATCAGCAGCAGCAGCAGCAGCAGCGGGAGGCTAGCAGTTGCCAGCTGCTCGGCTGTGGAGGACTGGGAAGTGCCGCAGGAAGCATGTGGGGAGAGGGACTCATGTCTGGATTGGGGAGGCGGCTCCATGCAGCAGCAGCTGCTGCTTTAGAGCCAGGAGAGACAGAACGAGCACGGCTGATGGCCTCTGGCAGGCGAACAGCAGCAGGCGATGCGGTGGAGATACACCTCACGCCGAAGGGATTTGCAGCTTGTATCCCAATGCTCGGCACTGCGTCTTCAACAGATGTGGCCCTGGCTGACGCGAGTAGCCGCAGGAGCGGCAGCAGCAGCAACAGCCTACTTCAGCAGCAGCTGTTGCATCGCCGCGCCACCAGACCCGCAGACGCAGCAGCGTTCCGCTGGAGGGTTGTGACTGAAAGGCTGCCTTCTGCGGTTGCTGCGGCTAGCCGGCCTGTGGAGTTTACTGATGCTGCTGCAGGAGCTGCTGCTGCTGCGGCGACGGCGGCGGTATCTGTGGACCAAACCGACCGGACTGGAAACTCCATAAGCAGACAAGAAACCCAGGCGGAGACACAAGCAGAGCTACTGCAGCAAGTTGAACGGGTGTGTAGCATTAACCAGCAGCAGGAGCAGCAGTTGCCTAAACCGTAGACCTTAAACCAAAATATTGATACGTTCTGGCACCTCTACTTCAACCTCATCAGTGATAGCATTGACTCGGTTTCTTCATGTGGATCTATTGCTGCTGATGTTGTCTCTTATGGAGTTTCTGCGTTGTGTCTGTGGGGGTTGTGCTTGCCGGTGGTGTTGAATTGAACGCTACTGCTGCTGATGCTGCTATCTTTGCTGCGGGGTTGCACCTGGCTGGTGCTGGTGGCGTGTGTTGGACTCGGTTGTTGTGCTACTGTCCTTTGTTGCTGCTGTTTGCTGCGTGTGTTGGTTTGAAGATTTTTGTGGGGTGTCGGGTGACAGAGGTATACTGGGCTGCGGTGTACAAAGCCGGTGTCCGCTTGGCTGCAGCCTTCCGCCGAAAGCGTCTTCTGCTGGTTGGTGATGCAGCACATCTGCATCCTTCGATTTTGGGGCAGGGCATGAACCTTGGCATGCAGGTAGGGCGGATCCAGGAGTCATTTCATAGTAGCTGACTTTCTCCTCTTGGCTGGGCCGCAGGTTTCTCCCCACCGATTGTTGTGTTGGATTGCCTATGAGGTTTCCTGTTGTGGCTGTTTGTCTTGATGTGTGCTTCCTTGCCGTTGGGTGTCTTGCGCTGGGTTGTCTTCTGTTTTGTGGATTGTTGTTTTTTCAGCCATCTGTTTTGTGTTTCATTGTTTTGTTTTGCATTGTTTCTTGTTGTGTTGTTTTGTCTTGTGCCGGCTCCACGTCTGTTTTTGGTTGATGGCAGAGCGTTTCTCTGGTGCTCTGTTTTGTCACTGTTCTTCTGGTGCCTTCTGTGAGCATTATCTTTCGTTGTATCGTGTCTTGGACTGTCTTGCTACTGCTGCTTCTGCTTGTTGCTGCGTCTTGCTGCCGTTACTGCAGAACGCGTACAACTTGGGGTGGAAGTTGGCCCGCGTGCTGCAGCAGGGCGCCTCCCCACAGCTACTAGACTCCTATGCAGCGGAGGCGAGAGAGGCAGCAGGTCAGCAGCAGTAGCAGCACCAGCAGCAGGAGAAGCACAGCTATTAAACATACGATGCTTACAGACGCCTACGGGCTAGAAGGCAGATAAATGGGGGACAGTGCCCCAAACACAGAGAGGAAATAAGCTTTCGAAGTGCCAGGGAGAGACAATAGATGCAAGATAGACAGCAGATGCAGTTAAAAGGAGGTATAATGGAATTGTAGTTAGCGGCCAGAAGCAAGAAAGTTCCTCATGTCTTGGACAGAGACACATATAGGAAGAGAGGAAACGGCGGATGCAAGCAACACCTGCTGCTTCTGCATGTGCCGCTTCTGCATCGCTGGTCTCACGACACACGACTAAAGGAGGAGTTTGTGTTGCTTCTGTTACTGCTGTGCTCAGAGCAGGTTGTGGGTCTGGCGGACCGACTTTTTCATGCAATTCTTTCGACGAACAACTCAGGCGGTGGGTAGTTGGGAATTTCTGATTCTCTTCTTTTTGCGTGTTGTCTTCTTCGGATTTGTTTATTTATCATTTAATGCCATACCACGGTTTCTGCCTTTGTTTCAGAATCTCTCCATACCCAGCAGCAGAGTGCTTCTGCCTCTCTCTACCTCTCAGCTGCCGTCCCTCTGTCCAGGTGTACACGTAATTCGAATTACCTAACCTGCAGACTGTGTTGCTGTTACTGCTACTGCAGGTCTTGTGTCGCGTTTGTTGCTGCGCATGGGGGCGGCTGTGGCCTCACATTTGCCCAGTGCGGCTCGGAGCTTTGGCCAAACGCTCCTTATGACTCAGATATCGTACACGCAGCCGAGGTAATCAGTTGCTATTGGATGTCTTTTCCCGGGTTTTGTATTGTGCTGGTTGTTGTTCTTTCTTTGGTAGAAAATTGTTCCTTGATCCCCTCAATTTAGCCAGTTGTTTGCTGTAGTCTTTGCAGTCCGTAGGGTTGTAGTCGTTCTGTCTTTCTCTCGCCTGCTGTCGTTGCTCCTCTTTCTATTCGGTATTGCCGTCGACTGCAATTTGCAGCTTGTTGCCCACTTGCTGGTTTCGTCAGTTGTCTACTGGTCTAGCTATATTGTTGCTTATCTGCTTCTCTCCGTTCTTCTGAACCTCTATACTCTACACCCCATATAATAAGCGATAGACCCTAAACCCTAGGCTTCTGGTTTGTCTGGTGTGTTGTGGGTTGGGTGGGCCATTTAAGGCATCTGCTGGTGAACTCTGCAGCTGCACATGCAGCTGCTGAGCAGGTGTTGCAGCTGCATACTGTTGCTGCAGTTGCTTATTTGTTGTGCGTGGTTCTGCAGCATCGCCTTGGGAAACGCAGATGACTCCTTCATTTCCGGTCTCCGCCCCGGGTGCAGGGCACCAGACTGCCTCGTCAAAGTGGCGCGAGTGCGGTTGCTGCTGCGGCTGCTTTTCCTGATGCTCCTTGTTGCTTTTGTTGCCGTTTTTGCTTGTTGTTGCTGACTGCTTTGCTGGTTTCATGTTTTATGTTTTTTCTTCGGGTCGGCATGCCTCGCGTGTTTTTCGGCGGATGTAGTCTTTTCCTGCATGTTTTTTGGCATCTCTAAATCTCGATCTCTTTACAGCTTTGCATGTCTTCTCTCGCCTCTACCCGACTGTATTGACTGCGGTTTCTACGACGTTAGCTGCCCTTTAGCGTTTGGTTTATACCTCCCCTTCTCGGGGGTGAGGTCTCCAGAAATATGCGTTCATTACCATTTGCAGTGTGTATTGGAATGGCTGTGCTTGTCTTCTGCACTTGCTTGTCATATGGGTGCTTGCGGTATGTTGTCTCTGCCTTCATACGTTTGCGGGCTTTTTCCTGTTTAGTTGATGCAGCGCCTCTCCCTCCTCTTTCTTCTTTCCTCTGCAGATCCCTCGGGCTCTTCCCACAGAGACAGGAGACCCTGTTGTCGGGTACCTGTTTGAGCTGCTTGGCAAGGGCCGGCATTTGCTGCTGCTGCATATCATGCTGCTTCCACCGGGGTCGCGTAAACAGAATATCTTCGGATGCGAAATCGCTGGAGCCCCCCTTGTTTGTCCGTTTCCATCTTCGTTGCTGCTGTTGCAAATGCTGTTGTTGCCTTGCTGCTGCCCTGCTGTTATCGGTGCTGCTTATCTGGCTGCTGCTGTTCCTGCTTGCTGCTGCTGCTGCTTGTACATGGAGGAGTTGGCATCTTGCGTTCCTCCTTCCTGACCAAGTTTCAAAGCCACAACAGCAACATAAATGCCGTTGCATGGCTGTTCTCTACACGCAGCAGTGCATAGACCCATGCATGGCTGTGCATCCTTGCCTGCGCGGGCAGGGAAGATGCGGGTCAGCTTTTGAGTATCATGCGTCTCCTGTTCTCTGCTATGCATGAATCGCTGCTGCTTGGGCTCTGCTCTCAATTGATGGTGCTGCTGCTGCTTTGGCTGCTGGTATTGCGTTGCAGCGCGCTACAACATGGAAGCCGTGAGCACATTAGCTCGTCTTTGCCAGCTGGCTGTCTTAGCTGCAGCAAAGGGGGCTTCTTCTGCTGCATTGCCCTCTCCCAGAGGAAGTGATGCGACAGCAGCGGCCTCCTCAGGGCTTTCGGGAGCGGCAGTAGCCCCTTGTCTGCGAGCTCCCTTTTCCGCAGCGGATTTTGCTGACGACGCCCCTCAGGGCCACACTCGATTTGCTGGTGCGTGCAGCAGCAGCAGCAACAACAGTAGCAGCAGCGGCAGCAGCAGCGGCAGTGAATCGGAGGAACTTGATGATGATCACAGGGCTAGAGGGAGGCAGTTTAGAACCACGTTTCAGGACTCTCAAGATGGGCCCGGGGGCACCACGCCATGTCATGAATCTGTTGCTGCTGCTGCTGCTTCAGCAGCAGCAGATACTTCTGCTGTTGTTGGAGGGCGTGTCCTGCGCCGCCACACCATGTACCACCCTCCAGCTGCTTCTGCGTCAACTTCAGCAGCAGCAGCGGAGCGACACCTTTGGGCCTCTGACCTTCGTGTTGTTTGGTGTTTTCATGGGCCCCCTGCAGCTGTCCACACAACTGCCACTTCCACAAGTATCACTTCAGAAATTATCCGCGGCAATTCGCGTGTGCTTCCGCCTGCCAGAAGCCGTTCTCTGCTCCTATCTCCACAGCAACAACAGCAGCAAGAGCAGCAGCGTTCGGGTCATGGGCAGGTGCCCTTAGCTCCCGGGGCAGAGAGCGGGAAAGGGGAGGTGGAGGAATGTCATTTGGTAGAGCGTCCACTGCTCCAGCTGCTGCCCCCTGCTTTACTGCAGCAGATGCAGCAAGCGAGCAGCAGCAGCAGCCGCGGTGCTGGGGGCTTCGTGCTGCTGGATTTCTTGGGCGATCTTGCCAGCAAATTTGGACTGTCTCTTGCAGATCCCCATGCCTCTGATGGCGCAGAGGCCAGCTGCGGCTTCTCCCTTATCCGGCCCGATGGCTACTTAGCTCACTGCGGGAGGATAGGAGACACGAAAGCTGCAAGGGGACTGCTGGACTACCTCATTAGATTCTAGCGAAACGTGTCATCTGCAAAAGCTGGGGCTCCTCATGCTGTCGGTGCTGCTACAGCACGGACGGCCAAACCTAGGCTGCCGGGACAGCAACAGCAGGAGCTAGTGCTGTTGTAGAACTGCGTCCTGACCATGTTCACATCGCGTTCCCCGCTGGAGCCGGCAGAGTCAGCAAGGATAGTGGCGCGATCCCGTAGAGTGGTTGCAGCACATGAGCTTCAGCACTAGTAAGCAGCAGGAACACGCAACACGAAAAAGCAGCAGCAGGGTGCAGCTTGGCGCTCCTCTGCCCGCAGACAGTGGGCGTGTTGCGTTTTAAGGACAAACATAGGCTGGTAGTGGCCCTTTGGCTGTTGTTCATGCCACGCTACCTGGAGTTGCTGCTGCTGCTGTTAAAAGATAGCAGCAGGAACAACACTTAATTTGCTTTCCCTAGGTCTCTCTAGGAGCAGCAGCAGTAGCAGCAGAAGCAGCAACTCAACTGCATGCCCAGAGTTGCCAAAGACGGGAACATCCTCTTGCAACGTGAGCGCGCTGTGGCTTTCTGCTTAGCAGCGCTGGAGGAAGAAAGGGGACAGCTAGGCTCTCTCGCCAGCTGGCTAGGTAGCTTGCCAGCCTGTGTTGAACATGCATGCATGCGTCTCCATGCACGCTGTATATACTCGTTTGCGTTGATTCAGCCATCTCACCAGGTGCACCAGAGCCTGGGATGTATTGATGCGCGGTTGGAGTGGGTGACCGGGGTATGTGCAGCTGATAACTTGAACACCTTTATGTCACCTTTTTAATTTGAGTTTATTTACGGGGACCTAAAGACGTCTGCAGTTTCAGAGACTGCCGCGGAGACGGCGGGTCGTAGGAGGCACGAGCCAACATATCGCGTATGGCTGCCTGCATAGGAGCACCAACAGAGATAGGATAACCACAGCAGCAGTGCAAACACCACAGAAGCAAACGCAGGAGCAGCAGAAACCCGACCCAATAGGCAACGAAGGAGACAAAAATCAGGATAAGAGACCTGCGGAGAACAGCTATACAAAAGATCAGGTGGAAACATTGAAGGACCGAGAGAGAAAGCAGAGAATTTAGAAAGAGAACAGCAGGAACATCCGTAAAGAAGTGTGGACACAATGCGAGAAACAGACGGGCAACGAGTCTATAGACACAATGATGGCAAGACATGCAGTGAGAAACGCAAAAATGAGGCAGGCAACGAACCAGCAAAAACAGCTAGAAGAAACTGATAGGCATTCAATGAGTTTGTATAAATGCAATTAGCCGAAGAGGAAGACTAGAAATTGATTCATATATTCAAGTCAATTGAAGGAAATGAACGTAGACGCAGTGTATTCACATAAAGGCAATTAAAACAGCTAGACAAAGACGTCCCACATCCATGTAAAAGCAATTAGGAGACACCTGAATAATTGGCAGGGTAACGAGTTGGCCCACGGTGGGTCTTCTCTGTGGGTCCTTCTGCATCATATCGGTCACCAACTGCCGCAGTTCTGCTGAGTACACTGACGGTACAGCAGGCACCTGCGGAGACAGACACACAAACACAGCAGCCCATGCCTGCGAGCACCAGCAGCAACAAGGGCATGCACAAAAACCCAAATCCAGCACGGACCTAGAACAGCACAACTGGACTTTCAGCTCCCCCAACACTTGAAAAACATGATGCTGCCTCTGCTGATGATGAGTGTTGACGCCACTTTAGCGTCCTGCAAGCTGGAGGAGCTTGAACGCAGGCAGAGAGAGAGACAGCGGCGAGACGCCACAGCGGGCGCACAGCGGGAGTCGAGGGATAGGGTTTAGGGGTTACGGTTGACGGTTTAAGCGACAGTTCTTGGCTGCACTTGAATGTCTCTCAGGGCTTTGGGTGTATGGTTTGGGGGTTAGGATCTCACGGGAGTATTTGAAATTGCCTTAATCAGACTCTTCAGGTCCTGGGCTCGAAATGGGACAGCCAACGAGCACTGCAACAGAAAAGGTAAAACAAAGAAGAAAATCGAAGCTACGGTTATTTCCGCTGCCCGCAGAGACCGTACTCACGACACGGCTCCTGTACATACACATACACATGGACTCTTAAACAAAAGCACGTATTGCTATTTCTGTTGCTTTTGGAGGTTCAAGAGCTGATGTTGCTGCAGGTGGTGCAGCGGCAGCAGGTTCTAGTGGTGATGATGTTGCTTGCTGCTAACGAGTTCATAGATGATACAACCGAGAGACCAAATGTCGGAGGGGAAAGAGTACTGATGTTGCTGCGGCAGAGAAGCAAAATCCGCAAACCAGCAGCAATTCAGTTGCTGCTGCATCCTGGTGAAGCATCCATGAAGCTGGAGGCACTAACAGCTCGGCAACAGAGACAGACACAGAAAGGAGATAGCCTCTTGACAACGCCAACAAAAGAAATAAAGCTGTGCAGCAAGCAGTAGCCAGCAACGCTCATATTCTCTCTGTTTCCAGTTACTGCAAAACAGTAAGGAGACAGACAACCGATTGAATCCGCACACCAACAAAGACAGGAGCATTCAAGGCCACCAGCTGCTGCAGCTCCTCCATCTGATGCAGCTGCTGTGGCTCTGCCGTCTTGTTGCTGGCGCTGCTACAGCTACTACTACAGCTGCTGTTGCAGGCATTCCAGCTACTTCTGGTGTTCCTGCTGCTGTTGTTGCTATTTCTGCCGCTACTAATACTCCTTCTGCTAGAGCAGCCATTGATGTTGCTGCTGCTCTGTCGTTGCTGCAGATGGCTGCTAGTCCTGTTACTGCTGCCGCTGCGGCGAGTGTGAATATCGTTGGTGCAATGACTGCTGTTCCTCCTTGCTGCCGCTGCCTATGACTACTGTTGCTGGTGCTGTTTCATCTGCTTGTCTCTGCACCAGGGCCGCTGCAGCTTCTGCTGCTGCTTTTGCTGCTGCTGCTGCACCTGGCACAATTCTGGGCTGAAGTAATAGGGGGTGCCGATTGTGGTTTTGGCGCAGCAGTGCGTCGAGCTGAGGATTTTTGCAATTCCGAAATCTCCAATGAGCAAGTCGTCTCTCTCGTTTAGAAACAAATTCTGAGGCTTGAGGTCTGCAAAAAGCAGACGAGAAACAGCAGCAACAGCAATGGAGGCAGCTGCAACAACAGCAGGTGTCCAGAGAAGAGGCAGGTAAGCGCTGGGAGATAAAGAAGCAACTGGAGACTGTAGAGGGATACGAAGGAAGGAAGGGAAGGCGATGCAGAATGACATCGAAGAAGAAGAGGGCAGAAGGGCACGGAGACAGCAGCAAGACAGGGAGACAGCAGCAACACAGCAGCAGCAACAATATACACGCCCGCAAACTCGCCTCTATGGAGGATATGTCTCTCATGAAGATGTTTTAGGCCCAGCAGAGCCTGCGCGAGCCACAAAATTATCTGCCCCTCTTTAAACCGCTCATTTCTTTTTCGGTGCCGCTGAATGCGCCGGTGCATATCGCCACCTACATCAAAATGCACAGCCAGCAGTAGCAGCAGCAGTAACAGCAGTACAGTCAACAGCATCAGCGACGGCAGCAATAAAACGGCAGCGACGATGAAGGATTTCTCAGCTGCTGCAGAAGAAGCAATAGAAACAAGACCACAGAGCAGCGGCACCACTGGAGCCTGCAGCAGTAGCCGCAGCAGTAGAAACAGCTGCAGTCGCTGCATATTAGATACAGCATGGGATGAAGGATGCATGCAACCAACACAGCAGCTGCAGCAGCTGCAACAGCAGGAACAGAAATAACAGCTGCAAAAACAGCAGCAGCAAGGCTAGATGCACACACAGCCGCAGCAGCAGGTGCAGCAGCAGGAGCAGCAACGCAAGGCAAAAATGAAAGACAGGAAAGCTCGCCACTATAAGAAATTTCCCGATTACGCGCAACAAATTCGAACACCAGAAAATGGAAGGGGGAGCAGGAAGGAGAAGCACAGAAGGGGAAGGAAAAGGAGAGAACAAACGTAGAAGGGAGGCAGAAAGGAGACGGAGAGAGGCAGGAGTAGATAGAAGAGATGCGGAAGGAAGAAACGAGGGAAACAGAGGTGCGACAGAACGAAGATAAATACGAGGCGAGAAGGGACAAGGGGAAGCAGAACAGGAGAAGACAAGAAAAGACAGAAGAGGGAGAGGAGGAGGCAGCTTGCCTGCGCAGTGCTCCATGATGATACAGAGCTGATCCTCTAAAATATAACTTCGGCGATAACGGACAATAAACGGGTGTGGAGGGATACTGGCAAAGACCTAAAAAACAAAGCAGAAGAGAGAGAAACACAGGTGACACCGAAATGCAAGGACAGAAACGACGGACATCGACAGGAACAGGGGCACAGAGACACAGAAAGAGGGAAATGCAGACAGAGGAACACAAAGAGAGAGACATACCTGAATGCACACACAGGAGGAAACAAACATGGATTGGCAAAGACAGAGAGATAGACACACACACACACACACACACACACACACACACACACACACACACACACACACACACACAGAGAGAGAGAGAGAGAGAGAGAGAGAGACAGACAGACAGACAGACAGACAGAAAAGGCGACACCGAAAGACATGGATGTGGAGACGGGAAGGGGAGAGAGACGCAGGAAATGGGAGACAGTGACACGAGCGATGCCGAGGTGGATGCATAGACATATGTGGGTGGCGCAAAACCAGTGACAGGCAGATGCAAACTGGGAGAACGTGCAGCGTGGAAGCAAAGGCTGAAATAGACAGGAAGCTTGAGAAAGAAGCAAGAGAAGGAAGAGAGAGAAGGACAAAGAGGTCAAAGGAAAAGACGCCTTGACAACTACAGCAGCAGTGGAGACCCAAAAGCGGGAACGACAGCAACAGCCCCAACAGCAACCTCTGACGCAAGCAGCAACGACAGAGCAAATAAAGGTGAAGGCCCATCGGTCCCGTCACGCAGAGCCAATTCAATGGAGGCCCAGCAACACCAAAAAGAGACTGGCGAAGTTTCCTTCATTACTTTTGCCTCATTCAAAGTCTCTTCGCGCTCCAACGCATCCATGGAGGACATGTCGATTGACTTGAGCACCAACCTGCACATAAACCCCCACAGTGCTTCTTCCTCGTTCCTTGAAGCTCGGCCGAACCGCCCCCAGTGGCTTCCATGTTGCTGCACCACCGAGGACAGGTGTGGGCAAGGAGTCGGTACACCGCAGACGACGCTAAGGCGCAGGCAAACTGGCAGCAGGCAATCTGGCAGCAGACGACCAGAAAATGAGCGCGTGCATGCCCTGTTGGGGCTCTGACAGGATACAAGTTGCTCCAAAAAAGCCGCAGCTTGCGCTGGTGTGCAGACACCCCTCTGAAGCGGCAAGGGAAAGGCTCCTACTTTGTCCCGTCTCCGCCCTTCTCCATCACTAGGAATGCCTTCCCAAAGGATCCCGACCCCAGCAGAGTCACTTTCTTGTAGACTGGCATTTTGCAATTCTTTCTGTTGTGGGTTTGGTTACTGTCGGATTCTGTCCCTCTCCTAGAGCTCAGCTCCCCTTTTGCCACCAGATGTCGTCCAGAGGAAGAGTCAGGCGATCCCAGGGGTCCTAAAGGGCAGTAGAGGAAAAGCTCCGCTGGTTGGTACGTTGAGGCTGCCGTTGCAGCCGCTGCTGTTGCGGCTGCCGCCCTTTGCTTCTGCTGCTGGTTCGGGCCTGTGGGGCCTCCTCAAAAACTCATGCAAACTAGTTGTTGCAGCAGAGTGTTGTTTAAGAGAATTCATCTCCCTACAAATGCAACAAGAAGAGCTCCGCCTCTGCGGAGCGGACGTGAATGAGCGGTCGTAGGATGCCAGGCTCGGGCCCGCCGGAAGAAAGCCCCCGAAACAAAACCTCTAACAGCAAAACCAACTGTCTTTGCTTTTGAGAACTGAGTAAACTGTATTTCATACGGTGATGCCGATTGGGCCCACCACCAACACTGGCAGAGACACGAACTACGGCTCCGTGCCCACCGCCACCGGGCCAGTGGACAGTAGCCGTGGCAGCAGCTCCTTCTGCTAGTCTCTCTTCAATCGAAAACAAGTATAAATTGCAAAAATGTTTACGTGCATTCACTGTGATCAATTGTTTCAATGAACCATTCCTTTTGCAGATCCGCTCGCCCAATTCGCGTGCTCTGTGAGGTGGTGGCAGGGCAACGCCGCTCACCAGTCACGCAACGTAAGGGCGGTTGCTTATCTTCTTCGTGCAGCAACCACTTCTAATTACAAATGAAAAGTCCAGTTATGCTTGTCTGCTGTTGCTCGTGTTGTTGCTGTTGTTGGTGGTACTGCTGGTGCCACTCCTGCTGCCAGGCGACCAGCGGACACGTGCAGTGGACAGCCCCTCAACCCCGCTGAAGTGCACCTGAGGTGCATCGCAACAACGATACGACTCGGTTAGACTGAGCAGCGAAGTCACATTGTAGGGGTATTTCCTCTACCGTTATTAGGCTCTTTCAACAATAGGCGAACAGCCGGGGGGGTCCTGCCTAACGTGGTTCCCCAGGCTTTGTCTGTCGTGCTGCTCCCCTGAAAACAAAGTGAAGTATCCAAGTGGCTGATATATACACTCCCCTGGATGCATATGCTGTGGTACAGGTGTGCACGCTTGGCCCGTCTTTGTTCCTTCCAAAAGGTTTTTTCACTCCTAGCTATTTTTTTCGAGCTATCGCTCTTAACTGGTGAGAACTGGACCCCGTCGAAGTAATGATACAAGGTGACCATCAATGGCACCGGTTTACATCGTCAGAGCATGTCTGAGTAATACCCGTGCATCTGGTACGAGGTAAAGAAGTATCGATATGGCTTGTGAAGGGGAGAGTTCACCGTACAAAAAATGTAATCAGTTGACCCAATCAAGCAGGGAAAAGAATTACCAACACTTCGGCACCACAGATGTCACACCACCACGTTTTACCAGTGGTATAAGCAACGTAGTAGCTAAGACGTATTACCGACACCGTTGCAGCAAGGCACTTTCCCTTGCAGCCAAGTTGCTGAAGTTGTGTATCATCGCAGACACACGCCATCGCGTATCTCTGCTATGATTCTACAGAATGCATCCCTCTCATACCTTAGATACTCACTCAGAGGCATTTCTTGCCAAATTGTGCGCTACAAGACCTGTTAAGCAATCTACAGCGAATGATGACAAACTCGTGTGGTATTCCCTAATGTTCCGTCCCAGCTCCGCTCCATACACGGGAAGCTCGTTGCTCTCCCCAAATTGCATGCCTGCCATTTAGCGGAGAATAGATGGATCAGTGTAGCAGTGTAGTGGGGTGCTCGCTTCTTTGGGCAGCCTTCGATTTGCCACTATGCGGAAGAATTCGCAGTCAATTGTTCCCCAGGCCATCATCCCACGTCGCCCTGTACTCTCAAACCAAGGCTATTGTAGAATATTTCGGTTGCTGAATTGAACTCGGTAGTGGCCTCGTAAGATTTCATCATATGCTTGCATCTCCATAGCACTATCTCCACTGTTGTGCAGTGAGGGGCTGGGCGCTCACAGCGGACACGGAAGGTCATGCGCTGCTTATAAAAGAGGTTGGGGACAAGCTAGTAGTGTGTACATATCTATTTGTGTGCAGGCTTCCCCTTGGGCGCCAAGTAGGTACTTAACAATATTCTGCAACTGCCTTACATGCAGAAAGCTGTGCTTTGCTCGGCAGACTGCCTTGCACCAGGAACTGCAGCAAGGCACATTCTAAATCACGGTAGGCCAGGCCCTCTGGGGCGCCGTGCTGATTACCTCTGGAAATTACACTGGATGTTACCTCGTTCTGAAAAACCCCTCCCTTCGCATCTCAAGACGGTACTCAGCTAGGGACATCGACTACGGTTGCTGCACATATTCTTCTCTTCCCCATCTCCAGGTCCCTGCGCCGCTGTGCTAAGGACGCCTGGAGGACAGCTGTGGTATCCGCTTGGTAGGTGTCCTCTTGGATGCTCTAGATATTTGCCTGCCTGTGTGCATTGGCTAGTGCGCAGATTTCCCCGCCTGCGTCGAGGACCTTCGCAATACGGCTCCTGTACCGCTGTCCCCTGGTCGTCTGAAGGCTCGGAGTGGATTTCTGCTCGTGCTTATTGGAAAAACCATACAACTACGTGTTGTATTGCCCCTGCTGACAGCGCTCCTCTCGCCACCTCGTGCTACAGCTGACCGGCTGGAGATCGAGGAGGGGGAGACCAAGACTGTTACTCAGGAGGCATTACGATGACTGGAGAAAAATTAAAAATGAGACTTGCGGCTTCTAAGCCATTCCATGCATAGACAAAATCCAGCGAGCAGCTCGTGCAGCAAGGAGCGGAGGGGGCTGGCCGCAGCAGAAACGTGCTCACGATGGAAACAGGGCTATGCTAACGTTGGAGTTACAGTAATCTTTTCTAATTCGTCCATTTCTCCATTATTAAATACTTAAGAGCAGATTTACAGACAAACTGGTGAGAGCAATCCCCAAGCAGAACAGAAGATCTATTTCCCTCATTGAACTACTCACAGGCAGCCCCTTTCCCCGCAACAACCGAAACCTGCAACAGCAACAACAGCCAGCACCAGCAACAACAAAAGCAACAGCGGCGGAAGCAGCACAACCAACAACAACAGCGCCAGGCACAGAAGCCTACATCGAAGCGAAGTTCTGTAAGATGGGCCTCCCAGTGCGACGGCGGAACAGGAAGAACAGCGACTCGTCCGAGCCTGATGGTACTGAGGTAACAGCTGCTGGAGCAGAAACTGCTGCTGCTGCAGCTTCTGACGCCCCAGCTGGCCCCGATGTTTCAGCTGGGGCAGCCGGAGCAGAGCCTTTCGAGCTGCGACAGCGCGTAGGTCTCACTGAAATAAGTTTTGTCTATTGCCCTGGTTCTGAGATTTGTAAGGGCGTAGCATTGGGGCCTTTCGCTTGGTTATGCTGCATTGTTGCGCTGCTGCTACTGCTGGCGCTACTCAGAATATTCTCCGGCAGTGCAGACACCTAGGTCCCGGTGCTCTTCTCGTTGTGGTTGTTGCTGCTGCTGCTTCATATCGCTAGGCTGAAGCAGAACTGAAAACACCCTAAGTGGTAGACAGGCGCGGGTTGCTGTTGCTGCTCCTGTTGGTACTTCTGCCACATGCAGCTGAGCCGAAACAGCACCAGAAGCAGCGCAAGGTGTAAGGAGGTAACTCTTACTGCTGCTGTAATGATAGCAGCAAGTGCAGCAGCAGCAGCAACTACTGCAACAGTACCAGCGAGCGCAGCAGAAAACTTTGAATCCTTGCCTCGGGGCGCCTGCCTTTAAAACAAAGCCTTGCTTCTCCCAACGCCAGCAGCAGCTGCTGCTAGTGTTGTTTCTGTTGCAGAGGTGGAACTTGTGGCTACTCCTGTTTTCTGTTTGCAATGTACACCCAACTTCTTGTTTTGCGTTCGCTTTCAACTGCATACGTTTCTTAAAAGCATTTAAAACCAAAGCATTCGCTGCCGCTGCTGCTCGGAAGGCAGCAGCGCCTGCTGCTTCAGCGGCTGCTGCTCCAGGTTTCGCTGCGGCAGCGCCTGCTGCTGCCTTAGCGCATCATTACCTGGCTGCACCACAACACAGTGCGACGGCAGCATCAAGCGCTTCAGCGCTTGATGCTGCTGTGCCATCTGCTCTTGGTGCAGTACCTGCTGCTGTAATAGCGTCTGCTGCTGCTGTAACATGTCCTGCTGTTGCAGCATCAGCTGCTACTATAGCATCTGCTGATTGTTACTGCAGCATCTTCTGCAGAACTGGCTTGTGCTGCTGAAGCTGCATACTTTTCCACTCCGTTGCAGCAGCCGTCTGGGCAATTATTGCTGCTGTAGTTGGTGCATTTGCAGCAACTACAGTCTGGTCTGTGCTCTCGATTGCTCTGCTGAAAATGTGCTAAGGTCCGCTGCAGCATTTGCTGCTGGTGGTGCTGCTTCTACCAGTGAGGATGCTGCCGCTAGCTCCTTACTGGCTCCAACAAGTGCAGCCGGTCAAGGAGAAGAGGCACCAGCTTGTAACTAGAGCATATAATCTATGGATGGAGCTGTACATACACTCCGATAGGGCAGCCTGCCCAGATCACTGTGCTGCTCTGCTGAACTTCCGCTCTGCGTCTTCTGGCTTGCTGCAGCTGAATGTAGTGCTGCAGCTGTGTCATTCGTTGCAGCTGATTCTGCTGCTGCAGCACTGAAGAGGTTTGGGGCCGTATTCACGGTATGGAGATTGGGCAACGCTGTCATTGGGGCCCTTTCTTCTCCTACCGCTGCTGCTCTTGCTGGTGCTACTGCGGGATGCACCAACGAAATGCCACAGTTGGCCCGCACACCCGTTGCAGCTGCCGCAGCTGCAGCAACCGCCACAGCAGCAGCAGGCTGATGTCGTGGGCGCTGCTGCTGCACATTCGGCAGCGGAATGCACAATGCAGGTGCGAGCCGGTGCTGCTGTTGCTGATGCTGGCGTTGCTGCTGCTGCAGTAACAGCATGCCGGGCGTACCACGCCTCCGGAATGTTAACAGCTGGTGCTGCTGCTGCTGCTGCTGAAGCAGAACTCCCCAGATATGCAGCAGCAGGCGTTCTAAGGCAACCGCCCCGGAGCAAAAGGGCACAATGCTTGTCACCGCTGCAGCAACAGCAACCGCGTCAACAGCAGCAGATACAGCCAACAAACTTCTCTCCTCAAGAGCCCCCTACACGATGCAGCCCAGCACAACAAGCAGCAGGTGCAGCAGCAGCAACCATCTGTGGAGCGCTGCACCAGCAGCAACAGCAATTGCTCCTTACCTGCGTGCCAACCCGAGAGCGGCGCGGCCTCAAGTAGCAGGCGGCCTATCTCGGCAGAGCTGCTTTTGCTGCTGCTCTCACTGCCGGTGCTGCTTCTGCTGTGGGCAGCTGCTGCTGCTGAACGTAGACAGGAGGCAGTCCGAAGCTCCCACCGCAAAACGGCCACAGTTAGGGCTGTCTCCAGCAGTAGCTGCAACGCACGCAATAGCAGTCGGTCTCCAGATAAGCTACAGTCGGGACAGTTTCCTTCATGCTGCTGCTGCTGCCCCTGCTACTGTTGAATGGCTCACATAGGCTGCCTCGGCTCGCGGATCTGCTGCTCCTGCTCCTCTCCAGCTGCCTGCCCAACAGCAGAGTTTGCTGCAGCGCCTCCCATCATTCTGCTGTTGCTTGTCTGAAAAGAAATGGCAACAGCTGCTGCTGTGACAATTCTTGCCGCTGCAGCTGCTGCAGCTCACAGAAGACCCCCCGGACGTGTAAAGGCGGCGATACTCTGCAATAAGCAATTGACAACCTCGATGTCTGCTGCGGCAGCTGCAGTCCGCTGAAGCCGGGCCCTGCAGGCTCTTGTCGCTGCTGCAGGTGCTCCTATTGCGAGTTCCCCTTAGTTGCAACAGCAAAGAAGCATCGATCAGCGAGTTCCGTAGGACGCAAGTCGGAAGATGCAGTGAAGGCCACCAAAATCGTCTGTGTTTGCTGCTGCCCAAGTGCTGCTGCTTCTGCTGCTGCCGATGGATCTGCTGCTGCTGCACCACAGATGGCAGCTTGCTGCATTTGGAGTGCAGCTCTTCTTGTGCTGGAGCTGCTGGGCTTGCTGATTTAGTCTCACCTGCAGCTGCTGTGGCTGCAGCTGCTTCTGCAACGGGATGATGTTCTCCCCCGGGCTTCAACAGCTCCTCACAATCATGCCCAGCAGCAGGAGCAGCAGCAAATGTCCTCAACTCATGCAAAGCCCCTGCAGCTGTGAAGTTACTACACGGCTTCTGTAGCGCTCTGCTGCTGCAACATGCAGCTGCAGCCGCGGCTTCCGCCATCTCAAATGCAGCAGTAACCGCTGCAATCCGTGGCTGATGGCGCGCTGTTGCAGCAGTTACAACAGATGCAGCATCAAGAAACGGGCCAGAGTCGCTGGGGCTCTGAAGAGGTATCGTGAGCTGCGTGCTGCACTGCATAAGATGTGTTGCTGCAGCAGCAGCTGTTGCTGCTGCTGCTTGTTGCAGCGCATACAGTTGATTGCGCTGCTCTCGTGTACCCACGTGGCATATCTGCTGCGCAGCTCCAGAAGCCACCCCCCCTTGACCTGCTGCCGCATAGAAAGACTGAAGGCAAAGAATCCGCGGGATATGTTGCCGTTGCTGCTGCTGTTGCATACCTCCCCCAAGAAGCAGCCACAGCAGTGGCGGCAGCTGGGTGCCGTAGAGCAGCAGGAGCAGCTGGTCCCAACCAAAGGGGAAAAAGCTGCAGTTGCGGTGTAGAGGGACTGCCGTGGCTGCAGTAGCTGCGGCTGCCCTTGCTGCTGGTGATGCTGTTGCACACATTCTGCTGCGCTGCAGCAAAAGCAGCTGGCCTGGAGAGACTGGATGGAGGGACGCCAGAGCCGCAAAGTTGGGAAGGGTGTACATACACTTGAGGAGCTCCACGAGATCTGTGGCAAACTGCTCTGCTACTTCCTGCTGCTGCTGCTGCACAGTAGAAGACATGCTGTTTGTGCCGTCGTTGGGCCTGCAAGAATCAGCAGCAGCAGCCAGCAGTGTGTTCAGCAGCCACCGAGCTGTGGGCTGGAGGCTAGGAAGGGGAGCAGCAAACAACGGCACCACCAGCGTCTCTGGAATACCCACTACAATATCGCTGTTGCTGCAGCTGCTGTTGCAGTCGCTCCGGAGTCCAGTTCGCCCGGCAGTAGTAACACAAGCTGAAGCACCAGCAGCAGCCCCTAAAGGAGTGGCCTCCGCGTACAACACCGATCCCCCTGCGGCTGCTGCTGCTTCTCTGCAGCAGCTGCTCGCGGTGGTTCTGCAAGGTGTCGCATCGACGCTGCAGCAGCTGCTGCAGTTGCTGCAGTAGATGTTCCCGTCACGTTCAGTAGAGCCAGCTAACGGCTGTAGTGGAATTAAGGACAGGCGAATTCCGCAAACAGAAATGCTATTGAGGACATACGACACCTGAATGGGATCCTGTTGTTGTTGTTGTTGCTGCTGCTGCTCCTGTGTTCTGACGAAAGTTGCGTCTACACTGAAGGAAGGTTGTAGAACCGCATACAGCCTTTTTATAAAGCCAAGGACTTGCGGCAACATAACATCGACATGCTGTGGCTGCCTCTTACGCTGCAGCCGGGGCTGCTGGTGCTGGTGCAGCACCTTCATCTGCTCCACAAGCCCCCGCTGCACGGCTGTTTGCAGCAGCAACGAAAGGAACTCCGCATACCGGTGACTCAGCAGCCTCACAAGTCCTGCAGCAGACCCAAAAAGAGGCAATGCCGAGGCGGCGGCAGCAGCAGAAGCTGCTGCTGCTGCGGCACCGAACGAGAAACGTCCTCCGTCTGATACTGGCCTGTGAACACATTCTCTACAGAAAATCGGTGAGGCAGCATGAATGGGAGCAAGGGTCAGCTGCATGCTGAGTAATTGCTGCTGCAGCTGTGGTTGCTGCCGTAACAACTGCTGCTGCTGCTCCAACTGTTGCTGCCGTCGGCTAAGCACTTGTTGCCGCTGCTGCCGCTGCATTCGCTGCTGCAGCTGCTGCCGCTGAAACAGTAACATTTGTTGCTGGTTGGAGGAGAGGATGCATGAAACCCGATTGCCGTTGCCGCCATTTCTGCAGCTGTGGCTGCTGCTGCTGTGTGGTGTTTGCTGTGCTTCTCCGATGACGGAATCGAGAGGCATCCCCGTTGTCTTCACCTCTTCACTTGCTGCTGCTTCAGAAAGGCAGCCCTCACTATCCTCACCGCCTTGCACCCACTTCCCTGCAGCTGTTGCTGCTGCTGTTGGTGTCGCGGTTGCAGGTGTTGCTGCTGCTCCGCCGGTTGTGCTGTGGTCAATGCCTGCTGCCGCAGTAGGGCTACGTGGAAAGGTGCACATCTCAGCCATCATGTGTTGCATCGCAGTAGACAAATGCGGAGTGACGTGCACCAGTGCTGCTGCTGCTGCTGTTGGTTGCAGCGGCTGCTGCTGCTGCTGCTGCTGCTGCAGCGGGTAACGTTGTAGAAGCTGCTGCTGCACATGCAATCCAGAGAGCTCATGAGGAGCAAACAGTCGCAGCGCAGCCCCTATTAGCATCAGCTGCATCCTGATGTCTGCGCTTGCTGCTGCTGCTGCTGCTAAACCCCAGGTGTCTGCATATTGCTCCAGCAGCAGCGGAAGCCGCTTTTTTGGCTTCATTCTGCTGTTGCTACGTAAGAACCCTTGATGTTCGCTGCTCCTGTCTAGTGGCTGTTGTTGTTGCTGTTGTTGTGGCTGTTGTTGTTGTTGCATTTCCTGCTGCTGACAGTGATGCAGTGGGGGATACTGCTGCTCGACAGCCGTAGACCAGGCAGCAGCAAACTCGTTCGAAGAAAAAAGGAGAGAGACCGAGCTGCTGAGAGCTGCACTCTGCAGCGACTGCGAAAGGTGTCCGGGAGCACATCTGCCTCCATCTGCTGCTGTCACAGCTGCTGCTGTTGTGGGTTGTTCTGCTGCTGATGAGACGGAGTCTGCAGCATCACCGTGGACAGCCTCTCGCAAAAGTAGCAGCCTCTCCTTAACTGGCAACAGCAGCAGGGCGGTTGTACACCAGTCGCCTGGTGCTGCTGCTGCCGCTGCCGCTGCGGCTATGGAGTCGTCGTGTTGAAGCACGAGCAGCGGCAGCAGCCCAGCAACGAGCTGCAACAGCAAATTGGAATGCGCCTTCCTAAGAAAAGCAGAGATAGGCAGCAGCAGGTCACGACCCCAATGAAAGACACAATGCGAAGCATCGGGAGGATACCAGCCGAAACAAAAGTACGGAAAACTCTCAAATTCCTCTGTGGTGCCGCTGTTGTTGTTGCTGCTGCTGGGACTGCTGCTGTTGCTTGTGCTGCTGCCGGTTTTGCTTCCGCTGCTGCGGTTGCTGCTGTTGGAGCTGTCGTTGCCGTTTTGGCTGCTTATATCGTTGCCGTTTCGGTTGCCGTTGGGCCTGTTGTTGCTGCTGCTGTCCTTGCCGCAGCTGAGGCTGCTTTTGATTCGGCTAGCAACTGGGGGACTAGCGTCCCCTTCTCCTTCACTGGCATTCCGTTGGCTCTGGTGGCTGCTTTGCTTGTTGCTGCTGTTACAGCAGCTGATGTCGCTGATGTTAGCGTTGCTGATGCTAAAACTGCTGTTGGCTGTTTGGCAGAGAGCAGCAGAGTCTGCGCAAGTGCTGACTCTTGTTTGACTCCATCTGCTGCTGCTGTTGTTGCTGCTGTTCACAGCGTTCCTTGTGCTGTTGGTGCTACTTCTACCGGCAGCACTCCCCTGTAGCCGCTGCAGCTGCTGCTGTAGCTGTTGTTGCATGTTCCACGAATCTTTCCAGCAGAAAAGCTCATCTTTCTTGCCGTGAAGGAACAGGCAGCTGCAGCAAAAGTTGGGGCTTGCAAGGTCAGCAGCAACTGGCCAGACACTGCGTGGCACTACAAGCGATGCTGCTGCTGCAGGCACGAAGCTCTTTGCTGCTGCTCGAATTGAGGTGTATGGGCACTGCAGCACAAGGCCCCCCAAGTTGTAAAAATTCACGGACCCTCCCCCAGTCCAGCACCTACTGCTGTTGCTGCTACTGCTGCTCGCAGAGCGCCACGCACCCGAACAGTTGGTCGTTGCTGCTGCTGCTACTTGTGCAGCAACGACGGCTTCGGGTGCTGCTGTGCTTGGAGGCACAATCGCTGCTGCTGTTGCTGCTGCTGCTGCTGCTGCAGAGGCGCATAAGTTGCTGCCTAGGACGGGGAAGAACAGACAGGGCCGCGGCGGCAGGTCCTTCCGCTGCTGCTGTTGCTGCTTCTGCTGCTGTTGCTGGTTGATATTGTTCCGGCTCATCTGTAGCAGGTGGCATTGCAGCCGGCAGGCCCTCTCATGCTGTTGCTGCTGTTGCTGCCTGAATGCAGCAGCAAAACGTGCAGCAGCACGCGTGACCGGTCCTGCGCCGATGCTGCATCCCCACAGCACAACTCGCTGCGGAGGCCACCGCAGCTGGAGCAGCACGAAGGACAACACCGACTGGAGACACAAATCAACTGCCTCCTCAGTAGCGTACCCTGCACACATGCACCCACACACGGCATTCCTGCTGCTGCTTCTCATGTTGCTGCTGCTGATTGCGTCTTTCTTCCGTTGCTGCATTCAGCAAAAGTGTCGCTGCACAAGCAGGAGCAGTTGCCGCAGTAGTGATACCAGCACCAGCAGAACCAGCAGCAACAATAGCAGCAACTGCAACAGCACCAGCAACAATGGCAGCAGCACTAAGCATCAACAGCAACAGTACCGGCAACAACAGCAGCAGCAGCAACAACAACAATAGCAGCAGCAGCAACAACAGCACCATCAACAGCAGCTGCTACAACAGCAACAGTTGTAGCAGCCCCAACAGCAGCAACAGAAATGACCTTGGGAGAGCCCATATCCCGGATAGTCGAAGGCCAAAACAGCAGCACCAGTCTTTTGCTGAGTCTGCTGCAGCAACGGCATTACATCTCTTATGTCGCTGCCATTTCCGTGGGCGTACACCAGAAGATAAGGGCAACAAGCTGCTGCTGCAGCGGACTTCAACGACCCAACGGCAGCACGTCCTGCCTGCAGGACTTCCGGGGGGACACATGCTGCTCCACTTCCAACTGCTGCATTAGCAGCAGCAGCACCAAAGTCACCAGTATCGCAAGGCTCCGATGCTGCTGATTCTGCCCTATCTGTCCCCCCACAGGCAGCCCCGGCAACTCCCCGCTTGCTGCTGCAGCCCCGTTGACGCGGTTCTGCTGTTGCTGCTACAGGTGCTTCTGCTGCTACTGGTGTAGCCTCCTTGTGTGTGTTGCAGTAGCAGACATTGGGTTCCGACGCGTACATACAGCAACAACAGCAACTGTTGCTACAGCAGTAATCACTCCATGTTGTGTAATGATTTAGCTGTCTCCTCAGTCTCTCTGTGGCTCCAATCTGGACTAAATATAGCTGCTGCAGAGCCTGCTCGACCAGCTGCCCTACCAAGTCAGCCTGCTGCTGTTGTTGCTTCTGCTGCTGCTGTTGCTGGCCATGGTCATGCTCCTTCTGCAAACCCCCACGCTGCCCCTGCCGCTCCACCTCCTGCTGTTGTTGCTCCTTCAATTTACTACTGAGCAACTTAAGAAGTGACCGCTGGGTGGCAAGAAGCTGCAGCAATTGGTGCTGCTCATCAACAGGAAGAAGCACAGCAAAAATCCCCTTGGCCTTACCCTCGTTGTTGTTTTTGTTTTTGTTGTTGTTGTTGTTGCTGCTGCTGCTGTTGCTCCCCCCGCTGGTGCCGCTGGTGCTGGTGCTACTGAGCAGCGGGATGACGATCTGCTGTGGGAAGGAAAGAAAGTCGTACGTGCTGCTCTCTCCAGAACGCGGAAACATGCCGCGATTTAGCAGGTTCTTTAAAAAAGACATTGCTCATTGCTGCTGCTGTTGTTGCTGCTGCAGTTGTTGCTGTTGCTGCTGTTGCGCGTGCACTGCCCACCGTTGCTGCGGCACGACGTTACGGCTGGTTGTCAAATGGTTTTTGCTTGTCTTGGCTTCAGCGTCGGCTAACAGTTTAGCGGCCAATTGTTCTGATGTTGTAGCCTGATTGTTGCTGTTGCACCACTTGCTGCGGCTGTTGCTGGTGTGTTCCGTGTTTTGTCCTGCTGCCCTTGCTGCAAGCTTCGGCAGCTGCATCTGCTGCCAGTTGTGTCGACCTTAAATCGGGTGTGTCATGTTGTAGGATATGCTGCGAAATGATGCTTATACAGGCGCCTTAAGCGCTGCTGCATCGCCAATGAGTCAGTGTGCTGCTGCCGTGGCGGCTGCTGCTGCAGTTGTTACTACAGGAGCTTTTGCACTGCCGCTTGAGTTGTTGGTGCTGGTTGTGTTGCTGTTCGTAAACAGCAGAACACTCTTTTGTCAATAAAAAGTTCTACACGTGCGAATACACTGTAGCCACTCCTGTTGGTGCCGCTGCTGTTGCCCCTGCTGTTGTTGCTGCTGGCGTTGTCTTTGGCTTGCACTGCGCTTCGCCGCTGCGATTTCTGCCGCGTCGCACACTGTAGAAAACACCCTAGTCGAGCAAAATTCCTCCAAAAGTACCAAAAAACCCTATTTTTATTGCAATTTCGCCATCGGCGGCTGCTACTGCTTCATCTGCCAACGGACACTGGCAGCGGGGCTGGTGGGAGGGAGCGGCAAGGACAGCGTTGCTGCCTGCTGTAGAGTCTGTTGTGCGGCTGCAGAGCTCCCACGAGAACCGTGTGCATACTTTTAGCAAGTTACTAAGCTCAGCCAAATCAGGAATTCGGGACACACTGCAGCAACTACAGCAGCTGCAGAAGATGCTGCAACACCAGACCTGGTGCCACGGACTGCTCCTGGACCGGCGGTCGGGCAGCAGCAGCAACAACAGCAGCACCAGCAGCATCCAGAATTCATCTCTGTATAATAAAGGCTTGACATTTATATGTTCTTAGCAGCTTGTCTTGATGCTGTTGCAGCACGTGTCTCTGTTGCTGCACCTGGTGGCGCCATAGCCCGGGAGGTTCGAGCTGCTGCCAATAAAGGGTTGCAGCAGCAGGCAGGACGCGCCAATTTAAGCTGCCTCTCTCCGTAGCTTCAGAACGCATGAAACCAGAAGCAGCAACAACAGAATCTCCAGGGGCGTCGTACAGTAGCACTTGTGTACAGCAGACTAGAACAGCAGCAGCTGCCAGTGCCAGTCGGCACAGCACCAGTGGGGGTGAGCTAGCATGTAATACATGTAGCAGCAGCAGACAGCAACAGCAGCCGCAACAACTGCCAGCCGCAACGGGTGCTGCAACGTTTACTGCTTTAGTAGCAACGGCTCAAGGGCCGAACATTGCTTCTCCTCAAGAGACATGGAGTGTCGTTGCTGCAGCCACCCCCAGCAACTAGCAGCAATGAGGAACGCCAGCATCCGCTGGGACCAGCTAATGCAGATGCCAGCTGGAACTTTCACTCAAACAGATGGGCAACTTGTGAAAGAAAGGTGTTATAGGGGTGAAGATGCTTACACTGAAAGTGAGCTTTCAAATTATGGCTTTTTTTCAAAACGTCCGCATTAAGGTTTTTGCCTTTTCTTCATGGAACTGGCGCTGGGGCAGCAATCGACATTTTGGGCTGGGGATCCTATCCAATGGAACGAACGCCACTTCCGTGGCTCATCTCTTATGGAGATAGCAATTCAGAAACAATGCCTTCCCCGCCATGACTGCTAGCATATGGGTTACACCCCATTGGATGGAGTACTCGGGCAGCATCTGGGTTATCTCCAGAAGTGCCGTTGTTCTCAAAATGCATCCCAAGAGCCCAGAGTGTTACTTGTATCATAAGAATAGAAAGATAAACTCAAAACCAGTGCTTTCTAGAATAAAATCCGATGCATCGCCTCTTCGCTTCGTTCTCCTGTAGCATCTGACTCGCACTGTTCAGCAAGAGCCTGGTGGCACGTGCTTGCGGTGACAGCAAGGGGAGCTTCGTGGTGAGGGAGGAAGCTGTAGTGCGAAGCAGTGCAATGTTCGATCATAGCAGCACTTTGAACCTCATGCATTCAGCGCAAAAGCACGTAGAACAAGGAAACCTTAGTATACAACGGTCCCATTGACTATATATATCAGAAGTGTACTGTATATGCACTACACTGCTATCTCCATCGGGCCTTTAGTGGCCATCAACTGACAAGGGTACGATGAAATGCACTGTTTGCCCTAATTCCATCCAATCAACTTAGTGAAGCGGCTGCAGTCCTACTCACTGCAGTAGAGCACACCGCCTCCTTGCTGCGCTGAGGTCCGTTGCGCTTCATGATCTATCTACCGGAGGACTTGCCAACATGGGAAAGACTATGCTTCACTATGAAGCAACAATTAACAAGGGACAGATGCTGCAGGTGATGAGCCGTAGTCGCATGAACAGCAGCACTGGGACAAAGGGCCAAGTGTTGCAGTCCGCGTAGTCGCTAGGAACGTTTTCTCTACTTAAATGGAAATCCAATTTTTCTAGTGAGAAGAAAAGACCTTGTACGACGGAGCTTCAGCAGCAGAAGCGACAGCAGCGGCTACCGCAGCATCTGCAACAGCGCCAGCCCCACTGACTGCATGGGTTTGGCTGCGTGGGGGGCTGTCTGTGAGGTCGTTGAAGATTGAGCTTTGAGGTTTGTGCCGAGGGTGATGAGTTTTTGTCGGTGTTTGATAGAATTATCTCTGCAGCTGTTCCAAAAGCCCTTTGTTTCTTACGCCTTCGAAGATGGCTATGAAATACGTTGCTGCGTATTTGATGAACGTCCTGGGTGGCAAGGATGCCCCCACGGCAAAGGATGTGGCCCAGACCATCGAGGCAGTAGGAGGAGATGTTGACGAACAAGTTCTTAATGCTCTCATTACTGCCATGGAAGGAAAAACTGCGCATGAGGTGAGAAATATTAGACCATAAACCCCTATCGCCCCGCGGCGGCGGCCGCCGCCTGCCCGTCGCCCCACAAGCGATCCAAGGATCTTCGCTCAGCCGCAGCCTCTTCTGCCACGATTTAGGGTCTAGTCTTTATGGTTTACGGTTTGGTATTTGTTGTTTGGGGTTCGCTGCGGAGGAAGGGCTGACTGGCACCGCAACGAGCGTAGGGCTGTCGTGGCCCTGTGCGGTGTATTGCTGTTGACGTTGCTGCTGCAGCAGCGCTTGCCTTCGCTTGTGTGATTTCTGGTGTTTAGATGATTGCTGCGGGCATGGAGAAGCTGCAGAAGATCCCGACGGGAGGCGCTGTTGCTGCAGCTCCTGCAGCTGGCGGTGCAGCACCTGCCGCTGGTGGCTCTGCACCAGCAAAGGAAGAGAAGAAGGAAGAGCCTGAGGAGGAGGAGGACGGTGACATGGGTCTGTCTTTGTTCGACTAGAGTGCAGCACGACAGACAGAAAAAGGCAAAGGGGATGTTGAGTAGCGTCAGAGAGCAGCGACACAGCGCCTGCTGCTGTTGCTGCAACAGCAGCTTTCCTTGCGTCTGTTGCTACCTCATCTTGAACATGTTGGTTCGATTTTGCCGCAGGCAGCAGCCTGCTGCAGCAACTCCTTAACCCTCTTTCTTCCGGTTCGTCTTAAAATCTGTAACGGCAATTGCGTGCCTCCCAGGGCTCTATACATAGTGATGGCTGTAGATGGGGTGTACGTACACCCCGTATCCGGCCCAGAACAGTCTGAATACACAGCGAATATGGATAGTACATATGTATAGTGTATTTACACGGCGACGTAGAGCCAGGGGATAGGTAGTTCCCTACTGGTTTTTAGCGCACAGAGGGAGTGTACGTACACGGCGATGCATATCAGTCTACTTCTTTAGAGGTGGCTTAACCAAGGCAGATAGTTGTATGCAGAGAGAACGAGGCAATTTGTAAACAACTCGAGACGGATCGAACAGTCCGTAACCCATCCCTTAACTACGGCCGCGCTACTGCAGCAGCAGCAGGTGTGTACTAGCTTTTTGGTCGGGGCTGTAGGGTGGACGTACCTTCACAGCAAAATATAGAAGACAGCACCTCCCTGACACTACAGGACCTCCCCTTCCGGTGTACAGCAATCTCGAGGACGACTGAATTATCTGTGTTCGGTGCAACTGCTACACTTGGTCGGCTATACATGCTGTCCTTCCTCGCAACTAGCATCAGTGTTGGGTTGAGGTTACGTGGCCTGCTTCGGACGAGACCATCAATTTTCCTGGTTTACTCCCTCTACCTTCCAATATGTAAGGCCTTCATTGTCTCCTAGTGTCGATGAACTCAGCTGAGTTTCGTGTCTCTTCCTTAAGTAGTTAGTTATCCTCCGCTGAGGGTCTCTCCACACAAGCGACTGCGAGTGCATGCATGTATGAAAGAGGATATTCTTTATTGAACCAACTGGTCCAACCGATGAGCTCTTTGTCCCCTTGGGTTTGTCGCTTATTCAATAAGCCTTTAAATGCAAGCATCTCTGTGCTCAATCTCGGAGACCTGGACCGATGCCTTGGTGTTTGGTCTTCTCTCACTTGGCCTTCGTGCTTAGGCGTTATCATTTGCTCATTTCCTTTCACCTTTACAAGGGGAAAACAGAAAAGAGTTGACCAGAATACAGAACCCCGGACCCCGAGGCCGCAACCCCAAAGTAAGTTGCTCGGACTTTTTTTGACTACAACACCGTTCTGTCTGCTTCTGTTTCCGTTGCTCTTTCTCGCTTTATCTCTGTCTCCCTTCGTCTCTACTTTTATATTTGTTTCTGTCCTTGTTTCTGCCGCCGGCTCCGTTTCAGCAGAGGGCTTTAATTCTATTTGTTTCTAGAGCTAGCGTGCAAGGCGAGGGCGCCTTTGCAGCTTAGACGATGATGGGCAGCCTATTTCGAACTTTTACGATTTCGACCTTTTACGGTTTCGCATTAGGATTTAGGGCCTACTGCATAGGGCTTTGCGTTTACGTTAAAGGGTTATGGGTCCGCACGGATTGCATTTACCACGTGCTGTTTATGGCTGAAGTGAGCGTTGTTGGAGTTCGAAGTTTAGGGCTTATGGCTTAGTATTTAGGGTTTAGTGTTAAGGGATGACACCTTGGGATTGTGCATTAATGCTGCCGCGCTTCTGTGTGTAGGGGTTTTCAGTTTGATGGGTCAAGACTAGGTTTTAGGGTCTAAATTTGTCCTCCGCGGGTACTAGAGTCAATTTTATTGGTTTATTTATCTTTATTTATGAGTTGAAATCGATTTTTGAGTTAAAAACTTAGATGGGGAGAGCGGACAGAAGAAGTAGAGACTGCCATGAGCGCCACAGCCCCAGAAATTTGACTCGCGGTGGATTTCGCCAGACTAAGGTGTGTGGTTTAGAGTTTATGGCTGAGGGCCTGGGGTTGGTCCTTTGGTGGATTAACATGCCGTTTGTCCTTATACATGGGCATGTATGCGTGTGTAATATTTAGGGTTTGTTGCGAAGGTAGTTGGTAGTACGCGACAGGGCTTGCGAGCACACATGAGAAGCCATTTGATATCAAGGATACAAACGGAGACAAGAAAAACGAAACTACTTAGAGGGTTAGCAGACCCAATGTCTGGCCGCAGCAGCTGCTGCGCGCTGTTTAGCTGTAGATTGTCTCGCGGTCTTTCATTCCCGTCGCAACTGCAGGACAAAAGGACTAGCTTTCTCCCCTCCCCTGTACCTGCACGCTTCAGAAACCCAACGTTGACTTCATACAACGAACCAGCAACAGCAATAACAGCAGCAGGTTTAACAGCAGCCGGAGGGAGATCTCACGCCGGAGCTGCTTGGTTTGATGGGTCTACCACCCTTTTAGCGCCGGCAGTTTCAGGTCGACGTGTATTGCTTCCTAGCTCGTTTTCGCTGCAACCGGAGCATGTGCGGCACCAGTACCAGCACCAGCAGTGTCTGCCTTCTTCTCCCCGCGTGTGTTTGCGTGTGAGTGATGGCGGCGGATCTTGGGGATGCGCAGTAGCAGGTGCAGCGGGAGGTGTGGGTTTTGCTGCGGGTATTACTTTGGGGAGCATACGGAGATTTGGTGGCCGTGCAGGTGGTTTGAAGCGGCATAAGAGGAAGCGCGATCCAGGAAGGTTGCACCAGACAGGCAGAGGGCGACGATTAGAATTCTTTTGGCCGCGCAAGAGCCATCTGATAAGAACTCCTCTCCTACAGAACCGAAGACCTTCTCTAGTGTACGATCAGCGCATGCGCCGTTTCTTATGCTGCTGGTCGTCAAACCACCAGCAGGTATTCCGGGCTTTTAGCATCAGAAGCAGAGCATCAGGGAGGGACGGAGGTCGGAGTATACAGGCAGCTGGTGCTGCCTTCGGCATGTTGCAGGCTGGCGGCTTTGAAGCAGCACGCGCTAAGGCGCTGCTGCTGCTGCAGCAGCTGCGTAAACAACGCAAGCTGAAAGACGACTACAGCAGTAGTAGCAGCACAAAACCTGAGATCAATCGAAGCGGTGTCAGTGGGGTGTACTTTGACCACGAAGAACGCCTATGGGTTGCTGTCTGGCAGGAAGCAGGATTTCGTCGTCTTGCTGCCTTTTCTGTTGCTGCATTTGGGTTTGATGGTGCTTATAAAGCAGCAGTAAATCTCAGAAAACAAAAGCTACAAGAAAACTACCAATTCTGCATGCACAAGTATAGAAGGAGATCTGGAAGACAACCCTACAAATAACAACCTGTAACGCATCGCCTCTTCTTTCTCCTGCCGCTGCTGCTCCTGCAGGCATTTGCTCGTCATGCACCAGCTGCAGCAGCAGCTGCAGCTGCTCCAAGTGTAGCTGCTGATGATGATAAGTGTGTTGCTGCTGCAGGGGCAGCTGCAGTAGCAGCTGCTTATGATGTTTCGGGGTTGAGAGAGGGAGGCAATTGCGGCTTTGGGTTTATTTTTCCGAGTTAAGGACTATTCACATTTTGAATCCCCTTAAGTATTTCGTATGTAGTCGTTTTCTTCTATCTCCTGCTGGCGTTTCTCACTTTCTGTCGCTGTGTTTTTCTTCCCCATTTTTACTCGTTTTGCTGCTTGTCAGCACTCCACCGCCAAAGCAGCGGATACAGACAAAGGGAGGGAGACAGAGACTGATGGAGACAGGAGGAGACGCGCAGAGACATACACACAACAGCAGGAGAATGCGGCAGACAGAGGCAAACATATAAGACAGAAAGAAACTGACATAGCCAAACAAGTTGGGACAGAGGGAGAAAAATAGAAACAGGGGGAGGCAATTCGAGAGAGAAAGAAACACCCAAATAAAGATGGCAGGAGATAGCAGATAAAAACCACTCGTAGACAGAAAGACAAGTAAAGACAGGGAACAACAGGTGCAGAAAGAAACAAGCAGGGATAGGAGGAAACAGACACATAAGGGGAGAAGGCAGCAGACACAAAAACAAACGAGGAGAGAAAGCGAGAAACAAGAACACACAAAGACTGGCAGATTTAGCAGACACAAAAGGAAACAAGCAGAGACCAATGGCTTCAAATGAACAGAAAGAACTGAACAGTAGGGGAGGCGCAAACAACAACAGACGTGAAAGGGGTGTTATTTTATGTTTATTCCCACCAACCGATTTTCCCAGCCACTGTACCTGCTGCTGCTGCCGCATTGCCTGTGCTGCAGGTGTAGCTAAACACGTAGTGGGTATGCACCTCTTCCGTCTCCCCTCCTCTCTAGCTGCTGCATTAAGCATCAGTAAGTCTAATGGACCGTGACCATCGCAGAGAGAGGGAAAGAAAAAGCATGCCTCGAAGGCGGTTGCTGCTGCAGTCTGCTGCAGCGCAGCGCCAATGGGGGCAGTAACTAGCTGTCTGTGCACCCTACGAAGACCTATGTGACGAGGCCGAGCAACACTAGGAACTGCTGCTGAGGCGTAGATCCCCTGCTTCCGTTGCTGTTCCGGTTGCTGCTGCTCCTGCACCGAAGAATGGGCTGGGTTCGGCCGGTGCTGTGGTGTACAGACACCGGGGAATGGGGGAAGCAACGGGTTACCAACAGCGCCCGTATTCTAGCAAGGTAGGTAGCTACGCACCCATCTATCGCTAGCTAACTAACAACGCACGAAGTCCAGCGATGGCCAGCTGGCTAACTGCTTAACCATCTACCTAGCTGGCTGGCTAGCCATCTTGCTGTAGCTAGCTTCCTACACAGGCACCTAAAGGAACAGTTGGCGGCTTGTTTGTATCGTCATGCCGCCCCAGCGTGTCTGTACACCGAGGACCTCGTAGAGGCAGCAGCAGCCAACCCCTGGTGTTGCTCTTGCCGCTGAAGCTGCGGCTGCTGCGTGTATTGGTCCAGGTCGGGCTGGTGCTAGAGCCTGTAGGCAGCTAGCAGCAGCACTAATGGGAGGATGATAATCCCTCCTGCCGGAACAAGAAGCAGATCCGCTCGGCCTCTGAAGATAATAAGACGAGGCACGGCAACAGCGAGGGCTAGTGCAGCAGCAGTAGCAGTGCCCATCATCAGCAGCAGCAGTTCCAGCCGCTGCAGCAGCTTTACTGCATGCAGTATAGCCCCGTGAGCTGCGGGATGCAGAGCCACCTCCACAGGTATTGACAGAACAGCCAAGGACTTTGACCGTTCGGGAAGCAGCCGCAACCCGCCGGGCAACCCTAACAAGCTGCTGTTGCTGTTGCTGTTGGTGTCAGTGGCACTGTTGTCCTTGCAGACGCTCCAGAAGCCTAAACGACGAGGAGTGCGCTTCTGCTGCTGCTGACGTAGAGGCTGCTTCTGCTGCTGTTGGCTTTGGCGACTCTGCCAGTAAAAGAATGCTGCGGGGCGGTGTGCCGCGGGGAGTGAACTATAGCGCTTTTCTTCTCCTGTTGATGCTGCTTTTGCTGCGGCCGTTGCACCCGCATCGCTCTTTCTGAAGGGCAGAACGCCCCGGGAACCCCCTAGAATTTTTGCTGCGCAGTTTAAGCAGCACCATGAATGAATGCTGAGCACAAATAACGACAATAAAAAACAAGGACGCATCCCCTTTATCCACAAGCTGCTGCGGCGGCTGCTGGCAGAAACAGCAGCTGCAACAGCAGGAGAACCAGAAGTAACAGCAGCACGGATCGCAAGAACTGTCGAGTGAGACCTCCTGCCGTCAAAGAAACAAAGGGTACAGGGACTGTACAACGCGAGGGAATCAAAGGGGATGCTGCTGCTGCCGCCGCTGCGACGAGTGGGTCGCTGCTGTTACCCTTGGCACTGCTGTTACTGGTGTTGCCCTTACTGCCGTTCCTACTAGTGCTTGTGCATATGCTACCCCCTGTATTGCGACTGCGCAGCAGCAGCAGCTCCTGCTGCCGCTGCCGCGGGTGCTGCTGCTGCCGCTGCTGTGTGTGGGGTGACGGACACAGAATGTCAAAGCACTCGTAAGATAACTACGCTGAAACTAACAAGTTACTGCCGCTGGGGGTCTGAGGAGCTGCGCTTGAGACAGCGTGTCGGCGCCGCCGCCGCTGCTGCTGCTGCTGGTGCTGCTGCTGCCGCTGTTGCTCTGGGTGCCACACTAAAATGATGCTGTGCAGCACATATTAGACTCAATGAAGACATAAAACGGAAGGTTTTGGGACGCTTCTTCATATTTCCTTGGGGGTGCGGCACTAGCCACTGAGGTCGATTCTGTTGCTGCTGCTGCTGCTGCTGGGGCTGTCGCAACGGCTGCTGGGGCTGCTACTGTTGCAGCAGCAGCAGCTGAAGCAGCAGGGGCAGCAGCTTTGCTGTTCGTCTCTCGTTGACCCAAAATGGGTTTTTGAGTCTCCTTGGCGCTCATCTTTTTTATTTTAGGGAGTCAGTAGCCGCCGAAGAAGCCCTCTCGTTTAAGCTTGCTGCTGCATGCTGCAACAGCAGCCGCAGTGGCAGCAGCAGCAGCAACAGAAAACTCCTCAGGGTGCCTGTACGGCATCATCCGTGCTCACTGTTCTGTACATAAGCAGCTGGAGGGGCCTCTACTAGCTGCAGCATCTTGCCGCTGCATCTGCTGCATCTGCTGCTCCTCCTGCTGCGGCTGCCACAGCCCCTGTGGCTTTTGCTGCTTCTGCTGGTGGAGAGTGCCTCCACGCCAACGGCCGTCATCGCAGGAAGCATGCAGCAGCAGCAGTAGCAGCATGGGCAGCAGGCGCTGTACGAGCTGTAGGCAGCAGCAGCGGCAACAGCAGAAGCAGCAGCTGCTGCTCGTGCTTCACCAGTCTCCTCAACCTCATCCACACCTTCCTCATCATATTTATCATTACCATCTTCAGCAGAAGCAACAGCAGCAGCAGAAGCACGATGGCAGAGAGGTCAGGGGGTTCGTCTTCGGGCGATTCCTCCAGCAAAGTCTTTGTGCCGCAGCTAAGCGAAAGAGAACTGAGAAAGATCCGCTACTATGAAGCGATGTTTGCGAAAATGGCTGCGGAGGAGCAGCAAAGAAGAGCGCCTTCTGCTGCTGCTACTGCTGCGACGCCCGCTTCTGCCTCTTCCGCCGCCCCTTCAGGAAGCAGCACCAGCAGCAGCACCACCAGCTGCAGCAACTCAACAGCTGCCTCATCTCCCCCTCTTCCTGCTTCCACAAGTGCTGAGTCTAACGGCAAGCTAAAGAAAGAGAGAACTTCTGCTGCTCCTGACAGCAAGGCATCCAGCAGCAGCAACAGCAGCAACAGTACAGCAGATACCCCACCCACTAAAAGGAAACAATCTCGCCTCACGGAGTCAAGCGATGAAGAGCGACGCGGCGGAGCATCAAAGAGGCCAGGATCTGCTGCTCCTGCTGCCGTTGTTGCTGCTGCGAAATCCGAGCCTACAGACAGCAGCAACAATTCCAGCAAACGGAAGACTACCAAGGAGACAGAGCAGCCGGAGGGACCTGCAGCTGCTTCAGCCGCTAGTAGTAAGGCTTCACACTCCTCCTCCACAACAAGCAGCAGCAGCAGCAGCAGCCGGTGCTCAGTCGCCAATGAGAGGCACGGATCTCCGAGCCCTAAAAGGAAAAGCAGCAGCAGCAGCAGTACCGGCAGCAGTACCAGCAGCAGCAGTGCCAGCAGCAGCAGGGTCAACAGCGTTACAAAGAGCAGCACGTACACGGGACAGATGTCTGGGAGCAGCAGCAGCAGCGGCAGCACTAGCACGAGCAGCAGCAGCACATCCGGCGATGAGGACAGTCCTGCTGCAGCAGCTTCCGTCAAAGGTGTTAGTGGCAGCAGCAGGGGCAGTAGAGAGAGTCCTGCTCCTGCAGCTGCTGCAGGGTCACGCTCGAAGAGTTCTGCTGCAGCACGGGCCTCCAGACGCAGCGCGAAGGTGCCGCGTAGGGAGGCCAGCAACAGCTGGCAACGCGGGGCTGAGCGTAGCAACAGCAGCACCAGCACCAGCACCAGCAGCGGCAGCAGCAGCAGCAAGAAGCCTGGTACAAAATCCTCTGCTCCCAGCAGCAACAGCAATAGCAGCGGGAAGCCAGCTGGATCCAACAGCAAGAACGCGCGGGGGACGCTCCTGGAAGATAGTGTCCATGCAGCTGCATCTGCGGCCCTAGAGGAGCAGCAGCAACAGCAGCAACAGCAACAACAGCAGGGGAAGATGTCTCGGGGGAGCGCGAGCGATGCTTCGGGGGTTGCGTCATCATCATCATCAGCAGCACGGCCGCCGAGCCCCATTGATATGACTTCAGATATCCCTTACGACGCAAGCAGCACCAGCAGTAGCAGCAGCAACAGCAGCAGCAGCAGGGGGGGTTCAGGTGCTTCGGCCTCCTTGAGTCCTTCGGAGGGCCCCCGGCGTGTTTCCGATGGCGACAGTTGGGCCTTGTCGGGAGTGGCGGCTGACAGCAGCAGCAGCAGCAAAGGTACCCGTCGAGCTGAGCGTCGGGGCGCCCCCTCTGATGGCTCCGAGGCCCCTCTTTCGTTAGGGAAGGCAGCAGTGAAGGGACAGACGGAGGTCCTTCCCTACAGCAGCAGCGGAGACAGACAAAGAAAAGCAAGCGGCAGCAACAACAACAACAACAGCAGCAACATCAGCACTGACGGGTCCCGCGTCTCCTCTGAGCAGCAGCCGACCCCTCGCCATCTTCGCAGTGAAGCTCCACGCACAACCCGGGCTGCTGCTGCTGCTGCTGCTGTTGCAGCTCCAGAAGGCTCTGTAGCAGCAGCAGCAGATGCAGATGCAGCAGCAGCTACAGACGGTGAGGAGTCAACAGACACCACATCTTCGGGCCCCCCTCCTCCCAGTGTCGTCCAGCGGCGAACTCGCAGTTCTTTCAGAACGCCTGCTGCTGCTGCTGCTGATTGGGGTGGCGCAGCACAAGAGTACAGCGTGGAGCGGCGCAGCAGCAGGAGGGATGGGTTAAACCCGAGATGTACAGCAGCAGCTGCTGCTGCAGCAACGGAAGGTGACGAGGAGAGAGACAGTACATCGCGGTCTCTGCCTTTAACGTCTCCTTCAGAGTTTGCTTCTGCAGTCTTAGAGTCTGGTGCTGCAGTTGCTGCTCTGGCCGCTGCTGCGGTGCCACCTGTTGCGTCCAGCCCTTCCTTAGTCAATGAGCAAGCACAGCAGTTTTCCGGTGCATCGGAAGGCTTGGTGTTGCAGCAACAGCGGCAACTGCTCCTGCTGCAGCAGCAGCAGTTGCTGCTGCAGCAGCAGCAAGCAGCAAACGCGCTCGTGGACGGTGGGAGCTCTAAAGCAGCAGGCAGAAGCTCAAGAGATGCTAGTGGAGGAGTGGGTGTGAATGGGGGAAGTTCTTCGGGCGGCGCAGATATGTGGTTAACGCTGCAGCAGCAGCAGCAGCAGCAGCAGCAGTTGATGCTGCTGGCTCTGCAGCAGCAGCCGCTGCAGCACCACCAGCAGCAGCAGCAGTCGTGTGCCTCTTCGCCGCGCAATGGGTCGGTTTTTCTCTCAGGCAGGCGACGTGTAGTTCCCTTGGGACCTAGCTCGCCTGCTGCAGCAGGTGGTACCTTTGCTTCTGCTGCTGCTGCTGCAGCAAGTGCAGCAGCAGAAGAAGCAAGAGAGGCTCAACAACTTGTGAGAGGGGTTCGCATTCTTGCTGCCCTTAACAAAGCAGAGATGGCCTCAGATTCTCCTCGCGCCCCCGTGACTGCGAACAGCTACCTGCTCCAGCAGCAGCAACAGCAGCAACGAGAAGAGCAGCAACAACAACAGCAGCACCAGCAGCAACAGATGCAGCTTCCACCGGAAAGAGCACGGCTGCTGGCCTCCTGCAGCGATGTTGTTGCGCCTCGTGATTGGCGTCGGTTGTTGCTAGGAGACCCGCTGCAGCCACAGCAGCAGCAGCAACAGCAGCAGCCGGTCTCGGCGTCTTCCCCACACGACATCGAGGAAGGAGGGGCAAAAACAGCAGATGCAACAGCGGCGGCAGCAGGAACAACAGCCGCAACAGCAGCAGCAGCAGCAGCAACAGCACCGGTGGACGGTCTCGCTGGGTTTGTTGCAAAGCCTTCGCTATTGTCTCTGCGGACGCAGATTAGCTGGAGAGGGAGACTGCTGCGGCGTGCATGCATGTTTCCTGCGTAAAGCTAGGGCAGCAGCAGCAGAAGCTGCTGCTGATGCTGCTGATGCTTGGACTGTTTGCATATGTGCAGGCGCGCCTTGAAGGCGCTTTGTGAGGCCTCTGCCTTTTGGGTGCCGCCGAGGCCGAGGGGCCGCTGTCTTTGTTTAGCTGCAGTTGCAGCATGAGCAGCAGCTGCAGCACTTGCATTTGCTGCTGCTGCAGAGGGGATGTGCTGCTGTAGCAAAGAAGAGAGGATGCCCGCAGGCTCCAGGCTTGAGGAGGTGTCCGTACACTCCAGGCGCCTGGCAAGCGGGTTTGTATCTCGATTATTGCTTTCTGCTGCAGCGGCCCCGCAACCTCGGGCAGTCACAGGCTCCCATTTGGCTAGTAAAAGCTGCCTGCTAGCTAGCTAGGAGCAGCTAGAGGTTAGATAGCTAGCTAGCTAACTAACTACCTTGCTAGCTGCGAGCTGCGTACGATTGCAGCGAGTCAGGTGTCTCGCGAGTTAGCTAGTGAGGCGCCGGCGCTTCCGGTGCAGAGGCATTTACGGAGGAGACACGAGTCGCCCTCAGGTGTACGTACACCTGAGCTTGCGGCCGCAACACACCTTTCAGACCCTCCAGCCGCTTCTTTCTTTCGACCCACCAACATGTCTCCACGAACATTTTGCCGTCTTCCTTCCCTCTATCTACTTCTCATAAGTCTCTTAATCTAGTCAAATGATTCTGTAAAGCAATAACAGCATAACTATATATATTAT